CCCAATCCCTAATTTTTTTGGCTATCATCAATATCTCACTGTAAGGGGGGGTTGACAAGGTTACAAGGACCAGAAACCCTTATCAAACATCTTTCGCATGCAGTAGATCATGCGTGTACCCATTTTACCCTGCATCCGATCCTTGAAGTTTGTCTGTCTTAGGGATTGCACCCTTAGACTATTGAACAATGTCGAACGAGAACCCCGTGCAAGCAGAGTCGGCCCTGCTTAGTCGTCGTCGCCGTCGTAAATCGCTGCCTTCGCGCAATGGAACTGATCCAACCTCGCCTGAAGTCATTTCTTCTCTCATTTCGTCCCTTTCCACCATCTCCGTTCCTTTAAATTCGCACTTTGACACCATCCCGAAGATCGACGAATCAGACCCAGCGTTGCCAGAAGTACCGCGAACCGCGCCAATTCACTCCCTTCCTCCGTCTGAGCAACATGGGTTTGGAATGAGTTACGGTAACTACAAGTCAGCGGTAGAGCAACCCGCGCTACCGGAGAATCCATTTTTACACCCCGACGATGCGGCCTCGTCGCCTGTCATTCGCATGGCCAGGGCACCCCCGTCACCAAAGTCGCCCCGATCGCCGAGATTCAAACCCTTCAAAACGACTGATCCATCATCCACTCGCCCGGCTTCGAGAGAGTCCTATACATCTGTGATAGGCGCCCCAGAGCCTTCTTCGTTCGGAACGATCAGCACAGAGCCTGGACCCCGTCTGTCAACCCCGAGCATCGCTTCGAATAGTTCTGCAGGGCGCGCGAAAAGCCTAAAGAGTCAATTTAGTCAATTGAAAAGGTCATCACGCGAATTACTCTGCGAGAAGGATCCACACGTCGATCGTCTGCGAAAGACTACCAGCTACAACGACAGTCTACGACACAACATCCCGCGCAGCCGAGCAAGCTTGCGCTCATTGCATTCCATGGCCGAGGTTAGAGAGGAGGCGCGTCCTGCGGACGTCAAGGAAGAGCCATACGAAGCGAAAGTCGCCAGAACTCCACCAATCAAAGATTACCAATCGTTCCACGATACCCCGGATGCTGGCACTCCCGGCGGAATTGGAAGCGGTAGAATCATCCCAACTCGCGACTCATCTCTGCGCCATCGGAATAGCCAGTCATCCACCTCAAAAAAACACCGGTCTGCGCATCATAGTCGATACTCCTCCACGGCTAGCAAAGAGCTTAATACAGACAATGGGACACCGGGAACGAACAATGACGCAGAACAGGTGACCCGCCGGATCCAAGAGTTGAAAGACCAGCAACAGAAGATCAAGACCGAGTTGGAAGTGGGAAACAGCCCTGAACACCCGACTAAGACGAGCCCCGTGAAGCAAACAAGGGCCTCGAAGGCAAAGGCATCGCGCGTTCTAGGATATGATGTCGACCAGGCCATGCAGGAGGAACCAGGCCGCAACCATCCATCTTTCAGCGACAGTGCGCCTTCTCCAAACGTGATGACGGGGAAAAATCGCACCGGGAGCCGGCTAGGGGCACCAATCACACCGAAGTCTACCCACCTACCACCGCAGTTTCCCAAGTCACCCACGGAAAACCTGGATTCTGAGAGAGCTAGATACAGACAGTCTCTCGAACCAAACACCCATCGCCGCACCCCATCCGGTCATCTGTCTCATGTGTCAAATGGGCGCCCCTCGTACAGTACCGAACGACCATCCAGTGCCGATTCAATTGATCTCGCTGTTGAAGACTACGTATTTTCGCCGAAGCTGACCCAGAGAGTGATCCACCCAACCACTGGCCGCTCCATTGCCTTCTCTGAAGTTGGCCATCCGAAGGGCCATGTTGTGATTTGCTGTGTCGGCATGGGTCTCACACGATATCTGATGGCGTTTTATGATGAGTTGGCTCGGACGCTCAATCTACGACTGGTCACATTGGACCGTCCTGGAGTTGGGGAGAGCGGTCCACACCAGGGAGACGAGCCGAGCACCCCTCTAAGCTGGCCAGGTAAGCAAGACTGTCGAGACATTTTAATATTGCGCTAATCAATAATAGATGATGTTGCAATCGTTTGCAACTACCTTCGAGTGACCAAGTTTTCCATCCTTGCCCATTCTGCCGGCGCAATCTACGCTCTTGCAACAGCTCTCCGAATTCCGCAGCATATTCGTGGCCGTATCCATCTCCTAGCCCCATGGATTCCCCCATCCCAGTTGTCTAACCTCGGTTCTAAGAAGGATCCTGCGCCTACCAACGCGGTCCCTTACTCCCAAAAGATTCTTCGTGCTCTCCCTACATCCTTTCTCAAAGTGGCTAATTCAAGCTTTATGAGTGCCACTAGTGCCAGCATTACTACAAGTTTGCCCAAGTCCCCGCGACGGACCAAGCGCAAGGTTACTGCTACAGAAGCTTCCAATGCGAATGCCATCCCTCTAGTACCGCCTATACCTTCTGTTGAAAACAACCAGCAGACCCGAGTGGACATTTTGCCGAATATCAAACCGTTCGCTTCTACCACCGCTTCGTACATAAAGAGTGAAACGGCTCTCGGGTCTCGCGCAAAGTCTCCAGAAGATGAGGGCGAACGGCAGCGTGACTATGATACTCGTCTCACCTACAAGATCTGGGAGCTGGCCACCACCAACGCCAACCCGGCGGTTGATTTGCTGATCTGCCTCGAGCGTCGCCAAACAATTGGGTTCCGCTACGTGGACATCACGCGATCAGTGGTAATCCACCATGGTAGCAAGGACCCCCGCGTTCCAGTGGAGAATGTCCAGTGGCTCGGCAAGACGATGCGCCGCTGCGAGGTCCGGATCCTCGAAGGCGAAGGCCACGGCCTTATGGCATCTGCTGGTGTCATGGGCAATGTCTTGACTGAGATTGCTAAGGAGTGGGAGGACTGGACGATCCTTGTCCAAGGCAAACGCCGAGCCACTGTCAGCCATGCTGCACGGCCTGGACTCTCGATTCACACTTGATCTCCCTTGTCTGCCATCTTTCCCCTTTTATCCGGTGTCTTTGACATAACACTTCATCTTCAGCCCTGGTGGCTCATCTTTCCCTAATTGCCATCGCTCTCGTTTCGACAGGCTAAGCCGCAGCTGGTCTGCGGCTTCCACTGCTCTGATCCACACCTTGAAATCCTATCTTTTATCCTTACCCTTTCTTACTCGTCTACACACACCTACTTTCGAGGTTCATGCCCTCTCTATGATTTACTGTCGACATGGGTTTTGCCTTTGAACAAACGAGCCCGTCTGATTTAGCATAATACCCAGTCATGCCATATACTAATCAATATTGATAATTCAACTTGACTTGTATAGTAAAAGAAAAAATAAGACACGAAAACAAGCATATATTATTTACATCATAGCTCCGCCAAGCACCGGGGTGAACCCGCAAATCAGGGATGACATACCCTTGTCTCCTTGACCCCACTTCTCCTGACCTGTTTAGAGCTTTTGGTCTTGTGATTGTGAGTTTTGGAAGATTCAAGATCGAATGTGCAAGTGTCGAATGTCCCCAATACTCTAAACTGCAAGCTCTGCCGGGAACGGAGGAATTCTTGGCTTCTGAAACACGTCACGTTGTCTGGAAGTCAGCTTGGACCCTGACGACTTGGAACATTTTGGATCCAGCTTTTTTGAAACAATCCACAAGCCACACAGCTATAAGCGCAATCCGCCATGCCTTCTTCCCAACGGCGGCTTCGACTGATCGTCGTTGTGGTCATCGCGCTTCTTTTTATGGTCTTTTACTACACCGTGCGTCACCGGATCTCCCCCTTCCACACTGTTTCTTCAGATATCTAATACGACGCAATCGGATCCACAGGGTGATGCAAGCAAAATCCAAAACCAAAAGTTCTATCGGTCAACCCTCGACGCAATGAAAGCGAAAGAGCAAGCTAAGCAGGCCAAGGCCCAAGAGAAAATCCAGAATCCCGTGCATGCGCCCGGACAGAATGGCGCTGCGGGTGCGGGTGCGGGTGACAAGGTGCCTGTCGCTGCGGCCGAGAAAGCTGCTGTTCCTCCTGCTACAGGGAATGAAGATACGGAGGAGATACCGATTGCGGGGAGGACGAAGATGACCGTTCCCAAGAAGGTGAATCAGGATAAGCCGTCAGAGGTTCAGTCGGAGATCAAGAGCGAGGAGGAGAAGGAGCGAGAGGAAAAAGCGAAGAGAGAGCGTGAGGAGAAAGAGAGGAAAGAGGCCGAGGCGACAACAGAGCTTAATGCCATTCTCAAGCGGGCTCCAGGTATGTTTCTTTCCCCCGTTTTCCATTTCTGGCCCGTATCCAATACCAACAACATCCAGTCATCGTATTCTCCAAATCCTATTGCCCCTACAGCAAGAAAGCCAAGGTGATCTTGCTGGAGCACTACTCTATCGAGCCGAAGCCATTCGTGGTCGAATTGGATCAGCACCCGCTTGGGCCGTATCTGCAGGCCCTGCTCGCACAGAGCACGGGTCGTCGCACTGTGCCGAATGTGCTCGTGAGCGGAAAGAGTATAGGTGGTGGAGACGATATTGCGGCATTGGATCAGAGCGACGAGCTGGCTTCGACGCTGCGACAAATGGGTGGGAAATGGATCGTGGACGTGTCGCACCAGGCGGTTGAGAAATCACTATGAGGTTAGTATTGTAAAACATGTTTCAAGTTTTAATAGCCATAGCCCATAGCCATGGCAGACAATTAGGGGGCATATTGTTGTTGCAGCTCATTGCATTGTAACAGAGTAGCGAACTTGCGCAGGAACTCCAGGCAGCTTAATATTTACCACATGTACCTCTACTTGCCAAGCACCCAACTTACACCTGTGGGGCAAGTACTGGTACAATCAGCGATAAGGCGATAAGCTGATAAGGAACCCTAATCGCGCTAGACCCAAAATGGCCCTAAGCGACGCACAATCCCGTGACATCCAATTTCGCTCCACCACCAAGTCCATTCGAATTTTGAACCTCCCCGACATCGACAATCTACACCCCCGGCAACCACCAAAAGTCACGTCAAGATGCGGTACATTCACTCCGAGGAACGGCTGCCCATTCTGGACAATGGTGAGCGAATTTCTTTTTTTATTGGAGGATGGAGGAAGCCGATCGCACACAATACAACTTCTCTTTTGAGGCACGAAATTCAACCACAAGCCTAGCACGACACACGATCAACGTCCAACACCAATACGGCAGAAGTAGGAGGGAATATTGTGTGGGATCGGCGACTCGCACACCTACCAGACAATTCTCGATTTTGATTCTTCAAAATCTTGAATTCCACAAAAAGAAATGCCATCAACTAACCCAAATCTCTTTTCGCTCTATAGTGAAGGTCCAGATTAAGTCCCGCGTCGTGACTGTCGAGGGTCCCCGCGGCAAGCTCGTCAAGGATCTCTCCCACATTGCCGTTACCTTCGGCCGCCCCGAGCAGAACGTTATCTCCATCGAGCTGCACCACGGTGCCCGCAAGGGTGTTGCTACCCTCCGTACCGTCCGTACCATCATTAACAACTTGATGATCGGCGTTACCCGTGGCTTCAAGTACAAGATGCGTTACGTCTACGCTCACTTCCCCATCAACGTCAACATCGAGCCCAACCCCGAGACTGGTCGTGCTATTGTGGAGATCCGGTATGGAACCCTGGAACCTACATTCTTTTTCGATATGATTTTGGAATCATACCGCGAAAACCAAATTAAGATGAAATTAGAGCTAACGTTTTGTCATTAGCAACTTCCTCGGTGAGAAGTACGTCCGCCGCATCACTGCCCAGCCCGATGTCGACATCGCTCCCTCCGCCAACGTTAAGGATGAGCTCATCCTCACCGGTAACTCCCTCGAGGGTGTGTCCCAGTCCGCCGCCGACATCCAGCAGATCTGCCGTGTCCGAAACAAGGATATCCGTAAGGTGAGTTGACAAACAAGCATCTTTTGGGAGGACCCGTGGTTCTGAATCTATACTAACTATTCCCAGTTCTTGGATGGTCTTTACGTGTCGGAGAAGGGCAACATTATTGAAGAGTAAATGTGCCACTTGGGAATGCATGGGGTGTCCGGGAGAGGTTTCTTTAATTTCGCCTACTTGCATATAGGGAAGCAAAGCGAAATGTCAAAAACAAAACGACCCTTTTGAAATTCACTGATTCCCTTACGCGAAAACGTCTTTGTATGTGGCATGTAGAACTGTGCGCCCGTGGCGATTCTATTACTTCATTACTTTAATACTATGAGTATTGAGTAGAGAGATATATATGTATTTGTCGCGGGGCTGTAGCTGAAGATGAAGATCCGGGGGAATCTGGATCGAGGTCCAACTCTTCAACCTCCAACCTCCAACAGAATCCCTTCCTCAGAATTGAGACCATTCATTTTCATAATACATCTATCCTTGACTACGTATAATACTTAATCACTCAATCCAATACTATTACACCAAATTTTAATCTCCAATCCCTAAGCGGAACGTGCGTGACGTCGTAACATGTGAAGGCGAATACCGGGCCCGCATGTGCACCTCTGCCTCCACCAGCCACAACGCAGACATATCCCTCGAATGAAAATATGGGGTCCTGGTGGCTCGGACTGTGGAATATAGTTGGGGCAGTCTGGAATATGCTGCTTGACGTTGCTCAGTTCTGGAGATATGTGAGTGTTGTGCTGCAATCCCAGTCGGAGTGTCTTATATGCGGAGGTCTGAGCCGGAGATAGCAAAGACAAAAGACGCACAAGACATAAAACATCGGATATAGTTTCTGATCTGACCTCGAGCTAACATATATATCCTAGAAACTATCATCATGGTGGCATTCCAAATCCCCTCGAGATCGACTCTTCTATACGCTAGCCAACGCGAAGAGCTATGAGGATTGGGAAGAGGCGGCATTTGAGCTGGACGAGCTACAGAGTAAAGATTTATGGTATGAGATTAAACAGAGCCCTGCTCAAAATGCAATATACCAAACTATAATCTAACCACCTACACAGGCGCCAAAACCCCGTCAGCCGACACTACGACTACCGACTAATCCTCGGCCGACTGGAAGCACTGATGAGCGCGCGCGAGTCAGAAGACATCCTAACACTAGTAAACCTGCTCCGATCGGGGCTAGTGAGAAATTTGGGAAACATAACCAGCACGAAGTTGTTCACGCACGCGTACGCAGGAACCAAGCTTCTAATTGACGATTACATCACGCAAGTAGCGCTGTCAATCCAGTACGTGACATCCGTACCAGGAGCGCCGATGCATCCGAGCGGGTTCAGCTCCCAAGCGAAGCTGGAGTTGCTGCACGATACGCGGCAGGCGTTTGGACGTACGACGCTGCTGCTGCAGGGCGGGTCTGCGTTTGGGCTGTGTCATCTTGGTGTTGTGAAGGCGCTGCATTTGCAGGGTTTGTTACCACGGATTATTACGGGCACTGCCAGTGGGGCGATGATTGCTGCGCTTGTGGGGATTCATTCTGAGGATGAGTTGTTGCCGTTGCTTGATGGGGAGGGGATTGATCTTTCTGCTTTTGATACGCGGAAGATGATTAATGGTGGGGTCGAGGAGAGCTCCGACTCGGGTTGGGTTGGGACGTTTTATCGGAGGTTGAGGAGATTGATGAAAAAGGGGTATTTGTTTGATGTTGGTGTTTTGGAGGAATGTGTTCGGGCTAATGTTGGGGATCTTACGTTCGAAGAGGCATACGCGAGATCGAAGCGCATTTTGAATATCACTGTCGTGACGACGGGGAAAAACGGGACACCGAATCTGTTGAATTACTTGACTGCGCCTAATGTGGTATGTATTTCTCCCCTTCTCGTTGCCAGTCTCAGTGATATCTAACACCATTCCTAGCTTATCTGGTCTGCGGCAGTAGCATCCAACGCCTCTTCCTCCTCAGGCCTCTACTCACCCGTGACGATCTACTGCAAAGATGAAACAGGCACAATAGTCCCTTGGCCACACACACAAGATGCAGTCTTCCGACCCTGGCGACACGTCCACTACAACGAAGGCGAATCCCCCCTCTCACGGATCTCGGAACTCTTCAACGTAAACCACTTCGTCGTCTCCCAAGCTCGACCATACCTAGTCCCGTTCCTTCGGTCAGAATTGAATCTCCTAGACCGACGACAGACAGGCTGGAGTAATCTCTCCCGTTCCACAATGCGACTAATAATGGTCGAACTGCGCCACCGGCTCCGCCAGCTCGACTACCTAGGCGTGCTACCTGCTCCGGTGAGCAGAATCCTTATCGACGAGACAATCCCCGGGCCAAACCTAACTCTCGTCCCGGACTTGAGTTTCTGGGATCTAAGGAAACTGTTCCAGAGTCCGACGAAAGCCGGCATCGCTGACTGGGCGCTTAAGGGCGAGAGGGGAGTTTGGCCGGCGATTAGTGCCCTGAAGGTTCGGGAGGCGATTGAGATTGAGCTTGATAGGGGGTATCAGCTTGTTAGGCGGCGTAGACCGAGTGATCCTTCTGTTTCGGTGGCTATTCCGAAGCAGGTTAACGCTATGAATGAGGGTGTTCCTAGGCGTAGGAGGGGTGGTAGTGAGAATGACGAGGGGATTCTCGCTGATCGGGAGTAGTATTGGGTTATAGGGTTATTTTAAGTAATGCATATTGTTTCTATATTTGTATCTGCATGTAAATGGTATACTTCGTACTCGGTATACCCAACACGCGTAGAACTATGTAGACCTCGATACTTGGTCATATTAGGGTCATTGATCCATTTAATTAGTAAGAATGAACTGCAATTACAAAATTGTATGCATATCTGCTATCCAGGGCTATACATCAATGCCTCGTATACACCACAACCTCTCCCCATTCTCAATCAAGAGCATCCGACTCAGGCGGACCCTTATAATCTACCAAATGTCAGCATAAAGATCTCCAGCATCCAGCATCGTCCATAAAACTTACATTTCCTCGCATAAACCACATACCAAACCGCAGAAATCGCCATAAACCCGACAAAAACAACCGAAGCATAATTCATCGACACAGCCGTAACCGGCAAAGCAGTCGGCATACTAAACAGCACCAACTCAAACGCAATCCAAGCCAACGCAACAACATTAACAAACCTCCCAACAAGACCTCCACAATTCCACGGCGCCTTCGCAACCTCCTCCCGACCATGCCACAGACTCAAAAAGATCGGAATAACATAAGCCGCCGCGAGCGCAATAACGCCCACAGAAACAAACGCGGTAAACGCACTCGAACTCCCGAGATTAATCAACCCAAGCAACATCTGAATGGCGGTCAACAAAACCAACGCCCAAACGGGGACGCCCCAGCGCTCGTCGACGCGCGCCCATAGTTTCGCCAGCGGAACGGCGTCGTCCCGGGCGACGGCCCAAGTCGCGCGCGAGGCCGCAACGGTAATGCTAATCGAGCAGAAGACTGTAATGACCAGGACGAGGGAGATGAGGCCGAGACCGCCGGCGTGGGAGCCCATTACGCGAGCCAGAATGTAGGGGAGGGCTTGGCCTGCTGGGGCGTTGATGATGTCCTGGAGTGGGGGCAGGGTTGCGCAGATGGGAATGATGAAGAATAGGCCTGCTGTGCCGCCGACGGGGACGGAGAGGGCTATTGCGCGGGGCACTTTTACTGCTGGGTCTGTGCATTCTTCGGCCATTGAGGAGATCATTCCTATTGCGGAGAAGGTGTATGCGGCTGGAAGGAGGCCGATGAAGAAGGTGAAGTTTCCCCAGCCGGCGAAGGATTTGTCGTAGTGGGCTAGGGTGTAGGATGCCGAGTGGCGGCCTGTGTCTGCTTTGACGGAGAGGGCGATTAGGATGATTATTATTGTGAGGAGGGTCCAGGATGCGCAGAGGGTGTCGACTAAGGGGAGGTGGTTATTTGCAAAGATGCAGATTGCTAAGGAGGTGAGGCAGACTGCGTAGAAGATTAGGAGGAGTTGCCAGTCGGATGCTGACCAGGTTGGATGGTAGATTGAGACTGTTGCTGAGAGCATGGAGGCAAAGCCGAAGTTTACGGAGAGCGTGATGGTCCAGTTGCCGATCAGCCAAATCCAGGCATTGATGAAGGAGAGGGTTGTTTTGTTGCTGCGAGAGATTTGGAAGGTCCAGTAGTAGGGCCCTGCCGAGGTTGGATAGCGGGAGGCGAGCTCGGCGAGGGAGAAGGCGATACATTGGTCGAGGAGGCAGACGACTATCCAGCCGATGAAGATTGAGAGGGGACCGCCGCCGTAGATGGCCGAGAGGAGAGCTGAGCCTTCGCCGTACGGGATTGCTGCTATGGCGAGGGTTTGGAAGAGGAGGGTTAGGACAGAGCGATTGCGACGTAGTTCTTGCTTGTAGCCTAGACGGTCTAGTTCTAGGTTCTCGATTGTGCCCTTTCCATGATCTTGGAGGGAGGGAGGTGAAGGGGTTATCTCCTTCTCGATAGACATGGTGTCAGTAGCAGGGTTGCTAGTGAGGGCAGTCCGCCGTTATCAGGGTCTCTATAGTAGGCAAATGAATAGGACCAAGAAGGATATACGGAGGTTATATGCCGTGCAGTCATATGCCGAGGTGCAACGAATAGCATGTCGTGCAAGGGCCGAAGTACAGATGTAAACAATACCATCCGAAAGGGGAATCTCGCATTCTGCAATCGATAAAGATATACAATTTGTGGCTGGTGGAATAAAACGGTAATGGGATATGATTTACCGATTGGGAGCTTCACATACAGAGAAAAGAGAATCAAGAGAAAAGGGCCGACGTTCAACATTACAAGGCAAGATAAGAGAAAGTTTGACGCCAGGCCTAACCCTAAAAAGCAACTATATCCAGAGGGCAAAGTACTCCGCATTTGATCTGCGAGATTGGCTTATTTGATAGGCATCTACGAAGTGGATAAGACAAAATAGAAATGCAATAGTTTCAAGGGGAAAAGAATAGAGGTATCAAATAGAAAACCACCAAAAGAAAAACAAAGAAAAAACAAACCCCTAAAAACGTCGAGGAATATCAAACATTACGAATAGTAGCATATGGTATATACAGGGAACCCCCTACATGGGAAAAGAACAATTACAGCGCTGTCGATGGTCGGGCCTGGGACCTGCGCGAGTGCATACTAAGCCGGTGACCGGTGGCCGGTGGACCCTCAGTAGCGAACAGAGGGGGGATACTAAATCCATATCCCTCGGTAGTAGCGCTACGGTTCTGGGGATCGATCTCAACACGGACGGAAACGTCGAGTCCGCCAAACATGCCGCTCGTACAGGTGAACCCATCAGCGGCGCTGTGTGCCGTTCCGGCATTGACTTCGCCCTTGTGCAGTGGTGCATGGCCGTCTTTAGGAAGACGCTCCAGTTTCACGGAATTGGATTCGAGGACACCGGTGTTACCGGGCCCTGGGGCGACGACCTCGGTGAGGATGGCGTAGTTGCGGGATGGCATGGTGACTTTGTTCCAGGCGGCGCCCTTCTCCTGGCCGCCAGGCTGCTTGTCGAAGAAAGGCATGAGAGTCTCATCGCATTCATGGTCGAGGTGGTGGATTTTGTTTCTACGAGCGAGGAGGTTGGCGACGGCCTGGGGTGGGGGCTTGTTTGTGATAGCGCTGCTGACGACGTTGACGATGAAGCGGTGATCATTTTCGCCTGCAAGGTTAAGTTTCGGGTTGGAGTAGAAGCGGCCGATGGCGGCAAGGTGGACGTCGCCGCCGAGAATGGTTACCCGCACGCTGTTGCTGCGGGCGAACTCCTGCAGGCGGTGGACTAGCATCTTGCGCTCGTGCTTGTGCTGGCGCGCGGTGTAGTGGTCATCCAGATCGTCGAGTAGATCCACTTGGCCGTCGAATTCATTGAAGAGGCCGCCTGCCAAGCCGAATCGCTTGTTCAGTAGTCGGATCGGCGCGATCAAGGGAGACGTGAGGATGTTCTCGAGCCATGCTAGACGGGGGTATGCGATCGGGACGCCTAGTAATACTATCAGATGCTTGATGTCGCCGTCGGCGGCGACGATCTCGCGCTGCAGCCGTTCGAAAATCATATCGTAGGTGTCCTCGTAGTTGACCTGGTGACGGGTGCGCTCTGTTCGCGCATCTAGACCTATAAAGGCAATGCGCTTGCCAAAGCGCATGTAGAGACTTCGGCTGCTCTCTTCCACGTAAGGACCGGGCCGTTTGCCGATGATCCAGCTGTCGTCCTCGACCTGGTTCTGCAGAACGTAGGTATTCTCTACTTGACGCGGGTCAACACCCGAAGTTCCATTGACGGCATGCATAGTCTGCGGGGAATCGGTAGTGAAAGTCGACATAGGAGGGGCAATGTGGTGCTGGAAGAGACAGTAATATTTGAAAGCGACACCGCCGATACCACGGAAGACAGCACACTTCATAAAATGATCCGTGTATGAGCCGAACCCATCAATAATATCATGATCATCCCAGATATTGACCTGAGGAATGCGGCCATTGGCAGAGCGGAATGGCTCAGTGTTGTACCAGCGGACATAGTTGGCATAGTAGTAGTCATCGCAATCAGCGCGCATCTGATTATTGAAGTCATGGTTGCGCCTCTTATGCGGGTTCGCAATCGCAGTCCAAGGCTTGAGCGGGCCATCCACACGAACGCCGTCATTGTAAATCTGGTCACCACCGCCAACCATAACGTGGAATGGCCTCTCGCCATGCAGGCGCATCACATCGTTCCATAGATTTGGCCCTACCCAGGCGTTCATGTCCGTGCCGACGGAAAAGCCATTGCACGAGTGGAACATGGTACGCATGGACTGCTCTTCTGCAGGAACGACAAATTCCCACGGTGCCGGGACCTGGACTCCGGACTCGTTGTATAGACCAGGGATGTCGTACGCCCAACGCGCCTCGAATGCGGCCACCGGCACGGTAAGCGAGAATCGCCAGAAAGCTTTCAGGGGATCCTCGTAGAGCTTGAGACCTTCGATTGTTTGGTTTGTTGGAACCCTGTCGGTGCCGCTCTGGGCCTCAATATCCACGGCGCCTACCTGGCGCAGGCGCAGCTGGGGCTGCTCCTGGGTTGGCTTGGTGACAATCAAGATACTGCCGTGCCAGGTGGTTGTAGCCTGGTAGTGCATGTTCTTCAGGTTGATCAGGGGACCGGATATGAGCTCGAAGCGATCGTTCGAGCCGCGCGTGGTCTGTTGTCCCGTCTCCCCATTTTGAGGCATCCCTGCGATTGCCGACATGCTTCGATTAGCTTTGCGCGACTTTCCGATTGAGGACTGGGGTTCCGCGACATACCGTTGACAGGCTGCGCACTGTACTCGGCCATAATAATAATAGAAATTGATGCGATTTGGATATCACCGGATTGTAGAGGAGATAAATAAGAACGTCGACTGAAGTCGCATAGATTATCAAGATTCAAACCACAATTGAGCGAAATGAAGGGGGGGTAAACAGGGATAGAAGGAAGGAACTAGGCGTACTTGAATGCTATAGGGCTACTAAGTACAGGGCTGAAAAGGAAAACAAGAAACGAAGCGAGATTGGAAGCTGCAGATCTGTACCTTTGGGCCCGCTGGCTTGGCAATAAAGGAGGTCGCTGCTCAACCCCGATGAACAGCCCTGACGCTGCCAAGACTTTCCGGTAATTACCTGGCCAATGGGAGAGGAGATTATGCTAGCCACTACCCGGTTGAGCCACCTCGCGCCACATAAGTGGTTTCTGGCTATTCCTGATTGGGTCAGGAGTGGTGGCGGTGCAATTTTAGCTTTGATCGGGTTACATAAGTGGGTTTCTTCTGATTTTGAAGGTTTTTTGTTCAAGAGCATCTTCCATATGATCAAATATGTACTTCGTTGGTACTCCCTACTTACCGGATGATTACACAGGCTTCTACTGCTTACATGTCAGATTTCTCCCTATGTATGACCCCGCTAAATACGTGGCCTATCACATCCGCTTACTATTTACTGATCTACATGTGGAGACATCCATACTTACTATACTAACAACCATCTTGAACTTTTTGTTTATTTGCAAATTTGAAATAATATCAACAAACTGGATCAGAACATCCCTACACATAAGACACGGTCGCGTTCGAAGATAGAACAGAGGCAAATGATCAACGTAGCACTCACCAAGATCTGGATCCGCAGATTTAACCGTGACCATTGATGCGAGTGGCCTGGAACAATCTTAACGGGACGAGGCTCATCGTTTTCAGTCCCCTCAGACTCATCTCGCAGCACAAACATATTCTGTCCATGGAACAAACCAGAAGCAACAACCTTCTTCAACTGCTTCTGGCGATATTGCTCCATATTGAGTCCATCACGAACAGCAAACCAAGTGTCCCGGGAGCCAGTCGCAAGCAATTCCCTCAGTTCATCCTGGAAAGGCGTATAAAGCTCACGAAGCTCATCAGGCTCCTCAGCCAGAAGCTCAGCAAAGTCATCCACAAACTGCAAGAACTGCAGGGTAACAACCATATCCAAACCAGCCTGGAACTCGCGCGTAATGAGGCCGTAGTGGTGCAGGACGCCGATTTCCAGAATCTCAATCTGATGTTCCATAGTATAGCGAACAATTGCGAGGAAACGGTCTACGGGAACGTCAATCACGAGCTCCCCTTCACCCTGGTTCCAGACCTTCCAGAGATCCTCGTAGTTCTCGATCGGGGCCTCGGGCTCGAAGAAATAACCCTGCAAGCGGTCGGACTGTAGGTCGAAGCCGAGTACCAACCTGGCGTTGCTGAATTCGTTCTGCATGTCGGGAACGGGGAGGCTCACGAAGATTACTGTTGGGTTTGTGTGGGTTGGGAGATTGTTAAGGACTGGCTCGTCATGTAGGGTGACTTGTGTGAAGCCGGTGGTTTCTAGGAGGTAGCACTCTTTCTTACGACGGAGTTTGTTGCGGCCACTTTCGATATGTAAAAGGTAGATGTAGTAGTCGACCACACCCCATGGATGGTGCATGTAGCGGTTCAAATGAGATGCGAAGCATACTTCATTGGGGGTTGCAGGCCTGAAGATTGTTGGGCTGATATCCTTGAGTTGGGAATCGTTGGTGAATGGGTTAGACTTAGGCCTCATCAATTTAGAGGGAATAATGCAGGTCATCTCATCGGCGAGCTGAGAGAGCTGGGGGCTCTGCATGGCTGTTATATTTTCAAGTCTTGATTGTCCTGGTTGTCAGACTAGTATCTCCTCGGTTGTAGGATTTGACGAATGAGTTGATTCGAGACTCACGATGGTCGGGACAATCTACAATGACGGCTGTGCTCGGCGAGAGCCTTTCACGGAGGACAGAGGCGATCTCCTTGATAGAATGATGAATAGTGAAGATTAGGCACAGGAGCAGGACAAAACTCTTGAGCTCCAGGCGTGCAGAGAGGATATGGGAGAAGAGCTCGGCGAAGAACTGCTTGCTGCTTTCCTCGTATATGTAGTAATAAAGGATGTCGAATAGGTAGAAAGCGACGGCTGCTTCAACCACCTGTATGATACAGTGAACAAGCACGAAAGTCACAGATCCAAAGCACAGCACGAACCCAAAGCACAGGAGAAACAATATCCACTCGGTATGTGTAGAAAGGTCCTGCAAGAAGTTAGTAAAGGCCATAATAGGCGCTCGCAATAGGGGGCAGCTTACAATGTAGAGTACTGTTTATGTGCAGTGTGTTGAAGTATGAAGCTATGGGTGGCGTTGATAGTCAATTAACTTGTGCTTCTGTTAATTTGCTGTGTTGAGATGGCTGTATAGAATTCTGTCTCGATTCGTAGAGAGGAGGTTTCCTTTTGTACACTGGATGAAAAGGCCGTGGACAAGTGATATGTGTCTCCACCGAAAGAAAACAAGAGCACAAAGGCATCCTAAAGATATTCTTCTAAAGCCCTCAAAGGAAATCTCCTTCGAGATTTGACAGGAGTAGAAGATACAAAGAGCATAAAGGCATTCGCCGACAAAGTTCTTGTCGGGAGGGTTCCTTTTGTCAAGTACTCTATATTATTTGACTTGGTATCCTACCAGTAATGCCCTTGTTTGTTCTTTATCACCGAGTATCAAAGGGAAGAGAAGCCCCGGGAGTTGTCTTGGTGAAACACGAATCAAGTGTACAAAGACTCGATCCAATATCATAAGAGTAGCCGCGGCCGGCCTTTCAATGTATAACCGGGGATAAGATAAAGTACCCCATATCAGCCAGATCAGATCAACGTTTAATCAGCTAGGATAGCATTAGGTCTTTTGTCGAGAAATCAAGAGTGTCACGTAGACATAGACTCGGTTCAGGGCCTGTAAACTCGATCAAAGAAGAGACAAGGCCATTCTATTCTGGAAATAAAGAGGCTTTGTTCCTAGCCAAGACTGAGTTTCATTGTGTATTAGATGTTCGCAATATAGATACCTTATCAGTCTTACATGCCAGGCATCACCTAGCAAATATTTCCTTCACCGGAAACCACCAGAATCTATGTCCTCACAAGCAAAGGCCAAGTCCCCCAAGTCTCATTCAATCCAGCAACCCATTCCACCGAACATGGGACAGGACAGTGTATTCCTTGTGCGGTCTGATTATTTAGAGAGTTTTGACGATGAACCCTGGGTCGACGTAGGTTCTCAGTTCTTGGAGGATCCGGACAACGAGGAAGCTGACTGGGTCACCGTAATTCTTCCCGAAGAAATGAACAAGACCCATAGCGACGAAGATATCATGAAGTATGTGCTACATAACATCCGAATTAGACGAGCCGTCGTGAGCCAAGTGGCACTGCATAATATGGGAGTGACTTGTATTTCGATCCCGATCCCGGTCAGCACTGTTGATACTGCTACAATCTTGATTTGCGCCGAGGCCGACGGAAACAGGTGGCTAGAAATGATTTCTAATGGAATGGCTACGCTTCGCAGAGAGGTGATTTTTGGGCGTCGGTGATCTGTGGGCTGAATAGAGAGAGGTTGACTGATTAGCTATATTGTCGATACCAGGGAGATAGCCAAGTAGGAACTAAGGATTGTTGTCCGGCAGACTCTGAGAATTGTGTCTAGAATATCAAATCTTGTCCAAATGGTCAAAGGTGTCGAAGGGATCGCAGTAGCTAGACGAGAGTTCTAGTAAGTCCATCCAAGTACTGAATACCTAAGTAACCAAATAAATCATATACAATCCTCAAGTACCAAGTACCTATATGTGCCTTCCTTTTTTGGGTCCCTTGTTACCCCAGTTCCCCACTGAAAAGTATTCTGATTGCATTTCATTCATAGCTGTGGCCATGGAATAAACCGTAACAACCTTGGCTTTCTTGCTCCTCAAAGAAATTCTTTGTTCGTAGTTATTTTGGGTAAATAATAGAATCATAGCTGTGGCTTTGAAGGTCATCATAGTCGACAGAGGATTTCTCCATTAATTCTCTTTTTTAATCCAGGTGTCCTCCATATAAAAAGGCCTCGGTTCTCTCCCGAGTGATTCGATTTGGACACTATTACTTTCAACCATATACAACAAACAATTGTTCAAAGCTCACACTGACCACCGACAATATGCCACGCGAATATGAGCCAAATCCATTTCAATATCACTCTAGGAGCAGTATACAAGGCAAGTCTCTGTTTAGGTCAGCCACAACAGGCAAGTTAATAGACGACTGTGAAAGCAACGAGACTTCATGGGTGACTGTGAGCCTCCCCTTCAGGATGAATTCCACCCATACCGATGAAAGACTATTAGAATTTGCGATTCACGAGATCCGGAGGTACCGTGCTATTGTTTACCAAATACCGCAGCATGCGATTAGGCATGAGTGTATCTCGTTCGCTGTAGATATCAATGAGGCAGGGGTGTCCCTGGAACAAGTGACTCGTGCGTTTATGGCTCAGGCTGAGGTTGTCGCGAGATACTGGCTGAGGGAGCTGCGTGCCGGTAGGGTCACTCTTGACCGAGACCGTATTTTTTGTGTTGGGCTTTTTGATGCACATTATGACAGGGAAACGCGCAACTAGTATAGCATTCAATGGTCTGTAACCAAAGACCATGTTTAGATTGGAAGTATGTACTCTCGATTTCATGGAATTCAAAATGATATTCTTTCTCACATCAGTATGACACCGAAATTGTTATTTGAATATTCATCAGTCACAGTTGAAATTTGTGTAGCATCATTGTATCCCTAGCCCCGTTAGTATGCATGCGATGCGCTGAAGGAGACATCGAGGGGGGGATTCACTACGAGCGGACCCGGTTGACAGGCCGTATGTTGTACAGCTGAAGACAGTAGTCATACCTGGGATATAGTAGTGGCCTGTATGTCAATTACATTTGAGTTTGGAAATGTTTGGTTAGAATTAGATGGAGGTTTAGATGGTTGGTAAAACTATATATAGTACAATGACTATGTCTCTATCAAAGACCAAAGTCATCGGAAGAATGAAGAAAGCCATTGTAACAATGGAAGGCCTTTGTTAATTCTCATACGATACTCCAGATAGCTCGCATCTCAACTGTAACCTTATAAGCCCTCGGTGTCCTCTATCTCACCGGCATCACCCAGAAAAGCATTATCCTATCGCCAACGAAAAAGAACAAGAAGACCTCATCAAGGAGACAGTGAGTCCTCCCAGTCTCACTCAAGCCCGCTAACCACCAAGATGTCAAGCAAATTCCAGCCAAGCGTATACAAGAGCACGAATGGGCAATATTTCGCCGAGCCCGCCGGTGACCGAAGCGACTACTACTGGATCACCGTATATTTCTCCGAAAACATCGATCACCGTGGGATTCCAGATTCAGAAATTATGCTGTATGTAAGGGATATGATTGAAAAGGGCCGCTTCACTGTAGACGATCAGTCAATGCATGGTCTAGGGAAAAAGTGTCTCTCGATCCCTATCAAGCGGGATCCGGATACCCCTCTGCCTAAGTCATGGACGGCGGATCCTACACATCCCGATCTCCTTCTTGCTCAGAATCTTGCAGGGTATTGGAAGGATCAGATCGCGTTTAAGAAGGTTACTCTGGATCAACGGATGATTTTTGTTGAGACTCGTCGTAAGATAGTGAGTATAGAAGATATGTTAGATGTGGGAGTTACTCTGATGGATCCCTGGCGAATTTAAAGCGTTCTTTGTCTGTGTTTTCGTGTTGAGGTCCAGTTCTTTTGATTTGGATGTTTCAGCAATCAATGCAATGCGTTTTCCTGCTTTGTTTATACTTGTCACTTGATAGCTGCCAGAAATGGAGAAAGAAGATAAAATAAGATAGATCTTTCTTTCTAATTGTTACTGAAAGCCATTATTATGAATGATATAATCTCTTTTCATAAAGGCGAATAAAATACCCGAAGGGACAGCAAGAACAAGACCAAACAAGAGTATACAGATAACAGTATACATTCTGAAAGAACAGGGAGGCATTATAACTATGAAAGGATTTCATTCTCTCATTGTACGCTGCCAGAATAGCCGGATCGTCCCTCAGAATATAAACCTCGGCGTCCTCGCCTGGAGTACCATCACAGTGCATTTCCACAAAAAGAGCCCTCATTCACTCCAATCGCCACAATGCCTTTTCTACAAGCGAGTGTGTTCCAGTCAAGCCAGCTCGAGCATGGCCACCAATTCCACTTCAAGGACCCCCACAACAGCCAACCAGGTTGGCTCTGGGGGTCTGTGACTCTTCCGGATACCATGGGCCTTGGAACCAGTGACAAGGAGATTATAGTACATATATGTGAGACCATCGCAGCAGGCTTGGTTACTTGGAGCGATAGTGCGATGCACGGCTTGGGCAAATACTGCATCTCGTTTCCGATCAAGTTGGAAACACCCAAGCAGGACTTGAAAAGGCTGATGATTCAGGTTGAGTACGCGGCACTGTGGTGGGTGAGTTTCATCCGCGCGGAGACTGTTTCTATTGACAAGCACATGCTTTTCCGGGCCCGTCAGCCGCCCCCGGATCGTGAGGATCAACTTTTGGATGTGCCTTTCCATTGGGATAAGCCTGACTACACGGCTCTGAATCCGTGGTCTGTAGTCACTGTGCTACGGTAGATCGTGGGGATTGATTGGTGAAGATGACTGGGGTATCTGATTGGGCTTGGTAGGTTGATATTTCGAATGGAACAATGAGTGAGAAGATATAGTAACCCAAGTGAATGAGTAGTAATAATAGAATTTGCCGTAATAACGCCAGTATGATACAACTGGAACCTACAGATAGGTTACCAGGTCTCTATTGATGAGACTTTAGATCCACCGTGACTGTCTCGCCCTTCTCTCACGCTCTTTCATTTTCTGCATGAGGGTATATCCACATCCGGCACCAGTCATATACCCACCTAGATGGGCAGCGTGATCCATCTTGGTCAGTCGGGAGAGGGGCCAAGCGCGGAATAAGAACGCGGGAGCTACCAAGCTGAAGACCTCGGTGCCGATCAGGCAGGTAAGGAAGACCCAGCCGTATGCCCAGATCTGTTCTTGGAGCCCTTGAGGAAGAATCCACATGGTGAGTTTGTCACTAGGAGGGGTCAGTATAGGTACTATATAGAATAACAGCCAGATAAATGGCGGGAGACATACTTGAAGTGGAACATGCACCATGCGGCGACGATACCGCTGGTTGCGGCACTGGCTCCAAGGGATGTCATACCCAGGCGGCCGAGGATGACACTGCGTGTCAATGAAAAGACAGATCCCATGATACCCGAAGCGAAATAGATGGCCAAAAAGTTTCCGCGGCCGATTTCATCGTGGACTGTAGAGCAGAAAAAGTTAGAATCCATATTTTCTAGTGCTTCTCCTTGTCACAATGCATACCTCTGGTCCCCATAAGTCCCAGGACCATCATATTAGTTCCAAGATGTCTCCATGTCTGATGACTGAAAGCGCTTCCAATCATGCCAAGTGAGCTAGGATAGAAGGGAACAATCACGAAGTAACGGTTGAGCAGTTTCCACGCGGGAGGTACATATTTCCATAGCAAAGTGACTGCTAAGTTAGCTGCCACAATGGCACCCACAGTAGCCACAGCAGGAGGCACATCCGGCATGAGGCGATCCTTTCGTGCTGGGAACTCATATCTCTGAGCAAAAGTATAGCAAAGAGCAAGAACCACGAGCGAGAACAGAAGCGGAGCGAGTAGACGCTGAGCCTGCCAGTTCAAATATGGTTAACAACTAAACAACTCCACAGAGTGAACCATCCTTACATTGGTGATATTCATCGATTCAGGGCTCTCGTTGGTAGCGGCAATATGATGCTTCTGGACCCAAGCGAGATACGGCCTTTCGATAGGATCCGCACGGGGACGAGCTAAACATATCAGCACCAATACCTCACTTAGACTCGAATCTTCGTATACATACCCTCAGTGAGCGCAGCTTCCTGGTACTGCTGCAAGGAAAGGTTCTTCCCAAACTCCCGCTTCAACCGTTCGTGTTCTTCTTTTTCGCCATCGAGCCACTCCTGCCTTTTCCGTTCCTGTTCAGCCAGCAAGCGCTTCTCGTTCCTTTCGCGAGCCTCTTTCAAAATACTCTTGCCGTAAGGAGAACCCTCCTCGCCAAGCTCGGCGTCATAAGAACCGCTTTGCGGCTTATACAAACCTAGCTTTTCAGCGCGGCGCATGAGTTTCTCTTCCGCCGCACGATCCTCACGTTCAATACGGGCAAAGATAGCAGCATCCTCGTCGACGGGGTACTCATCGCGGAGCCATTCCAAAGCAGTATCAAACTGCTGCTTGGTGATCGAGCGGGCAATGTCAACTGGCAAGTCCGCATCGAGCGTGCCAGTCAGACGGTGGCCGTGTAGGACAGCCAAGATACGGTTTCCCAGCTTTGCATTGAACTTGACGGGGCCAAATATGGCCTTGATCTCGGCATCAGAGAAGGGCTTTTGGCGGGGGAGAACCTCCGAGGGATCCGATTTGGCCTTGGGCTTGGGAGATGCGGCGGACGTACGTTTGAAGCGGCGGGGGGTAGAGACCAAGTTGAGTCGTTGGGGAGATATTGGGGTTGGAGTTGGTCGGGACGGGCGAGAGAATAGTTGGGACAGAAGGTTCGGAATTGGTAGCATGGATTGGCGCGATGTACTGTACATGCGCCATGGGGCAATGCGGAGATCGCGACTGGCAGGCCGGAATGTTACTGGCAGCACGGAGGTGCGGAGCCCTGGGCATGGAGCCCGCCATACGGCCCAGACCACATTGCTCATATCCTGTGACTAGAGCGAGGGCTCAGAGAGGACCATGGAATAGAGGGTGATGGTGGATTGTTCGGGGTTCTTTTTGGCGGCATCAATGGACCGCACGGCTGCAGAGTTGTTCCGAGACCGCGATTACAACAGGTATAGAGCGAAAAGATGGAGAAATGATAGTGAGTTCTTGAATATGCTTTGTTTTTTAAGATATTACTAGTGTGAACTATAGTATCAGATGTTCTACCTAGGTATCCCATCCCTAATGCACCACTAACTAGTCAAAATCAATCTTAACTGACATCCATCTCTGATCTATAAAACGCACGTGATGATAACAGATAAATGATAATAAACGGCCCTGGAGATCATGCATCATGCATTGATTTCATCTCTCTTTCACCACTCACCAAAGAAACTTCAAATGTCGACCCAATCCCTCCCTATCACTCCGGGCGCCTTTGCCGAAGCAATTAAAGAGCTTCCCCTCGCAGTCCTCTACAGCAAAGTCTCCGAGATCACAAACTCCATCGCACACCTGAAGCGATCTAATGCTGAGATTCGTGCATACATAGCAGAAAGCAACGATTCAGAGGAAGACAAGAAGGACCTGGAGTGTCATGCCACTGAAAATGAGGCCGTGATGGTGTCCATGAATGAGCGGATCATGTTACTGAAGACCGAGGTCGAGAATCGTGGACAGCCTTGGATTGAGCTTGATGAGCTTAAGACCGACAAGGAACAGGACACTCTGGCAGATGTACCAGTGACAAATGGGAATGTGACTGAGACTGGAGCTGGAGCTGGAGCTGGAGCTGGAGCTGGAGCTGGAGCTGACGGTGCAGGAGAGGAGTCCAATGATGGGGGGGATCAGGATGGGGTCCATCTGTGACTAATTCGGTGCGTTAGTTATCTGTGTAGTCGGCTTCTTTAAGCTGGTCTGGATTTTGCTAATCTTCAAAAGCATTGTCACCAGTCTGCCAGTGGTACTCGGTTCTATTATTTGCGGGCGCTTTACTGCATTTGCGTGTGGGTCGAAGATCGGCTTATGGCAATTGGCTATGTTTCACTAACTAGCTAGTAGTGTCCATTCTTCACAGTGCATACGATGTGACGCCTGAATCATGGCTAAGAGACGGTTATCCCAAGTACGTTTCCCCAAGCCTTCGGAACCGTCCGCGTCTTCTGTAGCCCTATGCAATCGAGTCACCAGGTCTAGACAACATGGAATACGTCTAGTGAATTGTTCACAACCCCAAGTGTCATTATGGAATTATGATCAGATGACTTTATTGCAATGAAAATATTAAAAACAAGCAATGACCAACTGATGCTGAATGAAGATATGCAAGATCATCAAGTAGAATAATTCACAGCGCATGCTAAATCAAAGCCCCGGCTATGTCATATCATTGCAAATTCGCCCATTTTTTTAAATGGCAGGAGAAAGCAGAATACTAACAAGGTAATACAGCGCGGTCCAACGCCAGGTTAGCGGACATGTCATGGTCGTCAAAGTAAAAACAAAAAGGTGCAACTCCAGACCGGTGGAGCTTAAGTAGCGGCCTGCTGGGCCCAGTGGCCACCGGTGAGCGCCTCTGGGGGAACCCGCTGCTGCTTGATGAACAGCTCAATTAAGGGCTGCATAGGCTCCATCTCCTTATCGGACACAAGCCCATAGTACTTGGAGACAGTCACGAAGTGAACGAAGCACATGTTCAGGACATCGTGCTTGTTAATGTGCCAAAAGGGGTTAAGCCAATGAGCGTGGTACAAATGGGCGTAGCAGCGGAACATCTGCTTCATGATACCCTGGCAGTCCTTGTAAAAGGTTTGTGGGAAGCCACTGGACTTGCCGATCCAATCATCTGGGTTGGCGGGGTCGGAGGGAGTTGTTGATGCGCCATTGGCCTCTTTAATGGAAGATGTTTCAGGAATGCCATTTACTTTTTCGGTAGGGAACATAACAGGATCATGGATCTTGCTGACGATCCATTTCTCGACGCGGTTGATGAACTTCGGCGCGGAAATTTTGGCGGCGCGGCCATCAACAAGCCAGGTGTAGGTCAGCCTTTGAAATCGTCAGCCCCGTTTGAAATTTACCCCGCTATACTTCACATACCGTCCAGCGGACATTGTTGGACAAGTGTTCTCATTGCAAATAGGTAGACCGGTCACACCATTCACCTCCTGGATAACCTGGAGCATGCCGTGAAGTAGACGATATTGTTCAACAACTAGAGTAGAGACATATTAGCATCCCCGCTTCCACGTTGAGCTTCCATATTGCTTACTCTGGTGAGCCAGCCACTCGCCCAGCTCCACATTCTTCGGGCAAGCACAGAGGGTCAAGAAGTTGCCCCTCACATTCAGCGGGGCATACTTCTCCTGGAAGAAGTATTTGGGTCCCTCAGGGTCGTTGGCTTGAGTCTCCACTGACAGACTACTGGAAAGCGAGGGCGAATTTGACATGGTGGCTTGATGCTGGGGAGCAGAGGCCTGTGCTGGGCTTTTGGGGGGATTGTTGCTCTTGTTGCTTCCTCCTCGGCCAAATCCTTGGCGACTGTATTCGAAGATAGAGTTAGCGGGCGATCGTGGCGAGGTACGGCAGTTTGAGAATGAAGTGGGAATATATAAAAGGAAGTGTAGATGTGAATGACAGGAGAAGGCGCCAGGGAAGATATTAGACTTTAGGGAATAGAATGCTCCTTTGTATTTGTGGCGCGCCGGGGGTTTCTTCGTGCAGTATGAGGGGGTAAAGGTAGCAGGGAGATTGAACAGCCTATTGCAACAAGTCCACGACAGCACAGCATTACTTACACGCTCTGGAAGAAGGTCGCCATCTTGAAATTGATCTGCAATGCTTCAAATCAAGAAAATAACAGGGGATGAGGGACGAGACGGTGAGATGTCCACACGTTGAGGATCCCCTTTTGGTCTGGGCCATCTAGACACTAGTCCTGTTTGGGTCCGGGGTCGGAAAATATATAGCCCCGTGCGTCAATTGAATTATGAGAGCTCCGTCGTAACGATAGAACAATTGTCAATACAGGTTGCTTACTGCCAGTATAATATTCAGGAGTGTCACTAGTCCCTTCTTTACCGTCACTCACACTTCCACACATTTATGACTTTGCAACAACGATAGTTTCCATACACCATGTCCTCCTCCGACGAGGCCGTCCGACGCCCTAGCAATGGCAATAAGAGCCCTGCGCACAGCAATGCCAATGATTCTGGCGCCGACCAGATGGATGAAGGCGATGATCTCTTTGGATCGGACGGAGAGGGTGAACTCGATGACATTGAGTATGCGAACCACACCAAAGCGACCAGCGCTAGATACTGATATATTACCAGACCCCACCGCAACCTGGACGACGAACAACTTGACTCCGGTGATGATGAGAATCGCTATGATCGGCGCGAAGATCCAATGGAAGATGTGGCGGAGGAGCAGCAGGAAGTCAATGTTGCTGACCAGGACCTTGCTCGGGCTCCAGTGCCGTTGACCAACGACGGAGAGGTAGGACGAGCTCTACCTTGAAGCTTTGATATTGATCTAACTTCTGGTAACAGATCTACACAATGCGTGTGCCGGATTTCCTCTCAATTGAGGGCGAAGAATTCAACCCCGAGACTTACGTCCCACCGCCTTATCAGACCGCTGCTACCTCCCTATGCTGGCGTAAAGATCCTGCGGATGAGTCTCTTTTACAATCCAATGCCCGCATCATTAAATGGGAGGATGGCTCCATTACTCTTCAACTCGCCTCCGCCCCCCTTGAGCAATACCGCATTGCATCTAAACCCCTCGCACCTCTCACTAAATCCGGCGACTATGACCACAAGCTGGATTCCCACGTTTATCTCGCAGCTGGACTAGAAACAGCTCAAGTCTTCCGATTGACTTCACATATCACCCAAGGTCTGACTATTCTCCCGACCACTTTGGAGACGGACGATGCCGTTCAGCGACTGCAAGAACAGTTGGCCGCTGCTGCTCGTGGTAGCAAACAGACCGCAGCTGGCACTGCGCCGCGCTATGAAATAACAGAGGATCCCGAGTTGGCTGGCAGACGTGCCGAAATGATGGAAAAGGAAGCTATCAAGGCCGAGCGTCGTCGCCAGCAGCTTGCTGATCGTGAGGCCGACCGCGGTCGCCGCCATGGCGCTACTCGTACTGGTCTCAGCGGTCTTAGCGTCGGTGGTCTTGAAGATGGCGGCTTGCTTACGACTCGTCCACGTGCCAAGCCTCGCCGCCAAAACCGCCGCGGCGAGATTTACACTGATGACGAAGAGGATTACCCTCGTGGTGCTCGTAACAAAGAAGACGAGTACGACGAGGACGATGGATTCTTGGTTGGCAGCGACGAGGAGCTTGAGGAAGAAGCCGAAGATGAAGAAGAGGAGCTGGAGGATGAAGACATGGATGCCGAAGGCGAAGATGACGTGGAGACTGCACCTGCCAAAGCTGCCCGTAGCAAGCCAGAGCCTCAAACCAGAGCTGGTACGCCTCCTGCCCGAAAGAAGAACCGCTACGTTGTGGATGACGAGGACGACGAGTGAGTCTGTAGCGTTCTATTTTTCTCCTATACTCTTTTCTTTTCGCGCTTTCGATGCAGTTTTCTTGTTACATATCCACATGGTCCGGCGTCTTCTACATGGACAGGCATTCGAGGGACAATGGGGCTCATTTCACTCTGATTTGATGCCTGTACAACAAAAATTAATGAAATGGTCAATGACATATCAAGTTAGCTTCGTACCAGCGAAGCAACGTAGATTTGTATCATCTGATGCCGAATGGTATATACATATGAAATAATAACTCCACATAATCTCGGACATATTCGAAGTGCTCTAATTAGCCAGATATTTCATGCATTATGAGCCCCCGTGTGCGCTTTGTTCCTCGCAGTGACAGGCTCAACGCCCTCGGGATATTCTGAAGGATCAAAGTTGAATTTTTTGATCACATCCCTGGCACTTCCAACCACACGAAGACATAAAAACTCCTTTTCACTAGAATCCTCTTGATCTTGTGACTGAGCCGGCTCTGGTATAGACATTGAGTTCCACTGTCGGCTTGGATGTTGCCCAGGCTCATGCCAGCGGCGTTGCCGATTTTCGATTTCCATAATCATAGACAGCAGATCTGGCTGCTGAGAACAGACAATAATGGCACCTGGCTCAACGGGACCACCAATGACAGCGCGACGAACAACTTGGTGGAGCCACGATTTCCAAACTTGTGCTGGGTCAGGGCTTTGGAGTACCTCAGACACGTACTGTGGAGGCGCGGACTGCATCCCCAGTTCAACAGGGTCGGTTTGCGCAACGCGAAGCCATGAGTCCGCGACAACGGTTAATAGAGTTCCTATAAACATGATATTTTGGAGGCCCGTTGAGAAGATCTTGGGACAAACTTGACAGCGGATCACGTTCCGTGCTGTTCGTGCAGCAATATATAGCGAGCATAAAGTGTGGGAGTTGACTGGGAAGGAGGAAATGGATGTCATGTGGCTAAGGGATAGGTAGAGGTATGATAAACACGGACACCCAGACGCTGTGGAGTCGGAGGAAACTGAGGTGGCAGGAGATAGCGGCGTGGAAGGGAAAGCTGGAGGGTTGGGGAATGGCATTGGCATGGCCGTGGCTTCGGAGATGGCCGAGAAATCAGGCCAAGGAGAAGATGATGCGGGAACAGGAAGGTTTGACTGTTTTGGACGGTCTGGCCTACACATATGGTTGTGGTCTTCATAACCTGACAATAGATTTGCGGACTGGCACTGTGGCAAATTCATGTTCGTACCAGGCCGCCAGAATAACTGCGGACAAAGATGATCGGTGTCTGGGAAGGAGACTGTGTTTGGACTCATCCCTAATGAAGATTGTTGCAAGTCCTCTGGGCTGGGCCAAATTTCAGTTCCAGATAGCCCTGGGAATTCGACCCCCTCATCGTCTGTTCTCGTCCTTTTCTTGGGTGGCCGGCCCATCTGTTTTTGTATGGAATAGTTGCACGAGAGTGACTGTTTGATGCATCGCGAACAGCCTGCTGGTTCTCCGGAGCATTTGAGCTTCCGTTTTCCTGTCGAACAGTAAACTGGTCAGTGAGGGTTATATTACATCGGCCTGTGAGACTTACTACACTCGTCGCATGCTGCATGTCTTTTTGGTTCTGATAAATCATTCGGGGTAGGCAAAGAAGCCTCTCCCTCATACTCAGTCGGGAGTGACATCTTAAAAAATCGAAGATCAACAGAGCCCTTCAATAAAACATTCTAATGTTGGGCTAGGTCATAGATAGACTCGATAAGATGGGGGCGGTCATGTGGGCGGTGAGCGGCGAGGCCCGAGAAATTATCCTAAAAAAAAAACTATGGATCTACCGCAACAAGACAACACCCGCTGAACGGCATCATGAACCCCAAGGCGGCTTCAAAAAAGCGCAAGGCTGTCACTCGAGATGTCGAGGAGGAAGCCGGTGTCTTTTCCGGTGACGAATTGAGCAAAGGCAACCTCGATGGAGCCTTGTCGGACAACTCTAAGGATCTTTCGGACAACGAAGACGACGACAGCGACTCGGAAGTCGAACTTGTCGACGATTTCAGCGAGTCAGAAGATGGAGAAGAGGAATTGGACAGTGATGAGATCCCCTCTGATACAGAGGACATCAAGCCAGCTGCTGGTGAACCCAACTTCCGCATTGTGAAGGACGCCAACGGAAACGATCGTTACCTCTGGGATGAAATTCACCCGGACGACAATTCTGAACTCTCCGAGGTGGATGAAAATGCTAACACCATTGGCGACATTCCACTGAAGTTCTACGACGAATATCCTCACATTGGTTATGACATCAATGGAAAGAAGATTATGCGTCCTGCTAAGGGCGAGGCCTTGGATGCGTTGTTGGACAGCATTGAAATCCCTAAGGGCTGGACTGGCTTGACTGACCCTAAAACCGGCAAGCCTTTGCAGCTCAGCCAAGAGGAATTAGAGTTGCTTCGCAAGGTGCAGATGAACGAGGTTCCCTCCGAGGGCTACGACCCATATGAGCCTTTGGTGGAATGGTTCACCAGCGAACAGGAGATCATGCCACTGAGCGCCGCCCCGGAGCCTAAGCGCCGTTTCGTACCATCCAAGCACGAGCAGAAGCGTGTGATGAAGCTAGTGAAGGCCATTCGCGAGGGCCGCATTCTTCCTTACAAGGCACCAGAGGATAGGGAAGACAAGGAAGAGGAACTCATCAACTACGACCTGTGGGCTGATGAAGTTGAGCGACCTGACCACGTCATGCACATCCCGGCGCCCAAACTCCCTCCCCCTGGTTACGAGGAGAGTTACCACCCGCCTGCTGAGTACCTGCCCGATAACAAGGAACGCAAGGAATGGGAGCAGACAGATCCTGAGGATCGCGAGAAGGATTTCCTTCCCAAGGACTTTGGCTCCCTGCGCAGAGTTCCTGGATACGACAACTTCGTCCAGGAGAAGTTTGAGCGTTGCTTGGATCTTTACCTTGCTCCACGTGTGCGCCGTAGCAAGCTGAACATCGACCCCGAGAGTCTCTTGCCCAAGCTCCCCAGCCCGGAGGAACTCAAGCCTTTCCCCACTGCTTGTGCCACAGTCTACCGCGGCCACAAGGGCCGTGTGCGCTCTGTCAACGTCGACCCAACTGGTATCTGGCTGGCCACTGGTGGCGACGACGGTACTGTCCGTGTCTGGGAGCTCCTGACAGGTCGCCAGTTGTGGAGCGTGAAGCTCAGCGACGATGAGGCGATCAGCACGGTCCGCTGGCGTCCGGGCAAGGACGCCGTTGTCCTCGCCGCCACTGCAGGAGACGATATCTTCCTCGCCGTGCCTCCGATCGTCAACCCCGAAATCGAAAAGGCCAGTCTGGATCTCCTCGACGCAGGCTGGGGTTTCGCCGCTTCCCGACCGGCCCCTAGTGCCTCAGAGGAGGGCAAGAAGAACACGCCCCCGACCTGGATCCGTCCCTCGTCCGCTCTCGTGGACGCTGGTGTGTGTGTCGTAATCCCCCTCCGCTACGTGCCCAAGACGATCTCCTGGCACCGCCGCGGCGACTACTTTGTGACAGTCTGCTCGGGCGCCTCGACACCCGCCTCTGTCGCAATCTCCATTCACACCCTCAGCAAGCACTTGACACAATTCCCCTTCCGACGCCGCCTAAAGGGTGGTGGTCCCCCTCAGACCGCCCACTTCCACCCGTCGAAACCGATCCTGTTCGTCGCCAACCAGCGCTCGATCCGCGCTTACGATCTCTCGCGCCAGCTCCTCGTCAAGATCCTGCAGCCCGGTGCACGCTGGATCTCGTCATTCGATATCCACCCGACCTCTTCGAGTGCATCCGGCGGCGACAACATCATTATCGGCTCATACGATCGTCGTCTGCTTTGGCACGATCTCGACCTCTCTCAGCGGCCCTACAAGACCCTGCGCTACCACCGCAAGGCTATCCGTGCCGTCAAGTTCAGCAGCCGCTACCCACTCTTCGCAGATGCTTCCGATGATGGATCCCTGCAGATCTTCCACGGCAGCGTTACTGGAGATATGCTCAGCAATGCTACTATTGTGCCGCTCAAGGTTCTCAAGGGTCACAAAATTACTGGCGAGCTGGGTGTCTTGGATATCGACTGGCACCCGCGCGAGGCGTGGATTGTCAGTGCTGGTGCCGATGGAACGTGTCGCTTGTGGATGTAATCTTGAGATGCCGTTGCATGATGTCTGACATTTTTCTGGGCGTTTTTCTCTATTTATTTTTTTTGTGCATAATCTTCCTTTTGTATAGTTATCTTACAAAAAAGTTGGTCCTATAAAAATTTCTACTTAGTATCATATCAGAACAGTTAGGATGATCCATCGTGGCTCAGTAGCGGAAGGGATATAGAATTAATGATCATGTTCAGTCAAATAGCAAATGTTCAAGGTATCTTATGTCCACAATCCCAAGGAAGAAAAAATGGGAGAAAAAAAGAAAAACTCTCTAGATCTAAATATGTAAAGATGTATATCCCAAGAGAAGTACATATACAAATCAGCCTCAAACTCAAACCACACCACCACTCCAATCCCTCCTGAGCTTCTCATACTTCCTCAAGTCCGTAACACTAGGCCGAACAAATGACTTAGCAGCAACAAAGTCAACGAACTTGATACTATCGCGACGCTTGATAGCAGAGTAACCAGCACGACGCAACAAACTGCCCAAATCAGCACCACTGAAGCCCTCACACTCCTCGGCGAGTTTGCGCAGATCCTCACTAAACTCAATAGACACTTTCCGGAGAAGAGTCTGCAAGATCTCGACACGCTCGAGTGGCGTGGGCAGGTTCACAAAGAGAAGGGTCTCAAGACGACCCGGACGCAGCATAGCAGGATCAATAATATCAGGCCGATTAGTCGCAGCGATGACGTAGATACCCTGGCGACTACTGCCGAGGCCATCAAGCTCCGTGAGGAGTGTGTTGACAACACGGGCGGAGGCCTCAGAGAGCGTATCATCACGGCGAGGCACAAGGGCGTCGAGCTCATCGAAGAAAATAACACAGGGCACTGAGGAGCGGGCGCGGACAAAGACCTGGCGAACAGCGCGCTCAGACTCACCGACAAACTTGTTGAGCAGTTCGGGGCCCTTGACACTGATGAAGTTCGCGCGGGATTCATTGGCGACAGCCTTTGCGAGGAGCGTTTTACCGCAACCGGGTGGTCCCCAGAGGAGGACGCCCGTCGGCGCGGTGATGCCGACTTTGGCGTAGATATCGGGGTTTTTGATTGGCTCGACGATGGCGGTGACAAGCTCCTCGCGGATGCCGCCAAGGGCACCGATGTCGGCCCAGGTTGTATCGGGGATTGTGGCGAAGCCCTCGCGCTTAGAGGAGGGTTGGATCTTGGGGAGAGCTGTGAAGAAGTCCGCGTTGGAGACGAGGACGACTTCTGTTTCATCGCCGATGGGGGTTTCTTTAGCGTGGATAATAAGGCGGCGAAGTTCGCGGACTCGCGGGCTGATATCGTCTTCGCCTTCGATTTCCATCTCCATTTCTTCGCCGCTGTTCGACTTGAGGATCTGGAGATACCGCTTGATGGCAGCTGAGCCGGCGGTCGAGACGAGATCGTTGAGATCGGCGCCCACGAAGCCGGGGGTGCGTTTAGCTAGCGTCTTGAGGTCGATATCGTCTGCCAAACGCATTTTGCGGGTGAGTGCGCGTAGGATCTGTTCTCTGACTGGCTCTGAGGGCACGGTCATGTTGATTTCCTTGTCGAAACGACCACCACGACGCAGAGCGGCGTCGAGGCTGTCTGGGCGGTTGGTTGCCGCGAGTACGATAACGGGTTTTCCATCTGTCTTGTCGAGGGCAATATCGTCCATGCAGGTCAGTAGCTGCGCGACGATTCGCTTTTCCATCTCCCTCTGAGCGCTCTCGCGCTTCGGCGTAATCGCATCGATCTCGTCGATGAAAATGAGACAAGGAGCAAGACGCTTGGCCTCTTCAAAGTACTCGCGCAGGGCTTTCTCGGACTCTCCCGACATTCCTGATACAACCGAAGGCGCAGAGATTGAGATGAAGGGCACACCCAGTTCCGCTGCGAAAGCGTTCGCAATCAACGTCTTACCGCAACCTGGCGGACCATGTAGCAATACTCCGCGCGGGGGCTGCACGTTTGATGATAGATAGACCTGCGGCCGGGTCATGGGTAGAATAATCAAGTCCCCAAGTTCCTGAACAACATCATCCAATCCACCCAAATCGGCGAGACTGACATGTGTTGGTGGCGAACGATCTGCAGGCTCAGCTTTGCGTCGCTTGGACACAGATTCTCCGCCATGCGTTCTTCTCTTGGAGGAGCTGGGTGCCGGGGTGCTAGCGGCTTCGGTCTTTTTGGCCTTCGTTGTTGCCCACGAGCCGACGACGCTTTGGTTCATTCCATTGGGTTCCTGATATAGCAATTCCAATCAGATTTTCCGTCTGATTCGAGTAAAATATGCGCGGTGCATCACCTACCGTAGCAGCAGGCTCCTCGAGTCCCTCAAAGTCCCCCTCCACGGAATCCTCATCATCTTCACCCATATCAGCTTTGATAACCTCCAAGACTCGCTCAAGACTGTCCTCAATGAGTCTCTTCGGTTTGCGATTCAAGCTTGAGTTTGATTTCTTAATTGTGTCATAAATCGCTGGGACCGATAGTCGGATGCGCCCAGTCTCGGACTGGTCGTCGATAATCTTGCGCACGATCTGGTAGACCTGTTTTTTTTTTGGGTGAGTCAAAGCCACAAAGATTCATTGTATACACACCTCACGGTCCAGGCCCTGACTGAGGGTCGGCCTGCCTCCCTTCCTAGCAGCCATGATTCGATATGGTTGTTATGCAAAAAAAAAGGCCGCGGGCCCGAAATTTCGGAGATTGGAATTTTGAAAGATCGGTTGAAAATTACACGTAATTACGCGCCCGTTACATAACGTCATTCATGTCTAGGCCCGCATCTACTCCGTACATATGGGGGTTCTCCCTTCTCTTCATCAACATGGGAAACTCGAGTAGTTCGCAGAAGATATCTGCCCAGGATCGGTGAGTGCAGCCTGCTTTACTTTATACATACAATATCAACAACCTATTCTCAATCCCGCCTCCCAGGGCGTTCTATTATTGCCCTCACGAGACCCCTCATCCCCACCCAGCATGCCCATTCAGGGAACGCAATAGTATGATTTTAGCTAACCAAACACTCCGTGGTAACTGTAGGGCAATTCTCGACCTCAAGAATCAACGCGACAGACTGCAACAATATCAGCGACGAATAACCGTCCTCACAGACCGCGAAACGGAAATCGCCAAGGAATGTCTCGCGCGCAATGATCGGCGGCGAGCACTACTCGCCCTTCGCCGCAAGAAATACCAGGAGTCGCTCCTTGCGAAGACAGATGGTCAACTCGCGCAGCTGGAGCAGTTAACTGGGCAGGTGGAGTTTGCGCTAGTACAGAAGGACGTGTTGTTCGGATTGCAACAGGGGACGAAGGTGCTGCAGACTATCAACAAGGAGATGGGTGGCATTGAAGGTGTTGAGAGATTGATGGGGGAGACTGAGGAGGCGAGAGCTTATCAGGAGGTATGTGCCTCGTTGTCTCTTGTTCTTGTTCGGTTTTGCTGACGGTTGTCATAGGAGGTGAGTCAGATGCTGGCCGGTCATTTGACGAATCAAGATGAGGATGAGGTCGAGGATGAGCTGGAGGCTCTGCAGCGGGAACTTTCTGGTCCTGAAATCCTGCCTGATGATGTCGTACTGCCGAGTCCGCCTACTGCTGATCTGCCCGTTGAAGAGCCAGTGCCAGAGTCGACTCAGAGAAGCAAGGCTAAGGCTGAGACTCGGACAGCTTTGCCTGCTTAGTGGGGAGATATGTTGGATACTCGTTGCACAGCATCAAGCATTGCATTAAATTGATCCATAGCATTTTTTTTGGCGTTTCAGCTTCTTTGTTTTTGTTGCCTACATTGCTGGTAGAGTTCATGTGTTCTAAGGCGTTACTGGTTGGCTTTATTGCTCGTTGTCATACTCGTGGTCTATATATTATGACACCATCAGTCCGAGGTTTACAAATGATACTCAATATATGAACCCAATTCACTGGAATGAGAATCACATAACATCAATGAAATCTATGTAGAAGTACATAGTAGTAGAATGGTATTGTCGTTAATCATGACGGACCCAAGACACACCAGGTCATACTTCCCCCTCGAACGAAGCCTATCTATTGCCCAGGCATAATACTGCCACCGACACCACTAACACCAGGAATAGAGACATGATCCTGGGGGTTCGCCGCAGCCTCATAAAGGAAATTAATCGGCTCCCGGGTTAACTTCATGAACTGCCCCTTGAAGCCTACATACCCAACCTTAGTCACATCCTCCTCGCCATCACTCCAATTATCCTCAAAGAAGAGCGTAACAAAGGTAGTCGCATTCCAATGAGCGCGGTTCAAGGGTAATTCAAAGACATCGGTGCCGGGTACAGGCTGCGGGACCTCAATTGTTTGAGTCGGGTGCAACTCCGATGCGGTTGAGAAATCCATATCGTCGCGGTTCTTGAACAGCTTTATTGTCTTTGGGGCGGAGCTTGTAGGCGCTGTGTACAAAAGGAGGGAGTGGACGTTGACCTGGCCGTTGAAGCTATGTTATAGAAGCTCGGATTAGTTTGGGGTTGGCGATAACGGTGAGGGGTCAAATTAGTGGGGGTGTGTTTAGGATTTTCGTGACGCGTCGCAAGGGGTTGAACAACCACTATAAAATGTAGGATAGATGTGTGAAATGAGCGAGACTCACGGGATGGTCATGAGCAGTTGTTCGTCGGCATCACTTTCGAGCTCGGGCTTGTCGTTTAGTCGCTCGGCCCAAGTTTTCTGGACGATGGCTGTACCAGAGTTTGGGGTTGTCTCTGTCAAGATTTAAAAAATCGTCAGCAATAGTTGCCTGGTGATCACAATGGTCATGAGTACCATTCAGGGTTGTGATCAGGTCGAAGTTGATCTGGGAGTAAAGGAGGGATTGGATGGCTGGAGTGATATCGTTGGTATGGTCGTGATCTTCACCGTGGCAGTGGCCATCGTGGTCATGATGGTGCCCTGACATTGCAAGATATTGGTATAGATTTGATGTTGTACAAGATGTGGATAAGGCAAAGATGGATTTGGATATTTGAAGGTGAAATGTTTTGGAAGCTCTCCACTCCCGTGACGTCGTTTTATCCCGAGGGATCACATTGTTCGAAGTGAATTGATATTTCTATGTATTAATTTACAATGAGGTAGTATATCTGAATATCTCACTGTACAGTACAATGGCACAAATTGCCTCTGTCGCTTTTACTGCCTTGGTTTCCGTCGATCTATAAAATGCAACCAACACACTATATCTCAATTCCACAGCCCCCTCAAACGCCTGGGTATTATTGTACATGTCCCTCCTCTCTAGCTGAATTCAAGGTGCTGTTATTGCCTGACTCGGTAATAATCCGGAGCATACTCTAGCAGGTAACTCTTCTCGATCTTAGTGACATCGCGGATGTAAGTTTTGTCACCCGTTTGCATGATTTCGTGGAATATGACCCAGTCGGCTTTTCGGTTCTATATTCACTTTAGTAAACCCAACATGTACTTTCCCACATGATCTATGGGTACTCACAAACATCAACGAGGTGGGGTGAGCATGAAGAGTCAGACCACCGCTGACAGTCTTAAAGGTTCCATCTGGTTGCATCTTCGCCGCGTGAGCAAAGTAGCCAGTCGTAAGACACCGCCGAATCTGCTCCGGCTGCTTGCTCAAATCGGCTGTGCCTTGACGGGATGAAAGTGTCTCATCGACTTGAATGCCAAAGCGTTCTAGGTACCGTTTCAACTGGCCTCGGATGCTCACTGCGCGAAGCAGTGCCCGGTAATTCAGGAGGTTGTCGCGACACCATTTTGAGTCTTTCTTCCCTTTGGTGACAAAGGCTTGGTACACGTTGAGGTACGTCAAATGATCGCCCTCTTCAACGGCGAACTTTCGCCGGTGACTCTCGGCAGATCTTTTGTCTCCAGCATGTTGAACCCACACGGTCCCCTGTAGGTTGACCATGGCCGCAATTGTAAGGATTTCACTTAAACAATTGAAAGATGGTGCGGTGAGAAGAACTTTGGCCATCATAGGATCCAGGGCAATTTCTGCCATCCGTACTCCAAGAGGTTTCGTGAGTTTGGCATAGTCGTCAATCGCACCGAGAGAGGACAAGAGCTCAAGTGCACGAATAATAAGTTCTGCCGGCGGAGGGGTCAAAAAGTCGAACCGGACAATATTGTCAATGCCCAGTGCTTTAAGCTGCATAATGACCGGTGCGAGATTTGATCGCTGAATTTCAGGTACGGTTGCCTCCGGCATCTGCTCAAACGCTTGTTGCGTGTACAGACGGAAACATTTCCCTGGTTTCGTTCTTCCAGCGCGGCCAGCTCGTTGGGTGGCGGATGCTTTGGATATTGGCACTGCAGTCAGTGTATCAATACCAGTATTGGGGTTGTATGCCCTGAGTTTGGCAAAGCCAGAATCAATCACATATACAATCCCATCGATTGTGACCGAGGCCTCGGCAATGTTGGTGGAGACAATGACTTTTCGGGTGTTTTCTGGAGTCGGCTCGAAGACGTACATTTGCTGTTCCGTTGTAAGTCCAGCATAGAGTGGCAGTGGAAGCAGAGATGGGGCCTTAGGATGGAGAGTCGCCGCTCTTTCGGATATCAACTGAATTGCTGTGTCGATCTCTTCCCGGCCAGTCAAAAAGAGAAGTACATCGCCTTCTGGTTCTTGGGTATGGATATCAAAGACGGTCTTGACTGCTCGTTCTATGTAATCTTCTGCCGGAGACTCAAGGAACAGCATATCAACTGGATACATTCGTCCTTCCAGACTGATGATCCGACCAATGCTTCCACCCAAATCCGCCGGTTCTGCCTCGGGCCGGTACTCGTCGCCCGCGAAGAAACGAAGAAAGTCCTCTGCTTGGAGGGTTGCACTACTAACAATAATGCGAAGTTCAGGGCGCTTCTTGCGGATCTTCTTCAGAGTTCCAAGCAGCACATCGGTACTGAGAGATCTTTCATGTGCCTCATCAACCATGATTACTGAATACCGCGAAAGCAGGGGATCAACCAGGGCTTCTCTGAGAAGCATCCCATCTGTCAAGAATTTGATTCTTGTTGCAGGAGATGTCAAATCTTCAAATCGGATGGAGTAGCCCACCTCTTCGCCGACTTTGCATCGCATCTCTTCGGCTACCCGCGTTGCAACTGTTGTAGCAGCCACCCGTCGGGGCTAGAACAGAGTTAGTCGGTACTTATTCCAAATATGATTTGATCAGTGCTCACCTGTGTAACAGCAATGATCTTCCCATCCTCACACCATCCTGCTTGGTCTAAATATTGCGGAAGCTGAGTTGTTTTCCCACTACCTGTTTGGCCCACCACAATAGTGACGGGGTATTTCTCAACCAGGTAGAGCAGGTTCTTTTTGTGACGTGCGATAGGTAATAAAGCAGCCGGTTTATACAGAGCTGGAATGAAAGAGGTCGAGAGCTCCTGTTCTGAAGCCATTTTAGACCGAATTTTAGCTGAGAACGAACTCTTCTGGATTTGAGCCCGGTTGTTAAAAGAAACCGAATTGGGACTGGGCCATTCTGAGGTGTCAAGCGCTTTGCAGATTGGCAACTTGGAGATCGTCGGAGTTCTCGCAGAAACATCCAGGGCGATCTGTATAAAGCAGCCCGCTATCACGTGCGCCCCACGTCACTTGAAGCTTCCCCGATATGTTCTGCTCTCAGACATTCTCAGGCAACACAGTTTTTGTGAATTTCCCTTCAGTCACTTTCAATACTCTGGCAGGTCCTGAATATACCTCAAGATGTCAGAGGAGGAAAAGATGGTATGTTTCAACCGGGTATCATTTCTTATCGCATGAGGCTCACGTTCATACCCAGAACACTTCCAGCAGACCCTCAGCTGCCCTTGGTTCCTCTAACAGCCTCCGAGCCGAGTCACCGACCACCGCGCGCCCGATGGACTTTGACGACGAGCCCCAGGAGAACGGGATTATTACGTCCGACCCTATCGCTACTCAGCCAGCTGCCGCCGAGGCAGCCCCGCCAAAGCCGCCCCGGCCCCTGAACCCGAGAGAACAGTCGGAGAACACCCTTAGGGAGGCATTTCCAAGCATAGAGCCTGGCGTCATTAAAGCGGTCCTGACCGCAAGCAATTGGAATGTCGAGCCGGCGTTCAATGCCCTCCTGGGTTCGTGGGGAATCTACTAAGAAATGAGTATGAGCTGACCACGACCTCGGCTTGCAGGTATGACCGACCCCAAGGCTCAAGAAGAGATGGCACCCCCGCCAAAGCCGCCGCGCCCAAGCCAACAGAGCACTGCTGCACAGCGACAACTGGAAGCCGATGAGATGTATGCACGTCAACTATCTGAGCATTACAATGCGGCAGGACGTCGCGCACCACCCCCGGGCTGGGAGAGTGATCCCCGATACCAGCGACCTAGAGGAAGCGAGGAGTCAGAGGAGAGAGAATACAGCTTTTTTGATGGTACGGGCTATAGTGGCTTGCCGAATGGGCTCGTGCTAACTGGACGTTTACAGATGATCTACCTGTGATTCGCGAGAACCTCCGCAAGGGCTTCCTGGAGACGCAGAGTAAGGTTAACTCGTGGGTAACAAACCTGAAGAAGCGTATTGATGGAGAGGACCTGGATGAGGAGCCTAGCCATAATCAAAGAGAGACTCCTGTTCATGCCCGGCCCCGACGTAGTGGTGATATGGGCCGTCGCAGTGGAGATCGTGAGCGTTACGACGCGGACCCCAAGGTTCTCGGGGATGATTTCTCTGCTCTTGAGTTAAGGGATGGAGAAGGTAGATAACGATCTCAAGTGTGGCATCATTGGGTCTTGCTAACTGTGCACAGCTCCCCCACCTCGCCCCCCTCGTCCGGGCCGCCCCAACTCTAAACCATCCGCATCTCCTTCTCCAGATAGGCGTAAGGTGTCTTTCCAGGATGGACCGCCCGTCGAGATCGACAACCTTTACGATGCTTCCACGCCATCCAAGCGTCTCAGCTCAACAGGCAACAAGGCGAGCAAATGGCAGCCACTGTCCACCGTTGAGCCTTCTCCCGTCGCGGAAAATGACCCATTCAGCCTTGGCGACAGCGATGACGAGAAGGAAACTAAGATCAAGGAGCATACCACGGGCTCGGAGGGCGATCAGCCCAAGCACGTCACTGTCGAGTCAGTCTCCGACGAAGTGGGTTCCACGGACCAGGAGACCAAGGGCGCGAGCAAGCCCGACGAGTCAAAATAATCGCGAATGTCTGGAATTTGAATATCCCCACTGTTATCTGCGCGAAGCACTTCTTGCCTTTCCTCCCAGCCCGTGACCATATTTATTTCCCCTGTCGTTTTACTCTGCCAACTTGCTCTGCTATGCGCTACCCACCTCCCTGATTTTACGATACCTAGTAGAGGTAGCCCAAGACGTTTTTCAACCTTCGAATACCTGCATAAACCCAAGCCAAATTGAATCTGTATTTGTACCGGAAAGAAACAAAACAAAAGGGTATATCTCCGACTGGCCCGTATAGTAGCCTCAACGCCAAAACCAAAACAAACCAACAGGCCTCGTTCAATTCACTGATAGGCATCAGGCAACTCCCGAGGTCTCTTACACCCACGCCGACTCCCCAAAACTATTACTCCATGGCGGGAGCATTACCCACGCGCTTTGAACCTGTCTCCTTGCGCAGATCCTTGATGACAGTCTGTAAAGTAGAGTCAGCTGAAAGATACCTCCAAAAGCCGAGTAATGCGCGTAGAGTGCTGTTATTGGTCTCGGGGGAAACGCGTACCGCCAAAGCATCGGGGTTGACCCCGTTCTCAATGAGAGACACACAAAGTGACAGCTCTGTCCGGTCCAGGTTGGTATTCTATTCAAAATATCAGTTTTATGGTTACAGCTTTATCTTCTTTTTGTAAAGAAGAGAGAATGACGACATGGATTAGGCAGTCTTGAATTCTGAATCCTCTCTAGTTTAGTCCGGGATAAGCACGCACCAGCAAGTCGGAGATCTCCTGAAGAATATCGATGACTTCTCTGGCAGCTTGGCGCTTGTCATCAGCCTGATCTTGAGTTTTTGGCGGCATATTTTGTTTTGAAATTGAAGGTGGGGGTTGTTGAAGTGTAAGGCGGTTGAATCTGTGTGGTTGGAGTTGAGTTGATTGTGTGGGACTCTGCTGCGGGTCAAGGCAAATCATCGGCGCATACGGAGTATATTGCATGGAGTACTCCATACATTAACGTGATATTTGATATTTTGATAATTATCTGTATTCTCTAGGATACAACATTTTAGTTAATCTCTTAAAATCTATGAGATATTGCGAACACTAATATTAGTAGGGCATTCTCTATTCAATTGTCAATAGATGGCAATCTGTACACTCTCAATCCTCGCGATAAATGCATTGTCCATAGATGGGAGAATTGGACTATACGCGGCCACCTTGATAACTACCACTAAGATCTAGTGATCTTCCCATTCGCACCGAACCCTAATCACAACCATCCCCGCCCTTCTTACTACCCGTAGACGTTAGGACTCGGGTGAGATAGAAACAGATCCAATAGGGAGATTGAAGAAAATCTGATATTATGGCTATTTATGTCAAACGAACTGTGCAATAGAGTACCTATTAGGCTGATCCGGCTAATCCTAGGGCCAGTGAATACTTTTGTTGTTTTTCGGCATCCGGAAGTTAATGAATACCTACATGTATGTAGGTTTACACCCTTGTAGGGGACTTTTGTTTGCTATGGGTTGTGTATAGGGTTTACCATATGTAGGTAGTAGACATTCTTTCACATCCTTTTCGTTTCCCTGTTTCTCTGTATGCCTTTTACATACATTTTTCTTATATTTACATAATTTGAGACTACTTTGCCTTACTGTGACAGCCTAACTCCATGCAATGGGCCATTATGAAGATATATTTGATCCCTAAATAGCGTTACCCTACAGAAATGTCCTGGCATCGCCAATATGCCTCTCGTGAGCATGTAGCTAATGTAGGTTTGTTTTGGGCATGTCTCTAGGAAGAGGTGATTGGAGATATCTTGACAACATTGAGATCAACTTTTAAAACTGTATCAAAGTAATAGATTGAATGGAGGTCAGGACGGAGAGCTGCATGGTCGAGAGGTTGAGGTATACATGTGAAGCGTTACATCCTAGGACCTAAGCTGAGCACACGGCAAACCCCCTAGAAGGTCATACTTCGCCTACAGTAGCTGTTCTTTCACTAGAGAGAGGATTTATATAACAAGCTTGGAACATTCTAAGAACTAGGTCATGAAAAACGAGGATAGAGCCTCAGGCCCTCGTACTACATATGTACTATGTAGCTTGTATGTTGTAAGCTTCAAGAGAAAGCTGCATATAAATAACCATTCAATAGAAGATAAGATGAACCAAAGGTAAATACAAATATCATCAGGTGATTCTATCTTCGGTTTTGTATCTGGAGATAGCTGATATAGAAACGTGGACCGGGAAAAAAAGGAAATGCGACAACATTGGTACGAGGCGAACGGCGATGCGTACTAAATGGTTAAGGTAAATGCGTTCAGAGAACGATGTAATCAACCAAATTAAAAGTCAAGCTGTACACACCGTACTTCAGCTCTTCTCTTACTCACATTTCCCACGAACCCATCTGCAGCCAGCCCTATCGGGTTGAGGCCAAACATCATGCCTTTCAGCGTGACTGCATTCAATAGGGACACGGGATTCGTCATCGTACCATCGACAGACCCAACAGCCTGGCAACAATTCCGACACCGACCCTGTCTTTTCCTCGCCCGCAAGCTCTCTGCCTGGCGACCAGCCAACCGCCCCGACCTGCCTGAAAAACCTATCACTGTAGTCTGTATTGCAAACGCCCACAGACAGCGACCAGTGATACCGCATGGTGACATTCTGATCTATGCTGGTGGGTTGGCAGCAGATGGATCGCTCACCGAACTCCAAGCCACGCTGGACTGGCTACGATCTCAGCCTCACTACACTAAAATCGTTGTGGCGGGCAGATCTGACCGGTATCTTAACGTATTCAAGAAGGGGGGTGACCGCTGGAGATATGGATATCACAATGCGGCACAATGGAGCGACATCATCTATCTGGAACACGAGCATGTCACAGTGACTGCTCAGAATGGACGCCAACTCCAGATTTTTGGAAGCCCATACTCACCAAAGACTGTTCCGTTCCCGGCCTTCCAGTACCCTGAGACTGATAATATTTGGGACCAAATCCCTGGCAGCGTGGACATTCTCATCACTCACACACCACCATACACGCACCGCGACTCTCTCCAAGGATGCTGGCATTTGTTGGAGCGGCTTTGGAGGGATCCTCCCCGACTGCATGTTTTTGGCTGTTCTCTTGAGAATTATGGCTCTGAACTTTTGCATTATGATGCTCTTCAGGAGGCCATGGAGCGCATTGAGGCTGCCGGTGGGGGCTTTGTCAATCTTCTGAAGGTGCTCAAAGCGCTTGTACAGTCCTTTTTCCGTCCTAGCATCAAAGCTAAGACTGCGCTCGTGAACGCATGCATTGAAGGGGGATTGTGGCATCCCGGACGCCAACCAATCACGGTTGTTATTTGACTTGGGCTGGAAATTGGTTGCCTATGCGCCTAGGCACTTTGAGGCACTTTGCGAGGATGAGGTGACTCGATGCGTGATTTACCAATGAATGAACCACCTGCTTTAACTGTACATGCCTAGACGCGTAGATGAAATTGAGATATTGTCGACTCGTAGTTGTTTATAGACCAAGGGGATTCTCATTGGTCGAAACTCACCGGTGGGGACCACGACACTTTTCACTACACTCGATGTTTGAACTTCCTACTTTTACACGGCATAAACTGTCACAGTTACAGTGTCAAATATCTGGAACAGGCGTGCTAAAACTAGTCAGCCGTGGTCTGGAATGGCACCTCGATCCGAAACGGGAGGAATGTCCGGCCTCACCATCTCGGACATTCATTCCTTAAAGAGGAACGAGGCACTGGAGATTCTTGCCCAAATTTCACGCGTCGAGAAAAGGACCTTCCCCACCAATGAGGCATTTCCATTCGGCGAGGATTTGTGGAGAAAGAAGCCTAACACGCGAGTTCTGTACGCGATTCGAGCCAAGGGATTGCAATCTGATCTAATTGCCTATGCGGTCTATGTCCGACAGAAGGGCGTTGCGCTCTTGCACAAAGTCTGTGTGACAGAGCCTAACCGCCGTCAAGGTGTCGGCCAGGAGGTGCTGTCCTACATTCAGCAGCGCCTGCGAAAGGAGGGCTGCCAGTATATTCAACTCTGGGTGGACCAGGCCAGGGAGCCTGCACGCGCCTTGTATCTCCGAATTGGATTCGAGGAGCGTGAGGTCATCCCTGATTACTATGCCCCTGGACGAACAGGTATCAAAATGGTCCTGGACTTAGAAGCGTGATGGTTGAGCCACTGCCGTCAATGCTGCACTCCACGGGCCTTTTTCCCCCCACTAAAAATGTGCCTTGCCTTATCGGTCCCTTTGTAATACATCCTAGGGACAATAAGTCATGGTGGTTGGACGCGTCTATGCTCCTTGGCTGCTGCAGGAGCCACCTATCGCTACCCCTTGCATAGACACGGGCATCTTCGAAACGTGAGATTATAGCGATCGGGCCTGTGTCCATTCTCCGCTATCATTCTGCTACATACCTCCGTGATATCTAACATATCCAGGTATGGCTTTTTTCAAAGGGCACGCCTTGAATGTCTCCCTGGTCCCTTTGGTGCGAGAGGGACCGCGATCCTTTTCTGGAAGATCATGCGTGATACTCATTCATCTTCGTCCTGAATCTCTTTCTTTCAATCTTGACTACTTTCACTATCTTTCGCCGTGAGACTGGGAGCATCATTGGTGATTGGCGAGCTAGCTGTGTAATTTCCAGCTATATACAGTTCCAGTGTGCTCGCGTTCTCTCAATCGACCATGGCGTTCTTTCTCACCATCGTGCTGGCTTTCCTGTCCGTCGCCAGTGCAGCATCACTGTCTGCCAATTATCCTATCAACGCGCAATTGCCACCTGTTGCCCGAGTTTCACAGCCTTTCCGATTTGAATTCGCCCAAAGTACTTTCTCCAACAGTGACGCGGACACTAAATACTCTCTATTAAACGCACCATCATGGCTTGAAGTGGACAGCACCAGTCTCACCCTATCCGGTACACCGCACTCAGGCGACAGTGGCGCGATCACTTTCAAGCTTGTGGCATCGAATGGATCGGAAAAAGACAGCATGGACGTTACTCTAATCGTGACAGCAGACCAGGGACCGACGGTGAACAAACCGCTTGTACCTCAGCTGCAGAAGTTGGGACCGGTCTCATACCCTGCCACGCTGTTCATTCACCCCGGTATTCCATTCTCGATTGAGTTCGATCCGGATACCTTCAACAACACGCATCCCTCCACGATCTACTACGGGACATCGCCAAACAACGCCCCGCTACCTTCCTGGGTCAACTTTGACCCGGCAGCCCTGAAATTTGTTGGAAATAGCCCTGCTTTTCCAGGCGCGGGGCCTCAAACGTTTACCTTCCAGCTGATCGCATCAGATGTAACTGGATACAGTGCGGCCAAGATGACTTTTGAACTATCGATCGGTCCCCATATTCTGACATTCAACGAGACTGTCCAGACTTTTAACCTTACGAGGGGAGAGGAGTTCAACAGTCCTAATTTCACTAGTCTTCTCTCTATGGATGGTTCGCCAACTTCTATCAAAAAGCTGGCAAAAGTCGATGCTGAACTGCCGAATTGGTTGAAACTGGATAAGGACAATATATCGCTGAGCGGGACGCCACCGAATAATGCTGTGAACCAGAATATTACTATTGCCGTTACAGACTCTTTTCAGGATCAAGCGCAGTTGATGGTTCGCCTAGAATTCCTCAAGCTGTTCCTCGATACTGTCGATGGCTGCGAGGCCGCGATTGGCCAGGAGTTCAAGTTTGTGTTCAACCAGTCTATTGTCACTGATGACTCTGTACAATTGGAGGTCGATTTGGACAACGATCTCACATGGCTTACTTACTTCTCGGACAACAAGACTCTTTACGGACACGTTCCGGATGACATGGATCCTAAGAAGTATACCATCCCTCTTACTGCATATCAAGGATCGACCAAAGACACAATGGACTTCATTCTCGATGTGCTGAGAGCCTCGGACACACACTCGAATCCCACAGATCCGTTTACCAATTCTAACAGCCCCAACCACAAGAAGGCTGGCATCATAGCCATCTCAGTTGTGGTTCCATTCGTGGTGATTCTGAGTCTGCTGATTCTCTTCTGCTGCTGGCGTAGTCGCAAGAGCTCAGCCACGGTCGAAGAAGGTCCGTCCGACAGCAAGATTCCTCCGCCACGACCTGTTAGGCCAGATGTTCCTAATTGTCAGCCATCCATGGCGGAAAGACCTTCTCGTGATGACAATTCCGAAGATTGGATGAGTCCTATCTCCCCATCGTCGATTCCCAAGCTCGAACTTGGGCCCGCGTGGAACGTGTCATCATTTGATAAACGGGAGCACCCAGTTAACTTTACTATCCCTGAGCCCGTTGTTCCCCCTCGCTCTCCTGCTCGCAACTCTCCCACTCGCAACTCTCCCATTCGCGGGGGCTTTGTCCCACTACGAGACCCCATCACCCAAGAGGACAACCCAGTCCAAACTGTCTCACCTTCCAGGAAGCAAAACAATCGCCTCTCATACACCAACAGCCCTGTGCGTCGTAGAACCACCAACCGGTCCCGACGAGAGCCATTGAAGCCGATCCAAGCGCGAGCCGTGAAGCGAGAATCTCTCCAATCATCCAAGTCCAAGAGATACTCAAAGCGCTCAAGCGGTATTTCCTCCATTGCCTCTGGACTACCTGTACGATTCAGCGGAGCCGGCCATGGTGCCGGCGGCTTCGGACCTCCTGGACACGGCGTGGTGCACGCATCGTGGCAAAACGCACGAGCATCAATGCTGAGCGATGAGACTAGCCTAACAAATATGGCGCCGATTTTCTCGCGTCCGCCAGCAGCAGGACGCATGCGCCACAGCATGGCATCCAGCCTCCACGACAACTACAAGCGTATGACCCTACGCACTGTTGAGCCCGACGACTCCATCCTTTCCGAAGCCGACTCCCTCGAAGCCTTTGTCCACAGCCGAGCCAAGCACCGCAACTCCTCCAACCCTCTCTTCTCCGCGCAAATAAGCCGGCGCACTTCCTCGGGCATGCGCGCACTCGACCGAAACCGCAGCATGCGGAGTCGTGCCGACACCGTCTCCGTGTCAACCTTCAGCGACGAATTCCGCCAATCCATCCAAGAACGTCCCTTATCGACTGCGATGTCCGCCTCTGACTACGGTGACGACAGCAACAACAACAGCCGCTTCTCTCAATATCAGAACTCCCAATTTCAGAACCAGCCCGGTCTGTTTCCCCTTGCTGAGGGAAGCGTATATGGCCAGAGCCAGTTGAGTCTCGCACAAGACTACCGCGGTGCTATCTCCCCGCTGCCGCGGTTCTGGAGCGAGAATAGTCTGGGCAGTGCTCGGAAATTGGAGGGCCAGGGCACCTCTCAGCCTCAGAAAGTGAATGATGAAAATGCTATGCCGCCCAGCTCGTCTATGATCTCGGATTTGGACGAACATCTGTCCCGCAAGGTCAGCCCTAGCAAGGACCCTGATCATCCGTGGTGGCTGTCGTCGCCTCTTGAGCCCCCGCGGCCGCCGAAGAGTGCTGATAATCGGGGTCTTCCTGTAGCCAGCAGTGGAGAGCTGGCATTTGTTTGATCTCTGACTTCTTCGCCTATATTTTCCTTGTTTGATGTCTCTCTATCTCTCTATTTGTCTTTCTTTTCTTTCTATTATCGTTTCTGGCGTTATCCGGCATTGCGAGCATGATATCCATTGGCTTTTCTATGGTTGATTCGTTGGTATTTTGGTATTTTAGTGAAGTCTCTATGCTAGTTAATCTAGTTCTAGAGCCAATAGTAATATCTCTGCTTCATTGTTTGATCGTTATCGTAGTGGGCCACTGGGGCTTTTAGGATACACCGCTTGGCTTTCTAACATGGAATAATACTGTGCGATGCGATACACAAGTAGTAGCATGGCTTATGAGCGGGATAAGAGCACCAAAGAGGAATATTAATCCCTACATATAAGAACTATAAGAATAGTGTAGATTTTGAAATTTTCGAATATGGCGTGACTGTACGGTGACTCCATGGCCCCTATTTATCGTACATGGAGATTCTCTTCAGGCTCAATGAGATACAGAATACAATATGTTAGATCCTACGTAGTCTTATGTATGACTTCTTTATAACAAATATCTCTGAACTCCTAAACTTCCTCCAACATTCCCAGAGAACAGGCCAGACACCACCTCACGTGACTCTATAGAGGCACGGCGTAACAAAAGCGGTAAACGCAATACCAGGAAATCTCTGCGAGGGTCTTGTCTGGACTCGGACTTCTCTCTCCTAGCTTCCTTGAAACTTGTCTTTCTAATCCTCATCTGCGAAAAATCCCTGTTCTTTTCCAAAAACATCCCAAGGCAAGAAATCCTATCGTCATCCGTCGTTCCCCACTTATCGCGGGACCCAGACGCGCGCTGAAAGCCCTGCGCCCTCATCTGACCCTTTCCCTACAGCACATCTCCTAGCATTTTCCACACTTCGATCCGGAAACCTCGAATCCCCCACCTTCCCCGAATTATTCAATCTTTGCCAATATGGGTCAAACCCTATCGGAGCCGGTGGTCGAAAAGGTGAGTCGATATTTCGCTTTTTTGATTCACACCCCACACTGGCCCATTGTGACCCTCCAATGTCCTTTCTTATGGCGTCGAAACACTCCCCTTTCTTGGCTTCTGTTATACCTCTGAACCAGGGGGTTATGGACCGAGTCCCTCTCAGTTCTTTCCGTTGAACAAATAGTCCGTGCTGTCGCTCGGAGGAATCTTCCTCGGGTTGCCATGCGGGGTCTTGGGTAGTTCAGCTGAGTAGTGGGGGGTGGTTCGAGCAGCAACGAACTGGCATCGCAATCCTACCAGGCAGCCTTGCATATGTTGTGGAAAAGCATCGAGTGTAACTAACTTGTTATTTTTCGCTTGTTACAGACCTCGTCCGAAGGCGGGGATGACTCCTGTGTGTATGGTGTGTCGGCCATGCAGGGCTGGCGAATCAGCATGGAGGACGCCCACGCTACAATTCTCGACCTCCAGGCAAAGTATACCGGCACCAACGAAAAACCGACCGATCCGGAACACCGTCTCGCCTTCTTTGGTGTGTACGATGGCCACGGTGGAGACAAGGTCGCATTATTCACCGGCGAGAACCTGCACAAGATCGTCTCTCGACAGGATGCTTTCGCCAAGGGCGATATTGAGCAAGCCATGAAGGATGGTTTCCTTGCGACTGATAGGGCTATTTTAGAAGGTTTGTGCGATGTTGTCGTTGCCGAGGTACTTCGTGCTGGATCGCTGACTTGAACCCAGACCCCCGTTATGAGGAGGAAGTGTCTGGCTGCACTGCTTCCACGGCCATTATCTCACAGAAGAAGATCTGGGTGGTATGTTATGACCTTGAAAAAAAAAGCCCCTATATCCGATTAAAGGGGTAAACTGACCGGTCAAAGGCCAACGCTGGTGATTCACGATCCGTCTTGGGTGTCAAGGGACGTGCAAAGCCACTCTCATTCGACCACAAGCCTCAGAACGAGGGTAAGTGCATGGAATCATACAAGCCGCTACATGAAACATTATGAGGGTCTGACAAATAATTCAAACAGGCGAGAAGGCTCGTATCACCGCTGCTGGCGGCTTCGTCGACTTCGGTCGTGTCAATGGCAACCTTGCCCTGTCCCGTGCTATCGGTGACTTTGAATTCAAGAAGAGCCCTGAGCTCTCTCCCGAACAACAGATTGTCACTGCATACCCCGATGTGACCGTTCATGAGCTGACGAATGATGATGAGTTCCTGGTGATTGCCTGTGATGGTATGCTTTCTATTACTCCCTCTCGCTATTATCATTGCTAAACAATCTACAGGTATCTGGGACTGCCAGTCTTCTCAGGCTGTGGTTGAGTTTGTCCGCAGAGGCATTGCTGCTAAGCAGCCCCTTGCCCATATCTCTGAAAACATGATGGACAACTGCCTTGCCTCCAACAGTGAGACCGGTGGTGTTGGCTGCGACAACATGACCATGATCGTGATCGGACTCCTACAAGGAAAGACCAAGGAGGAGTGGTATAACCAGATTGCAGAGCGGGTTGCGAACGGGGATGGTCCTTGTGCTCCGCCCGAGTACGGCAAGTCTCCCGAGGAACCCGAAAGCATCCCCACTTCTTCGTGCTGACGGGCAGTTCGTGCAGCCGAGTTCCGCGGCCCCGGAATCCGGAACCAGTTTGAGGATAACCCGGATGAATATGACCTGGAGATGGAGCGTTCGCGTGGATTAGGTGTCCGTTCGGGCCGCATCATCCTCTTGGGAGATGGCACTGAGCTCTCTTCGGACCAGAACGATGGCGAACTTTTTGACCAGACCGAGGAAGACCAGGACCGTACCAACCAGGTGCAGCACGAATCAAGCACCCGGAACGACCGCCAGGCCACTCCTGGTCCCCAGGGGAAACAGGAGAATGTCAGCGGGACCTCTGCTCAAATATCCGAATCCCCGGCTTCCACTGACGCCGAGAAAGAGAAGTCCGCATCGTAGGCTATGAACTTATGAACCGTCCATCGATTGGTTCTCCCTGTTTTGGTTTCAACCTGGTTTTATTTTCCCTGCCCACAGTCAACGACCCTTCCCCTTGATTCCACGATCTATGCCTTGTTTTCCTCCCCTTTTCTTTGTTTTGCAATTAGTTATCGTCGGGCTCCAGTCCCGAGCCTGTTACACCCTTTTTTTAACTCCTTCGACTTGAAATGGATAATTGTCAGAGACGGGACATGCGGCAAAGAGACACAGACGGAATTGAATGAGATGAAAGACAAGAGCTTTGAATTTCCATGGAGGTCGATGTTGAAAGAGAGAGCCCTTCGCCGGGAGCTAAATGGGCCTCATGAATACGTTTCTTACTTTATGCCATCACCACAACGAGTTACCGCAGAAAATGCCCGCTATTGACGAGCCATTTACCTACAATTCCTATCCGCTTTTTTTCCGGGGTATTTTTCTTCCCCCTCCTAATTCCCGGTCTATTCCCTACCTACGGTCATTGATTTACCTATACGAGAATGAGTACTAGGGGCGCAAGCTGGTAGAGCTGGGTATTGATTGAGATTTTGTCAGGAGCAATGGACAATGACAACGATCATTTACATACCCTTTGGCGTATATCTGATGCATTGCGCATTTTCTTTGTACCTTGGTAGATGTTTCATTGTTCTATTCTGGCAACGGCGAGTCATGTATATTGACGTAGGCCAAGCCAGGATGGGAAACTCCTACCATCAAGTCTTACCAATTGCGTATTTGAGTCTGGTAGCAATGAAGCACACAGTACTCCGTAAAAAAGAGTACATTCAACGGTAAGGCGATGTATGACGTCCACGATGTCCACGATAACCCCTGTAACCCACACGTGGTCGGTGTAACCCAGTCCTGCCAAGCCTTTATTTGCAATCTCCCGGCCGTATTTGCAATTCTCGGTATTGTAAAATTCAACCCCGTACACTCTACATCCTGAGACCGTGGCTTATGACAGTGGAGTTCGGCCCCCACTCTTTCCCCAAACAGAAAATTACCAGTGTCCCCTAAAACCGGGTTGCCGTCATTCAGGGTTCTACATCAATTCTCTCCCTAATTCTCTCGGTTCGCCATCCTTTCATTCATTTCCCTCGGAAGACATCTCTCATTCATTCTTCAGGGCCAAATCATCATGTCGCCTTCTACTTCTCCCGCCGGCAAGCGCAAGCGCAGCGCCTCCCACCTTCCCGCGCCCGTTTCCAAGAACGTCACAGCTGACCTCCAGTCGTCGTCACGCGACGCGTCTAACGAAGAAGGGGGCAAGGACTCAACAGGGCCCGCCAATGCCAACCCCCACAACGCCAATGGTACCCGCCACCCTTCTAAGCGGGCCCGCAAGGCTGCCGCCGCCGGTGCTGCAAGCCACACCGAGGTGAACGGGGTCAAGCCGGCCGTCAACAAGGAAGACCCCGGCGAGCCATCTGCGACTACCGCCAGCAATGAGAAGGAAGATGGGCCTCGGTCGCGCCCCGGTTTACATATCGATTTGCCCGAAGATGATGAGCCTGTTACAGAGGAGCAGATGGCGCCCCCGGTCTTTGGACGCCTGCAGGATCCCGTGGGTTATCATACTAACCCACCACCAACGGGTCGCTCAGTACGCGTTTATGCGGACGGTGTCTTCGATTTGTTCCATCTTGGGTAAGTGATCACACGAGCGGATCAGGTTTTGGTTTCAGCCCCCAATTTCTTCGGGCTGTGGGCTTGCTCAATTGGGTAATAGTTGCTGACTATCACTTTACAGCCACATGAGACAACTCGAGCAGGCTAAGAAGGCTTTCCCCGATACTTATCTGATTGTCGGTGTGACTGGCGATGAGGAGACGCACCTGCGCAAGGGTCTGACGGTGCTCAGCGGCGCCGAGCGCGCGGAGACTATCCGTCACTGCAAGTGGGTCGACGAGGTCATCCCCTGCTGTCCGTGGGTTGTGACGCCGGAGTTCCTGTCCGAGCACCAGATCGACTACGTTGCCCATGACGACCTGCCCTACGAGGCCGCTGAGGGTGATGACATCTACGGTCCGATCAAGGAACAGGGCAAGTTCCTGGTGACCCAGCGTACAGAGGGTGTCAGTACCACCGGTATCATCACACGGTATGTTTCACCTCCCACATCAAATCCAACGGACTACAGCTGACATTATTACCTACAGGGTTGTCCGCGACTACGACCAATACATCTCCCGTCAATTCAAGCGTGGCGCCTCTCGCCAAGAATTGAACGTATCCTGGTTGAAGAAGAACGAGCTCGAGATCAAGCGCCATGTCGTCGAGTTGCGTGATAACATCCGCAACAACTGGACCATGACTGGCCAGGAGCTCGGCCGTGAATTGCGCCAGATCTGGCAGAACAGCCGTCCTAACAGCCCCGCGCCCAGCGCCCGCAACAGCATGGACTGGGGAATGCGTGGACCCCTCACCAGCCCGACAGGCGGCAGCAAGTCGCACCTGTCGCGTGTGGGTGCGGAACACAACCGCGCAGATAGCCCCATGGGCTCACGCCGCAATGAGGATTTCGCTACCGGGTACAGTCTCGGATTGATCGGAGGCGTGCGTGCTTGGGTAGGTTACATCCCACAATCGCTGGATATGCAGCTCAGCTTTATCTAGTTTGACTTGTACTAATGTTCCTCATACAGATGGCCCGCAGTCGTCAATCTCTCCAGGAACCCCCTAGTGGGATGCACAGTCCCACTGACGAAGAACTCGAGTCCGAGCATAACAATGGCTATGACGAGGAGGTGCGTGGCCGTGCCGGTCACGTCTCTGCTCAGTAGATGACTTGGCTTGGTGCCTTTGATGCCGTATGTCCCGAGAAGCTACACATTGGGTGGTAATTATATACCTGCCATTCCAGTCCCTATAGCCGCAATTCCCCCCTTTCCCCTGCCCCACCACACTTTCCTCCTACTCTTTTGCATATGTATCCATCTTTTCATCTTGCATTCGGTTCGTGTCCTATACCTTTACAAATTGTCCCGTAACTGGCGGTTTCTCCTATGTCGGGCGCTTGGTGTCTTTTTTTTTCTTCTTCGTGAATAGACTGTATGCCGGCCTTGGCTTGTTCAGGTTCGATGCAGTTCTTTTCTGATTTGTTTTCTTACTTGTCTTGATTTTTGCTTTGGTTGTGGTTCGGTGGTTTCAACGCTCCTCCTTCCCCTTAATACTCTCCCAATGAACTTTTTCTTGTTTGATGTCTTTGTATATGGCCTTGATTTGGTGGTGATGATTGGTGACTCCTTTCCTCTGATCATGCTCTGACCATGATCTTTGATGTTGGTATATCCTTCAAGGCCATTCCTTATCACCTGTTTGTTCTAGTTTGTTTATAAAAGCTGGAATTGATGGACAGCTGATCGGGTATGGTACATCACCTCGCCTTGATCGTGTCCGGATATGAACTGCACATAGATTGAGATAGCTTTGTTTGATGTTTCAGTTTCCAATTGCGTGGCCAATTGAAACTTTGCAGGTTACTAGATCTGATAGATGTTGTGTCAGTATAGAATGTATGTCCTGTACGACTATATCCGTGAGCCTGCTAGCCCTAATCTACGTATCGTCTCTTCTGGGGCATTGCCACCTATAGGTCGGATAAGTTATCCGTTTACCTGGACCCTGCATATGGATTGCCAGACTTGAAAAGAAAAGGAAACCTGTCATCCATCTGGTTTGTTTGGTAGATGTATAGACGAAGTACGGATTTTGATATGTTGCATGCCATATGATAAATGCCCTGGATACTATCTCAGAGAGCACGTACAAGGAAATCTCGACAGTTCCTCGACACACCTAAAGCGGCTAGTGGATGCGTGCCACTAGCGAAACATAGCGTGTGGGTAGCCCTTTTCAAGACAAAAATGCGGCAGTAACAATGGATCAGAGGGGCCATGCTCCACCTTGGAGAAGCTCTAGAGTATTCGGTCCACTCAGACTACTTGTTCTTAGACTGCCAAGTCGTCTATATGTACTCCGTAGACTTCGGGAATTCTGCAGATCCCGAAATTAGTGTTAAAATGCCCTGTCAATTACTGAGGTTCGATGACACCGAGCCGCGACAGAGTCAGAAAATCACTTTGACATTCATAAACAGAGTGTCCGGGCGAAAACTCGCCAATCAAGAGCAATATCTAGAGCGGCTCCAGTAGGAATTCCCTCTGGTGAACGTGCAATCAATTGATTTTGCCGCAATTCTATACAAAGATCAATTAAAGATCATTCAAGAATCAGATATACTGGCAGGTGTCCATGGAGCTGGTCTCACACATGGCATCTTCCTGCCTTCAGGATCGGCCATGGTTGAAATCCTACCACCTGGCCTAAATCACAAGGGCTTTCGCAATGTTGCTTCCCTACGGGGTCATGACTATTTCAGCCCACAAGGGCGACTGGCACTCTGAAGATATTTACCTGGATGTTGAGCGATTTATGAATGCGATGAATGTAGCCATTAAGGCAATGTATAACAAGTGTTTGCGAAGTTATGATGTTTGAATAGATCATTTTTGCCACATTAAGTCTTTCTGTTTTCAATCCATCCCAATCGAAATATCGCCTTGCCTGGGTTCTTTTACTAGCTATATCTATATGTTGAAAGGTCACCTGACATCCATTGTTTGCTCCTGCTATATAGTCTTCCACAAACCTGTAGACAGTTTCTTCTTTCTCCCCACAACCGAGAATTTTCTAGAATCACCTATCTCCATTAAGAAACTATTAGACAGTCACTCACCATTATTATACTATATACATCTTTACAACGCATACAACCCTTGATGCGCCTATATCTAAAAGCAGTGATCGCATCTCCTACCTCATCGCGATTTGCATGATTATCGAAGCTATGAGTGGCTTTGCAGGAGCTTCAGCAAAACATATGTCAAGACGAAGGGACATCGGAGTTGAAACATCGAGCATAATTTGCAGTCATCTCTTCACGCCTCACAAATTCCTCTTATACCAACGCTGAGAACTGTGTAATCACCCAGATTACCGGCCGACACTGGTGGCATAGACATGTCCGCTATCCTCGAAGAGCGGGACACCTAGACGACCATGATGACTTTGTTTTTCTTCTGTGTATGATCGTTATAGGCATCTACAACAACGAGAAATAAAGCAATCACGAGAAATTTGACGGTCAATGTCCCCACTTATGTGACGAATCCTCTGATATGTTGACTACTACCCTACTCCCCATGGTCTTATACGAGAATCCCTTCTGTAAGTCCTTTCCGCCAGGCTGCTTTACGGTCGTACCACTAACGTTTCGGTAGGATGTGGCCACGAGGTATAACCAGTTCCTGGCTATACGAGTCCACTTTCTCTACTCCACCCTTCCTCAATTACTTTGGGTGCGTTCCTTGCGGGACAAAGCTTGTAGGGTCATGAGAGGAAGGTTCAAATCCTAGCTTGGTGAGGGGCACCAATAGAGCAGACAGACAAAGGGTTGTTGGCTGGAACCCAGATTTACATCTACTTCGAGTATAACGACAACACTGTACAGGATTCGGGGTGGGTGTTTGTGAAGAGTGGAAGAAGATTTGCGCAACATGTTTGTATTATTGCTACTTGCCCACAGTCTATGGTTTCGGTTTCTTCATCACATTTGTCACATATCATGTCCATGACCAGTTCCATGTTCCCTGTAGACATTTTAATATAGAATTGCCATTTTATCGCAGGTACGTCTTTATGAGAGAAGCTACTGTGCAGAATAACTAGTATGGAAATTCGAATTATACTATTGTGCCATTATTACTTTAAAGCCACGCTGCTTTACTCGTATAATATGGACACATCAAAGTCTAACATAATTATAGCAATTTAATCAAACATCATCTCGTATCAGGCACGCTTGCAGCATAGACTCAGGTTATACCAAAGTCGTATAGAAATTATAGTAGTTTGATTCAAACTCTCATTACTAACAGTGGCATCTTAGGTTCCCTATGGTTGTAGGACAAAAGATTTCGTGGAAATGAGATGAGACAATTATTAGATAATATTAATGTACTACCTTGTCAGAATTGTTCTCTTATTCTAGCAGTAAGTTGTCATATATTGCACGAGCCGACCTAGCCACTATCGTCATGTACATAGGGGGCATCTCTGTTATCAAAAATGAGCATGTTTTCATTGTGTACAAGGATTATGTGGTTGAGTTTGGGCCCTCTGTGATAACCCTGCATGCTCGAGCTAGTCAGTTTTGGTTTTAGGTCTTCTTCTGAGAAGAGCTATTCAGTTTTGGTTTTAGGTGCTATGGCCAAGTGCAGATCTCATTCATTGGGCGTGGGTGAATGGAGCTAGTCAGTTTTGGGGTTTGTTATTTGGTATCTGTTTCGAAGCAGCCGTACTAGCCCCAAGTGTTGATAATGAAAACCGTCGCTTTGGCGATATGAGGTGAAATCAGAGGGAGCCATGGAGGGGAAGGACGCTGAAGAAGTTGAGCCTCTACTTCAAGGCTTTGCCGGTCCCCAGGAACATGTGGGTATTTCAAGACAGTCGTGTCATCAACAAGGCCGATGTAGCTTCCACCACCCCAACCAATGATCTCTGAAACCCCCGGAAGATACTGATGGATTATCCGAATTTCGATGTGGGAGGCGGGGGAATCGGATATATCATTTCCAGCCGGTGTCGTATCCTCCTATATTAATTAGTAATTATACACAGTAGACTAAAGATGGCCGAGACTTACAGGCTCTGGTTTCAATGCAGTGCTCGCTGATGGAATCCAGCCACACAAAGCCCTGTAGACGGAACCGAATACAAGATTAAGCGGATAACATATGGTTCTGAATAGAGTCGAGATTACTGAAAACATTATGGAAGGGTTAATTATTCCCTCTTCTTCGTGTCTTGGCTTTTCGAATGTACTGGGACGTGAGAAGGGGGAATGGGTAGATGTATGCAAACTATGCAAATTTTAAAATATGCAAACCCCTGTAGCTAGCCATGGATGTATCGGCTAATCCCCCTATTTCGGAAGGAGATCGGGTTGTTTGCATGAAACGGGGTTGGAAGATATTCATGCGTTTAAGGACTGACCGCTACAGTCATTGGCCCAGTACGTAGCCCAGTCCTGCGGTAACATATTTGAAGGTAGTTGCCCTTTGATCTCAAATGAGATATATATGATGATTCTTATATTGTATGAGGAGAAGAAACCTCAAGCAGCAGTAATAGCCAACCTAATCCCCCTCCTCTTCCTTTCTTCCATATCCATCGCCTCCAACATCCTCCCAAACCCGACCCTCTCCCTCGGCTCGCATAATATCTCCCTCAAACCCTCCCTCAAAAGGCCGACGTCCCTAACCAACTCCCCCTCAACAACCCCCTTAGCAAGAATATCGCATCTAGCCGTAACAGCCAAATCAAACACATCCAATCCTCTAACCCCAAGAATCGGCTTCACCCACTCCTCCCCAATCCCAAACGGAATCCTCTGACCCGACACAACCGCCTCCCCAGTACTCCCCAAGACACTAGTAAACCTCCCCAGATCCAAACTCAACCCCAACTCCCGCAATCCCTCCAACGAGGCGACAACATCCCAAAACCGCACCCACAACTCATCACTATGCGTATGCGCATAGATCGACCCTTTATGATCCAACCCCGCCATCGGCACCCAGATCGGCATCCACTGGACCGTCAGTCTTGAAATGGCATTCCGGGCAACAGGCGACAGCGACGCTGCGAATGCAATGAAGGTGTATAGATCGTCGACGTCGAAATGCGAGGCTTTATACAGGATTGGCTCTGCTTCGAAATAGATGGCCCGACAGACGCGGAGCAGGGCACTGTTGCTATTGCTTAGGGTTGAAGGGAGAAGGGAGTGAGTGTGTGGGTAGAGGAGTCTGTCGCTGTGGCCTGGCACGCGGCCGTCGTAGATGCGCCACCGGGCTGGGGTTGTGGGGCAGCAGTGGCGGTTTTGGGTTAGGGAGGGGTTTGACGGAAGTTGGGAGTTATGGGGCTTTTGATGAGGGCTTTGGGCTGGGGTTGGACAGCGCACATGGCGGATTTTGCCTTTTAGTTGGACTAAGTGGATGGTTTGAGGGGTTTGGGTGTTTGGAGTTGGGGAGTTGGTGAGGACATAGGACCATATTATTTGGCGGAGTTCAGGTGGAAGGCAGAGAAGGGGAGAATCTTGAGGTTCGAATTGGAATTGGCTTGATGCTGATTCTGGATTCCAGTCTATAGGTGGGTGGAGATTGCTCTCTGGAGAGCAGATTGCACGTGATTGGATTAAATCGCGGACGGTGTCGCGCCACCGATGGCCAGTTGGATAATAATGCCAAATAGAATAGGGATCACGAAGGACCCAGGCGTCGAAGTGGCGCATTGGGATGTATAGAAGTGAAGAGTAAGAAATACGGGGAAATTATGGGGCAAGTGGGCTTTTATGGAGAAATCCACAATTGGTATAGACTAACTAGTACTGGACTAGACTTATATATTGAGGTCTTGGTTGTAACCTAATGACGTCGAGACAGTTGGATTTGGGATTTATCCCGTGGAGAGGGCATAACACAGATATAATGCAAAAGTGCATATTATAAAGTGCTATATCTATTGAAGATTCCAAGGTTCGTCATTCTTTTCAGTCATGTACGTGTAGTTAGGGATTTGCATGATCACGGCGAATTACCAACTGCGGTCTAGCGTATCTTTTCGGGTTTAGCGTGTTTATATAGAGTCCGGCCGCTTCAACTTTCTGCTTTCCCTGCTTTTGGTGCTGCCAAGTGTAAGGGGCCTGAAGTACGTCGTCATTGTTGTCGCCCGTGCGCTTGGCACTCCTACAATTCTATCTTTCTAACCATAGAGCACATATTTCCATCTTTCATAGGATTGTACCCTTTTCATTCCTAGACTTACATCGTAGCATACAGAAGTATATAGACAATGCAATGGCAAAGGGGGCTCCTAGCCAATCTAATTCCAGCAAAGGATAGAGGTCAAAGCGTCTACACCCTAACCCTAACCCCATAACTTATATATACAAAGGCTTAGGATGCAAGCGCAAAACTCAATTCTCCTGTTCTGACCCCTGCGCTCTCTCCTCATCATCGGCGTCCTTGAAACTCTCATCCTCAGTGGCATCCTTGTATCCCTCCGCATCACGATACTCCTCCACTCCACTATCACTTCCGTTTTGGGCAGGACTCTCATGCGCAAACACCACATAAATCGCACAAGCCAAGATAATCCCAGACCCGATCCAACTAATGGGAGTGAGCGTACTCCCCCAAACAACCTTATCATAGAATACCGCAAAGAACATCTGCATATAAACCATCGACGTAGCACGCGCTCCCTGCGCGACAGGCTTCCCATCCGAGACCGACGCAGGCGGGACGTACGACAAACCCGCCGTCAACAGGAACTGCAACAAGAACCCGCAGATACCGAGCCCGGTCAGCAGTGTCCATTCAACGGCCGTAATAGGCACTCGGAACGGCACAGAAGGCACGACCGCCATCGCAATCAAAGAAATAATCGTCGTCACGGACGAGAAGTACGTCACGGACACGAGGGGGTGCGCACGACGGCCGATAATACGGATAGTACTGTAAGCACCCGAAGCGCCGATCACGCCGATCAAGGCGACGATTGTCGCCAGGATGTGGTGGTAGGAGTCTGTTTCGGAGGGTGGTTTTTCGACTGCCGAAGTGGACAGGCCTAATGCCCATGCGGCGGCTGCGGTTGGGGTTGCAAATGAGACGCTTGGGTCGTGCTTGCCGAAGGGGCGGGCGATGAGCACGACGCCGCCGAGAGAGATTAGGCCGGCGCATAGCTGTTTTCGGGAAAAGGTCTCGCCGGGAATGAGGAGCGAGCAGGCGTAGCAGGAGATGATTGGTGAGAGGAAGGTTATCACTGTTGCTTCGGAGAGGGGGAGGTATTGCACGGAGTAGTAGAGACAGTAAACGCCGGTGAAGCCGAAGAGGGCGCGGAGGAGGAGGAGACCGCGGACGGGACGTGTGCCTAGTGGGGAGGGTGTTGAGGCGATGTACATGTATAGGTAGCTTGCAATTGCTGTTATGGACATGCGGGCGAAGAGGATCTGGGGGTGTTAGTTTGGTTTGTAATAATGGAGGTATAGGAATACGGATATGTCGAAATTATGTGATATCAAACATATCTTCCCTTTTTCTGTCTCTTACCTGGAAAGGATGCATAGAGCTATGGATTTCCAAGATCTGCGTCATGACATTCATAGAGGCAGCGAAGGCCTGCGACAGTAGGACAAGTCCCATACCCTTATTGCGTAGCCACCATACTTTCCATGCACGGCGGGGTCGCGCAGCTGCAGCAATAGCGGCAGCGTCGTCATATTCATCGTCCTCGATAGGACGGGGTTCTGATTGAGCCAGTGCTGGTCGGGGGTCGGCTTCGCTACCACTTTCACAGTTGTAGTCATGTTCATCCTCGCCTTGAGTTTGTGAAGATGATCTCTTGGATCTCGGGTTCGATCTCGACTGCTCCACCCGGATCGGCAGCGGTGCGTCCGGATGATCCTCGTATTGGTCGGCGCCTGAGGCCGAATCACGTTTTGAAGCCATGCTGGGATGTGAGATCTTGGCGTCGTTATTGGAGAGGCGATTGGTGCGGGGATTGTGGGGGATAGATGGAGGTATCTAAGATGACTTTTCCTCTCTCTGAAATCGGATCGGATTATTCTTCTATAGAGTCTGAGTGTACAGTGTTCTCCTCGAGAAGAGATATGCAGATAAACAATATATTCAGGCGAAAGGAAAGGATTCTTATATCTGCGCTGGACTGCCGATCTGGTTAAAAGAGATTTCAGCTCGAAATGCGCATGACGGCCGAGTGGAGCCCCCGTTGACCACTGACCGCTTCTCTTTTTACTTTCTTCTTGCTTTTTCTTTCGACTTTTCGTGACTTCCATGATCTTTGAATCGACTTGACTCGAACTGGTTTGCAGATTTAGTTGCCTTGTCCCTGGTTGTGTACTACCATGTACTCCGGACTGTACAAGAAGCACAAGCGGCACACGACCTACCTCATGCACGATCTACTAGCTACATATAAATATGCACCTAACGGATATTTATCCGCTTTCCTTTCCTTTCTGTGTTTCATTTCATTTCATTTCTCATTCAAGTTTCGATTTGCGTGATATTGCTTACTAATCGCCGCTTCAAGCTTCCAAGGTTCCAAGGTTGGGAATCGAGCTACCCAGAGATGAGCTTTGTATTTAAGGGTTTATGCGATCGGCTCAAGTCGTAGATCTAGCGAGCTAGACTATACAACATACATATCCATGTCATAGAAAGCCACAGGGCCCGTGATCTCTCAGAGTTGAAATCACATGGTCTGTGCAATATATCCTCTTGCACTTGAGTGGAACCTCAGGGTTGGCTTCATGATCGGGACCACCCGGATACGGTTACATAGTATTCTGCGAGCAGCCTAGGGTAGAGATACAATCTGAGCTTCGTAGTACACATTACTCCCTGATTCTAATATATCATTACAGACTCAGACAAATTTGCACCGAAGATATGTTATAGTTTCTTTTTCTTTCGTTGCGTGGCAGGCCGAATAAATCGAATGGTACACGTATGTACAGCGTTGTATTCGATATCACGTAGGCTTCATAGTGGAGAGCTTCTTCACGGCACTCAGGGTCGAGCCAATCATGAGAGAAGATGAGAGAAAATCGTGCAAAGTCGGTCCGAACCCGACCCACCAATCCCGAAGCGGAACATCTAAGACGGTAGATCCAAGTCCTCCATACAGACTGTCGAAGGACAGAAAGTGTGCTTCTCTTTGAGTAAGATGCGTCCTTAGTACAGAGGCCGTACTTGTATGTTTCCATCTCACTATATGTCCCGAAGGACAGGATAGTTATCTTGCTCCAGCTTATGTATGGAGGTGGAAGATACTCGACCGTGGTTGGTCGATTATTCAAGATCCGCTTTTCGCGCAATGTGGGGTTTGAACACCCGACATCACTGGCTGTTGTATCCCGTGACTTCCAAATAGCGTAGGGCCAGTTATGCTATGTATCAAAAAGACCCACACCTGTATAACCTCAAAAAGGACATGTAAAAGAAAAAAAAAATAGGTAGCTTCTCTTTGATTGAGCGTGTCATCCTTAGTGCAGGGGCCATGCTAATCTTCTCTGTATATTTTCATTTGACCATATGCCCCGAAGGGCGAAATGACATCCTTATAGTTCAATATAACCTCAATTTTCGGCATAATTATACCGCCTATGTATTACTTTGGGCTTAGGCACGTGATACCAGGTTACGTAATACTTTACAGTCCACAGCAGATTTACAGTTCTGTTCAACCTTTATATCATGCATTCTCTAGATCTGGTTATTTCGGTTACTGTATCCACTTGCCTCAAACACCTACCAAAGAAATAGTACATATGGTCATGTTCGTTAAGACAAATGATCAGTTGCTGCTCACAGATCTTCATCAAGAATCAGAAAGAGAACCTGTTATAAGTCATTCTTAATTGTTTAGAGTAATTTACACACGCTAACAAGAGTTGCGGTCAGGGTAGTTACAGATTTAACATACCTAAAATAGTTAGTTAAAGTATGCCGTAAGTAAAATGACTATACCGCCAGTATTATGTCCGACGGCGAAGTGTGAGGCACCTACGGGGTATGTATCTAGATGATAAACAAAGAACAGTGCAGATGAAGTGGTATGAAGGCATAGTTCATACGATCACAATAACATCGACCTTGAAAAGCATACACGGCTATATTTATACAAAAGTAAACGTATCACCCCCCTTCTCCCGCAACATATTTCCAGTCCTCGAGGTACCAACAACACGCTCCAACTTCAGCGCATCCCACTTCGAGAACAGCGCACGCACACCAGCCTCGGCAGCCTCGATCAAAGCCGCAGGATCAAGACCCAAGAACCCAACGATCTCGCCATAGAACAGCGCGTTATCTGGGAGCCCGTACATGACCACACGCTTAACACCGCGGATCTGGTAACGGCGGAAGTGGTGCGCGCGCTCGGTATACAGCAGCACAGAGTGGCGGCCGGACACGAAATGACTGCGGGCACGGTTAGCCTCCTTCGGCTCAGTGTATTCGGAGATAGCGCCAAAGGAGACATTGGTTGTTTGCGTGGAGGTGGCGAAGTGGTTACGCACACGGACGAAGTCGAGGTAGGAGGGGATGAAGATGAGGGTGCCGGCGCCGCCCTTGCCACGGCCGTGCGTGATGTTCTTCACCAGAGTGGACAGTATAGTTGTTGTGAAGTGCTTAAAGCGCGCGTCGGGGTCTTTAATGGGCGACGTGCTGTCGATGCGGGTGAAGGTTTGCTTGACGGGGACTGCGAGTGGGAGCTCGGTTATGGCACCGGCATATATGGGGGTTGCTTTGAGGCGACCCGAGACGTTTTGCATATGGGATGAGAAGAGGGCGTTGATCTCAGGCGTGATGAAGGATGAGACCACTACAGTTTGTCGGACATAGCGGGCTTGGTTGTCCAAGTACCAATTACGGACACGGCCAAAGTCGCAGCCGTGCGCTTGTTTCGGTTGCAAGTTCAGGTGCTGGAAGATGTAGTCGACGTGGTCCCAGTTCTGCATGAGCATGGCATCAGCGTGGTCAACCACTACCAGCTCAATCGAGGAGAGGAAATCATGATCGCGCTTCTTGACGTCAGACTGGTCCATGATCGTACGCAGACCCAGTGGACTGGCCAGAATGATGTCGGAGCTGTAGAATTGCGCGAAATATTTGACTGTCTTGCGCGTGAACTTGAGACCCAGTCGGAACATGTCGTCGTCATTGCCGCCGAAAAGTTCCCGGAAATCCTCGGTCTTATGCTCCCAGGACTCATCATTCGGCGCCGAGAACGAGTCAGTGAAACGTTTTTTGTTCTCTTGCTGCTCGGGCTGATAGATCCGAGTGATCGCATCGAGAACCTTAACACATGCTTGTCGAGTAGGCAGAATGTAAAGCACCTTAGGTCTGGTAAATCCTTGGTCACGGCACTCGATATCGGTGTCCGGGTCCTTGGACAAACGGGCGTTGTTTTTTAGGACTTGGTCTCGGGTCTTCAGCAGGTGATTGACAGTGTGCAAAGCAATAATCTCGCGCATCTCATTCGCATTAGAAGCAGTACGGGCACCGTAGAGAACGTCTTGGTAGTTAAACACATATGGCGCGATGATCTGGGCTTGACCGGTGATTTTAGGCAGGAGCTCGGCCGCACGAGCCTTCAGTTTTTGTTTAAGCTGCGCGATTGCATGTTAGTATACTCAAAATACAACTCATGTTTATTCCGCATACCTTGATGTTGGTCGTGCTCTTCATTGGCGGAAGGATTGATGGACTGTTTTCTCCCGTTTCGGGAACAGTATGTACCAGTCGTAGCCCATCCACCTCTTTCTTGACGGATGCCCATTTGTTCGATTGGATAGGCTCAATCTGCTTGATCAAATCTGCACTCTCGCGGAGATCGAAGTGCTTCTCAAAAGCAGCAGTTGGGTCCTCGTCCTCGTCTACCTCCTCCTCTTCATCGTCGGACGGCGCTTGGGCTTGCAAATCATCATCGCCCTGCTCTGGTTCCTCTGGTTCCTCTGCGGTTTCTGCTATTTGAATCTCAGCATTTGCGTTTGCGTCGGTGGCAATCTTGCGCTTCTTCCGAGCTGGTCCGCTGGACTCATTGGGTTGAAGTAGCTGAAGGAGTTCATTGTATGGGCGTTCAGTATTCTCGTCTTCTTCGTCGCTGCTGGAACCCTCGTCCATAACGGTCTCATCAACCAATTCCTCTTGGGATTGCTCGCTAGCATCATCTTCTCCGCCAGAAGAATCGTCCGATCTAGTGATAATTAGACACAGTCATTAGACTCCAGACTGTGAGAACTTACTCAGACTCGTTCAATCGCGAAGTCGCAAAGGAATTGCGACCACCACGACCACCGCGACCGCCGCGACCACGACCTCGGCCGCGGCCACCACGGCCACCACGGCCTCGAGCTCCTCTAAAAGAACCACCACGAGGAGCAGGCATGTTGCGAATAACTGGAAAAGAGTGGGCAATTCCAAGCTGTTCTGGCCGAAATGAGAATTTTGGGGGCTTATCTTATCTTAGCGCGAAATTTCCCACACACAACAGAATCGGAACAATCAGAGCGGCTCACTCCACCAAGGAAAAATTGAACCTCCGAGAAACGAAGGAAGTTTGGATCTTGAAACTTGCAAGATATTCCATCCCCCCAAAATCAATCATGGCCGAAGATTCTTTCCTTCATCTCGCTCGCCCCCTCGGCCCCGTTAGTGTGGGGACCGCTCCTACCACTGCCCCTCTGAACGTGGTCATCCAACCCCAGGTATGTTGCGATATGTGTGTGCTATATGATCTGAGGGGTAAAGCTCATTCCTCCCAAGGCAATCTTTTCAGTTCTCGACCACTCTCTTCGCCGCAATGCCGACCAGGAGCGAGTTATCGGTACACTGCTCGGAACACGATCTGAGGATGGAAGTGAGGTCGAGGTCCGATCCGCCTTCGCTGTCGGCCACTCCGAGGCTGAGGACCAAGTCGAAGTCGATATGGAATACCACAAGCAGATGCTGGCTTTGCACCTGAAGGCCAACCCACGCGAAGTCTTGGTTGGCTGGTACGCCACTGCTTCCGAGCTCAACACTTTCTCCGCTTTGATCCAGAACTTCTACAGCGGCCAGGGTGATGGTACCTGGCCTCACCCCGCCGTCCACCTGACTGTCTCCACTGAGGCTGGAAAGGATCTCGAGACTCGCGCCTACATTTCCGCCCCCGTTGGTGTCACCGCTGAGCGTGCTGCCGACAGCGCTGCTTTCATCCCAGTTCCCTACGAGCTCCGATACGGCGACGCCGACAAGAGCGGTCTTGAGTCTATCGCCAACGCTAAGGATGCCGAGGACCGTTCCACTTCCGTCACTTCCGACATTGAATCTCTGGAGCGCGCCATTGAGGAGGTCCTGTCTATGGTTGACCGCGTCTCGCGCTACGTTGAGTCCGTGATAGACGAGGAGACCCCCGCTTCCACTGCCATGGGCCAGTTCCTGCTTAACGCTCTCGCTCTCGCTCCCAAGGTCGAGCCTGCCGACATTGAGCGTGACTTGTATGTTAAATCTACATTATATTCCCTGGTGTTTCTTGCCACTAACTTTCCACAGCAACAACCACATCCAGGACGTCCTGGTCGTTTCTTACCTCGCCAACACCGTGCGCACACAGATGGAGCTTTCCACTCGGCTAGCGACCGCCCAGCTTACTCTCGGCGGCGGCGGCGAGGGCCCCGCTACCGGCGACCAGCGCAATCAGCGTGGCGGCAAGGGCAACAACCAAGGCGGCCGCCCCCGCCAGGACCGCACCGAGGAGACCCGCGCATGAGATGTTTCCCACAGCAAAAAACGCTGATGCATAATGTGACCAATTGCGAGAGGAACACTCCTCTCCAAGTGAACGTGGATGTCTCGTCTCACGTTCCCTTCCCTTTCTATCTCACCCTTCCCTGACATTATTACTTTTGGGTCTTTCGCTTCTTGTTCACCAACCCTCTACCGCCTTCGTCCCTTTTTTTCCTTTTTCCGGCTTCCTCTTTTTTTTTTACTCGCGAGGCTTACATGTTCTCTCCGGAGCTCACGGACTGTGGCCTGGTCCCATCAACGGCTTCCGGACTCGCTCTGTTTTGACGTTCAAACACGGTCTTCAACACCTGGTGCTGTGGTATTGAGACCGATTTACTATCAATATGATTGGTATAACATGTGGTGATGGTTGATGAGGTGACGATGTCATTACCGTTCGACGATAGAGAATATTCGGGGGTGATGAGTCTAGACTGTTGAAGATGAGAGATGGGTCTGCGAGACCCGATCTCTCCGGTTACGAAGTCGCATCTTTCTAGGCGCGGCGTTTTCAGTTATGATGAAATGGACATAAAAGTTCTAGAGCTTCTTCGTATTGTATATTTCCCACCATTTACTATTCCGGCTATAGCCATAAGAGGCTCACGTTATAGTCCTCCTTGGTCACTGAGGTTTCGTATGGTTCCAATTCTATCTAGATATCAAGCATTTCTTGTCGGCTAACGTCCAACATATCAGTATGTCACTTAAATGCGACAGCTTCAGGCTTGTTGCTATACTCTTCATCGTCCTCTTCATGCCGGACCACCCACCTGTTCCGGCTGAACTCATCTACCTGTGCTACTCAAGCAGCAGTAATTGATAAGCAAGCTGGATGGAAGACACGCTTAGGCTTCAGTATTGAGATGTTCAACCTCTATGTTTTTGTTGCCTCGCTCGCACCGAAGAGTCTCTCTTTTTGTCTTCCTGAAAGCTCAGATGGTGGACTGGCGTGAGTGTTGACAAGATGGCATCGGACGGGCAATCATCATCATAATCTCAGAGAAAGTAGAGATTCCGAAGATATATTCATTGACTAGTTGTATACTTGTCGGGGGTCCGAATCGAATGTTTCTGAGGACGCGGAATGCACGGCTATGAGTTCTATTTGGCGCACCATAACACGGCCTTTGCTCCTGCGTGCGACATCTGATTTTCTAGGGGACAATGTCGCCAATAAGGTAGATTCGAAGGAATATTTCCTGGTACAGTCCGTCTGGGGCATCATGGGGGAGGAGCCTTGTCGTGGATCTGGTATTTCCGGTATTGTTCCGCGGTTAGCATAGTCAAAAGGTACTTTCTTGTCTTTTTTTTTTACGACTAGAAGCCTCACATTCAATCAGATACCGTAGGTCTATTGAGAGAGATACCCATCCAAAGTTGGAGATGTCGTTAAGCTGGGAGGGGCACGGATTTGACGAGATTGTTGTCAGTCTAGGACTGCAGCTAGAAGGCTTATATTTGTTGAATTTTATGGAAGGCACAAATGGTGTATTAGTTTACAAGTTAGCCTCAATGTAGGTATGTGCATGTAGATACAGCCCTAGACCTCATGTTTCAAAGTGGGGAAGGAGGCTGGCGGATCTGAACCTTAATACTTTAATTTGACTATGGACGGGAACAATGTAGAGACGACTCAGGCTCTTGGCATGGTTCTACTACTGATAAACTACAGTATATAACGAACGTGGTTCTAGCCTAGTTTGCTCCTATCACCGTGGTCAAAGCGTTGTGATGTCCCAGTGATTGCATCGGGCGAGTGGGAGGGCGCAAATGCGAGTCCCGATGTCTGTCTTACCTTTGATATAAATAAAGTGAGCATTGGGATTTGATAAATTTCCATTGTATTTCTCTAGTTATTTCTTGGTATTGGAAAAACTAGCTGTAAATATATTGGCGAAAAGAAACACACGTTGGGCATTAAGTCATGTTCGTCGTGACCCACAGCAACTGGGCAGGAATTGGTGGAGTTATTGAGGGTATATGTTCAGCCAATCGTCTTACGCTTCTTCGAAACTGACTCCTCGGTAGCATCAGATCCACGGCGGGTTGCAGCACCTCTTTTCCCCTTGCCCTTACTCTTCTTGGTAACAGTAGCAGCGGCAGCGGCTTCGGCAGCCACAGGATCCTCGCCAGCAGCAGCAGCAGCGGCCGCAGCGGCAGCACCTTTCTTTCCAGCTTCCTTAGCAACCTGATCATCATTCTGGTCAAATGCTTTGCGAGCTTCTTTCAATTCACGTTCCATGCGCAACAGCTCCTGTACACGGCCGAGCTTGTTCTGGTCGCGACGCAGTGCGAAGCGGAAGTCCTCAACTTTGATCTTCTGACGGCGGGCGTGGTGTGCGACTTGCGCGGCGCCGTGGCAGAGTTCCAACACGAAGTCGGTGACAATTTCGTCCAGCACGCGGACTGTCTCGGGAAGTGGTTCGTTCGGGAAGCTCGGGTGTGGGCTGGGGTCGCCGTAGGCGAGAAGGAGCAGGCGAACTGTTGGATATAGTTAGTATTGAATTTGGCTTTGTAACTTCTATTAATGAATTTGCATGGGCTGCCGGAACTTACGTTCATTCTGAAAGTTCATTTGACCCTTGTGCCGGGCCGTACGCGCACGTGGTTCGGCCATGGTGGGCTTGGTTGTAGACTCTTTTTTGTCCTTTCTAGTCGATGTAGATGCCGTGTCGGGTGAACTAAGAGTCCACTTAGGTCCGTATCCGGCACAATTTAGCACTGTATCTTGCTCATCGAAGCCCCAATTAGGCGAGAGTTCAGAGACAAGAGTCTTCGAGCTAGGCTGACGTGATGGATTGCGAGTCGGATTGGACGAGTCAGTCTTCGAGGTTGATGAGAAGGTGCTTGGAGCTTGGAGGTGAGCGTTTGGAGGTGCTGAGATTGTAGTCTCAAAGGGACAGATTGGAGTCCGAGTCCAGGTGTTCAGAGTACCCAATCCAGTGTGTGATGGCTTAAGAGGTAGCGGAGATGCGTATGGCGGCAAGGAGAATGATACCCGCTTGGCCGCTTGGCCCGTGCGCTTGGCGGACATACCAGGCAGAATATGCTAGACTGGGGGTTAGTTAGCAACCTTAGCACATGCAGGTACCTGGCAAGTTACGGTCGCAATTCTCTTTCTTTGCCCAAGTGACGGGTGAAGGGTTTACAGTTGCAACAAATGGTGAGTTTATGTAAATGGCAGAATTTACGAGAGCAACTTTTCTGTGAGAAGTATATGTGGCTTGGCTTTCGCGTGGCGTTCATGTTGGAACCACAATGATAGTATGATTACTGTGCTAACTATCACACTCACCTAGTCTGCTCTTTTCAACTTTCAATCGTTGCTTCTCGTGATTCTCCTGATAATCTGCACGAGCAGCTATGCGCACTCGATAATGCCGGGGATCATGGACCGGAACCAGAATGGGTAGGCGACCACCTGAGGATGCGCATCCGGGATGCAGGAAGATGACGGGGAGACTGATAGTTCTTTGATGTAGGATCTTTGGGATATTCTGGAAGTCTGCTCGGGTCGGAGAGCGACTCAGCCCATACGTCAGCATATGCTGTGTCGTGATGGCAGTAAGTTCTCTCCACGAGTCCCGATGTATGAAGAAATATACATACTGATGTTGCATGCAGGTGTCGATCTTCTTCGGTGATTAACATTGCTTAAGTCTCAATGGGTGTTTGGAGGGGAATTCCTACGTGATAATCAATGCTTGTGGTAGTCCCCAACTTCGATCGGACCTCAAGTAACCTTAGTCGGGGGTTATAAGAGATTACTATTACTATTTGCCCTTCACGTGATGGTATCCAGATGCAATGAGATATTCAGACGAACAAGAGGTTCATGATGCGGTAGTATATAGTACATAATATTAAAATCTACAAAAAAAAGTTCAAAGGCACTTCTTCAGGACCAATGCGTCCAAAATACTTGACCCTCCAAAGGCGGCAGTAAAAGACAAAAGGGTATTCCTATTTTACATCTTAGGCTTCAACTTTGACTCCAACTTCTCTAACCCATTGTCAATGAGCTCGTCGTGCACCTTCTGATCACTGTGAACATTGGATGCGGGCTCGAGGGTGAGAAGCTTATTAGTTCCATCCGAATTAAGGCCCTCATCCATCTCCTCGATCGCCACCCAGAGGCGTTCGGGGTCGCGGAGATAACGCAAACTCTTCATCGTGTAATGGTCGATGGCAAAGCCTTCCCTTTCCATCTTCGTGATTGCACTAGCAGTTTCAGGGATGGCCTGCGCATTGGCGAATCCATTGATGATGGTGTTCCAAGTCACCTGGTTGTACTCCACATTGTGCTTGGCCATCATCTCCTTGACTTTCTCGGCGGCATCGGGCTGGCGACTGTAATTGAAGGCACTGAGGAGGATGGTCCAAGTACGATGCGTGGGTGCGATGTGCTTGAGAGGTTTGCCAGTGATAGTTTCTTTTGGTATGGCAGAGGTGTCAAGCATGTCTTCGACGAGACGTATGCTTGACCTTAGTCCACGGCTGCTTTTGCGGAAGGCGATGAGGAATTCATTATAGACGTGGTCGGTCTCGACCAGAGGAGCGATGGATGGATGGCCCTGCTGCACGAGCTCGCGGAATCTGTCATACATGTGATGCACTTGTGATATCCGATTCCGACAACGGAAGAATGTCGCGATCATGAGGAACAAAGATACTGGAGATGGTGGGGTTTTCAATTCAAGTCCTTGACTTGGCGGCGGTGAGTATGAGGGAGGGAGTAGAAGGAGTTCTTTGAGCGGTGTGATGTCGTGGATTTTGTTGTACATGTCGAGCATAGAGTAGAAAACTCCCGAGGGATCGCTCTCGGGATCAATATGCTTGGCGGTAAAAGTGAAATGAGCGTGGAAGATTTTGCTGAAAATGTATGGGTTGTTTCGTAATTCCTCTTGCATCTCGACTTCCCGCACCAGCTCGTCCACACGACCCCGGTCGCCTCGAGACACCGCATCAGTGAGGAGAGTCAGATATGTATAAGAATCGAATTCGTGGTGGTGATTCTTCATGAACTGAAGCATGTCCGACCCCAATTGAGGATCACCGGTTTTGTAAGCATTGGCGAGCACGAGATTCATCATGTCCCGGTCTGGCTGAACACCCATTTTGAGAAGCCGTGGGAGGATCCGGAAATTTCGTCCGCTGGCGTTATCCTCAACGGTGTCCAGGGTCAGGAGCTTGCAACAGTGCCGTAAGACTCCTTCAGAGTCCATGGAAAATTCAGGGTCATTGATTTTGGGAATGAATTCGAGAGCCCTAAGGGCATATTCCACGTCGTTCAACTGTGTGAATCGGTACATGTAGCAAAGTGCTGTTTGCGCTTCCATCGTGATGCCTCGCTCGTTCATTAAACGGAAACTCTCGTAGACACCTAAGAAGCCCGCTCGGCGAATATAGAATCGTATACCCCTTTGTGGCGGGGAGATAATTGGCCAGTCCTTTGGATCCAGGGAAGTTGCAACAACCGATTCGAATGTGTGGGCACCCTTTGTCCAATCCCGGAGCTCTTCATAATGAAATCTTTCCAAGTAAGTCAAGCAATCAACAACCATAGTTAAATCTGGCTTATCTCGTGGCTCAGTTGTGACGAGTAAAAACTCTAAGGCCATTGCCGGGTTATTTTGCAGAAGCCAAATGGCCAGGCGTTGCCAGGCCCAAGCCCTGTTAGGGCGGGTCATTGCCAGCCATGCCTCTCGAAACTTGCCTTGACAGTCTTCGAGAAGCAAGGCTAGCAGTTGCTCGCCATCTTCTCTCAGCTTTGGCAATGCAGAATTGTGCAAGACCTCACGGCCATGTGTCTTAGCCTTGTGAATTGCTCCATATGCCTCTTTCCATTGACGGAGACCTAGCTCACGCATGTAAAGTGAATTCATTCGCATTGAAAGCGCCAGGTATAACCCGCGATCGGTCAAATGTCTTCCCTTGTTTAAGATTTCTCGGTTGACTCTCTCAGCCGCCATGGCGACAAGCTTGGGATCAGCTTTTCGCACATAAGCGACCTTCTTCATTTTATCATTCGTTATAATCGGTGTCTGTGATGAACTTCGTGGTTGGGTTGAAGGTTTTGATTGTCCATGGCCTATGCCATACTGATTTGTCGCGACCTGATCTGATTGTTCACTTGTCGGCGAATGTGAACTGTCGGTTGAACCGCGGTTGTGTTGATATGATATGGGGTCAGGAGCATCATGTGTCACACCAGGTTCGAAGATTGCAGGAGCATTGTATGTGGAGAGGCGCACTCTATGACCAACATTCGTCCCTGACTCCCGATACCATCGGCCTAGAGTCCGACATTGTGGTGACAGCAACCCGTTGAGACGGGACCGAACGAGTTGGTGCGGACACGATGACATTCAGGAGCTTGTACCCGCAGACATTTGGGGGAAAGACCAAGACGAAGAAAATAAGTCAAGTACAGAGTATGGCGAGGAGTCAAAGTCCAATGCCGGACAGAAAGTTGAATTCCGCCATTCCGCCCGATTTTGCCGTGGCTAGTGTGTGGCGCACCACATCTACTTTTATCGCTTCATCATCTTCAACTTTGAAGCAGCGGAGGAGCTTGCGAATTTCTTCCGGTCATACAATCACTCTGCTTTCCAGTCCCCAAATCCCAGATATTCCATTCACCCTCAGTTTAACCATCGCTCGAAAACATGTCATCAAACCATGCCAGTCTTGATGCGGCATCCACCGACCGCAAAGCCCGCCTCGCCAAGCTCGCAGCTCTGAAGCGCAAGCAACCTGAAGAAGACACAAATGAGGCCAGTGCGGAAGACCAGGAGCTGCCTGACGCCGATTCTACGCCAGATGTGAGCACAAAATATCTATCCGGCCGCAACTACGACCCCGAGACTCGCGGGCCCAAACTGGGCTTCGAGCATGGCCCGCAAGAGGGCCAGGTGACGCTGGAAGCACAGGCGGCTAAAATTGCAAGAGCCACAGCGGAACAAGCCAAGAAGGATGCGGATGCCGACGAACCCATTGATCTGTTCAAACTACAACCTAAGAAACCTAACTGGGACTTGAAGCGCGATCTAAACGAAAAGCTCAAGATTCTTGATGTACGGATGGAAAATTCAATTGCACGGATGTTGCGACAGCGGTTAGAGGACGCGCAGCGTGATGCGAAGGCGCGTGGGCCTAAGTCTAACGGAGACGAGCAGGGGGAGGAAGTGGGCATGGAGGGTGAAGCGCTCGTTGAGGGCATCCATATGCGCGAACGAGAGGAAGCAAAGAGCGACGAAGAAACGATTTGAACTTGATACCCTTTGTGTTGCAGGAATGCGAGCGTTGTCTAGGTCTTCTGCCTCCACCTGTAATTGTCTATATTCTGTCCATTTAACTTATTCCTTTTTTTTGTTGTCTCGGTTGAGGCGTCCAATTGATGCCATGGGCATATTGCGCACAAAAATGAGGCGTTAGGAGGTTTACAAATCAAGATCCTCAATGAGCATATCTATCTTAGTGTCGTTCAGAAATCATTATTGGATTTTTTTTAGTTCCGCTGTCCAGTGACAGATACTTTCAAACTCCGCAATGGAGATGCTAATGATACACTTAGTCAAATACTGATGGAACACGAATTGGCGCCGTGTTCCCCCTCCATCAAGATTTTGCGCCGTATGAAGCCCTAATATTGCAGAGCAGGTTTTCAATTCACTTTACCGTCCGTTATTCATGGCTTGAGTCAAAGCAAGGCGCTTACTGAAAGGACTCAAGCTTCGTTCCCGAGGAAGCTGGTTCTTCTCCATTATGGGATCAGGCTTAGAGCGTCCAGATTGAGACTGACGTGATGGGATTGCTTGATCACGGTGTGAACGGTCCCGGGGAACGTCCTGAGTCGTAGCACGTGATTCTTTCACTCGATCCTTATCCACACTCTTGCTTCGGCGGTCCCTTCGCTCGCTATGTCTTCCTGCTCCACGGTGACGACCTCGTTCTTCGGGGCTAGATTCTCGTCTCCGTCGCCGGGTGTTTCGATCGTCGGTTCGTTCTTGGGAGGGTGAGCGGTCCCTTGGTCCCGAGTAGAATGACCCTGAAGAACCCTCTGTTGAATCACTGAAGCGTCTCTTTCGGGACTTTGCAGGTGGTGCTGATGAATCATTTCGGCGACCTCTGTCAGATGCGCCGTATTTGTTACGGCGGGGAGATGAGGAATCGGATCGATTCGTAGATATCGTTTCCACTGAGAGGGACCTAGCCCGCTTCGGAGACTGAACGCCGCGATCTGTCATATCCTCAAGGTCTCTCTTCCGGCCACGCTCTTCCTCCCGAGTAGCAAGGAGTTCGTCTGCCACACCCTCTCTTCATACAAGTTAGCGAGGACTCCAATGCAGGAAAATGCAGAAATGACAATTATTCACGTGAACTTACTTTCGCAAAAACTCATTTGGATTCTCACTTGAAAGCTTGGGCATCAATTCTGGATTCAGTAGCTGCTGAGTCCTTGAAGGTCGCGGGACATATGGGCGCTCTTGCGCGGATGCCTTGCAATCAAAGCTATAGTGTCGTGGATCGGAGTTAGTCAAACGTCCAAAGAGCAAATGAAATAGGGTACATATCTCGTCCAAGGCATTTTTGGCACAGTGTGGTCGCGGTGGCCCTGTTGGAGTTGGAGCCTCCAAGCTTCGGGGCGTTTCGATATCGGTTCATTGGGACTCGTGATGTTGTAGTTTCGTTTAGAATCCTAGATTGGCAGGTACTTTAGGTCTGAAATAAGGCTATTGACGCGCCCACGATAAGAAACACAGGCAACATCCGACGTAAAGCTGATCGGCGCAAATTAGCGTCTGTTACCCTTTGAAGCCTAAGGGAAATTGTAGGCGCGCGCCAAGGGCGGTCGGGCGCGGCATAATGCCCACGAATCTTCAGGTAATCAAGAATTCAGAATTCAGATCCCCAACGCTCCTTCTCGATCTCGGAGTTCATTGTCAACATTCACGTCATCCATCTCGGACGGACGATCTAGAGTTGATCGGCTCTTCAAATACCCGTCGGATCTGGAATCCCCTCAAAACTCGGTACGAGATCTCCCTGACTATGAGCCAGCTTTGATATCATGTAAGGCCCCGTTGCCTGATCCGCCTAGACTTCTCGCTCTATTGAAGTGGATATTTCTCCTCATTGATCCTATGGATCCCTTTACTTTCATGCATGGTGCTAATGCGCATTCTCCACAGCTTTCTCCATGGCGATTGCCCTACCCCAGAGATATGTCTTTCGTTTTGGGCTTGTGTGAAACGAAATTACGCAGCGACATTACTTTCAACCAAACAAGCTTCCACCTTCTTCACATTTGCAAATCCGAAGCCTGCTGAGTGCAGCTGCTGCTTGACCTTGATCTCGGATTTTCTTTTTTTTTTTTGTGAAATTTAACCAGTCTCAGCGACCATCCTGCAGAGTGTTGTCATGGCGTCAAAAAGTCCCCCAGGTGGAGACGGCCCTCTCTCCTTTGCAAAGGTAAGCTAAGAGTTTGCTCCACTACCTCATGGCTCATCGCTAATTCCGTGACAAGATCGCCGCTATGCCCGCCCCCCTCAGCCCACATTCTTCCTCGGTATCTGATGAAAACGAAATATGCGAGCCAGCAGACCAATCACTTTACTCAAAAGCAAATGGCTCCGGTGCATCTTTGCCCAGCCAGCATAATGTCGATAAAACGCCAGAGGCTAGTTCCATAGAACTAGCTGTTGATGATCTAGGGAGAGGTGTGCAAGACATTAGCATCACCTCGGAAAATCACAGTGATGGACCAAGCTCGTTTGTTAGCGGCCAAGATGATGGCTTGCTCAAGCGGGAAAACTCTTTTGAAGATGATCGCACTCACCTTTCTACCTCATCCACAAAAATGACCAACTTTGATTCCAAGAGTCTTGCCTCGGTGACGACCTTTGCAATGGATGAAAAGGACTCTGTACGTCCCGATGATAGTGCTAGTGTGCAAGCGATTGATGAAGAGGAGTCGCTTTCCGGACTTGCTTCTGGGGCTCCAAACTCAGTGGCAGGCTCTGAAGCTGGCAGTCGTGCGTTTCGGGATCATTACCGAGATGGCATTCCTACACGCCCACGCGGAATTTTGCCCGTGCCTCCTCTCTTTGGCGGTCCCCAGCCGGTGAATGGTGCAATTCCTCCAGATTCAATCGCGAATAATTTCGTGATTCCAGCCAACTCCGATGGCATTGAAGATGGTCAGATATTACATGGGTTTCCCTTGGAGCCGGATGAAAAACTCCTAGAGGCAATGAAATCACCGAAAGATCGGCTGCTGATCCTGCAATTGGAGGAAAAAATTCGACACTTTATCAAGGACTGCAATGAGCAGTCTCTAGAGTTGCCCCCCTCGAACGCGTTTGGGCGACTTCTTGCACACAAGCTAGGAGATTACTATCACTTAACACATTTTGTCGATAACAATGTGACATCGGTCAGGCTTCATCGCACGCCATTCTGCCGGCTACCCACTCCTTTGTCCGCTGTGCATGCTGCTTCCAATAGCACTCCACCTCCAGCTGTCCCGGCAATGAAAATCATGCGCCGAAACGATGGAGGGCAATTCGAAGGAAGTATTGGAGGTTCTTCAAACCCTTCCAAGACCAACTCGGAAGATGGCGATAGCGGACCAGATGGAGAACGTCACTGGTCTTCTTCTGGTGCTACACACGCTAAAGATCGTATGGCTTTGACGAGGGAGGAACGGGAGGCAAAATACCATGAAGTACGTGAACGAATCTTTCGTGATTTTCCCGACAGTGCCAAATCAGATCCGGCCAGCGGTGACTCGAATCCCAACATGTCACGCTCCAGCTCGGCGAATGGGCGCAAAAAAAACCAGAGGCAGCGAACTCCTCATGATGACAGCTTTGAGGTTCGCTCGCAGTTCAATGCCTACTACCCAGGTATGCAATATGGAAATGGTGCTGCTCAGTACAATGCTCCTGTAAATGACAGCTCATATCCAAACCAAGTACCTTACTTGGTGGGACCTGGCGTGCCGCCACCCTCTGGTGGATACATGCCATCTAGTCGGAATGGTGCCATTTACCCTGGGCAACTGAACATGAATGTGAATGTGAATGGCTCCCAGTTTCCAGTGGCAATGTCGCCTCAGATGGCCTCCAATAGCTCGTGGCAAGGAGGAAACATGCCGCAACAATCTCCATATTCCGGGTATGCTACGATGAACCAGCAGGGGATGATGAACCAGCCGTCCTCAAACGCTTCCTCGCCGGCAATGAACAACTATGCCGTGCCCAATGTGACCCCGTATCAACAAAACCCCAATTGGAACTCGCCTCCTTTCCCCACAAATTTCCAGCAGTCCCAGCACCCACGAAATGGACCGCCTGTTCACTGGCCCAACTATCCTCATCAGCCAATGGCTTCTAACATGCCACTCAACATGCCGCTTAACATGAACTCAAACATGGGCTCCAACATGGGTCTTAATATGAGCTCCAATATGCCGTCCAATATGGGCGCATATCCTTACGCTCAATACCCCGGGCAGCATATGAATCCTGCTCTCCAAAATTCTGCCGGATCCCACGCAGCAATGCAAGCAGGATATGCCAGGTCACACTTCAACCCTCAGACACGCTCATTCATCCCCGGCGGTGCTCCTCTCGGGCGTCACCCGAACAAAAGCCAACACCCAATGCAGCCGTATGGTACCATGCAACCTGGCGCCCAACAGCAATGGCATGGGTATCCGGAACCAAGTTCCAACCGGACTATGGACTCAACCCCGGCTATGAATTCCAACCGAGTGCCCACCGGTCCTCGAGACTCGATCGCGAAATGGGGCACACCATCTCATCTTCCCCCCAAACCCCCGCCTTCCGAAGTCCCTTCCGACTTTGATCTAAAAAGCCGAACCGTCCCGGCCTCGGTCCCAGCACCAACATACAGCAACAATGGAATTTCCGCCGTCAGCAATGGACCACTTGTGGTCTCTGGGGGCACAACTGTCTCCAAGCCGAACTAAAGCTTCACGGTTTTGGTCACCTTTCTACTACCATATGTGTTGTATCTGTGATCCTTGTGTCTTTGGAAGTTGTGGAGATATGAACCTTTGTCCCGTAGTCTATAGGCTAGATTCATATGTCCACATGCGGCAACTATCTTCCAAGGCTTGCATCTGCAACAGTACAATGCTTGGCGATCCGGGTTCTTGTGCATGTACCTAGTCGCTCTTAGCTAGTCATGAACCTGTTCAACTTATGTTTCTTCTTTCTCGCCTATTTGGAGGACATAGAATTCGAAATGGATACCTTCCAAAACAGTATAAGAATCACGACTAGGATGTCCTATATGTAATGTAGCCAAATGATTAAAAGGAGAATCGACTTATGCGATGAACAAAGTACAGCTCAAAACAAGATGGACTCCAGTAATTAAGAAGGTCTTAAGAGGTAGGGGAGGAGAGGAGAGGAGAGAGGAAGAGATTTCTAGAGCAAGCATGTACTACTACATACAAGTGGCTCCTATAACACGTATACATGCCTGAGGCCATCTGATAATCTGTAAAATAAAGCAATATTCACCACAATGTACAAATTACCAACGATAAGAGGACGATGGCTCCCAATGTCAAGCACTAGTATATCTAGTTACCTTGCAGGGCCTTTGTTCCAATACTATTACATCGGCCATAAACCCTTGGAAATTTTTTGGAAGCACAGAAGTCTCCTTCTCTGATATACTGCGTCTCGAATCAGCAGCGCATGTTAAGCCAATCTCAGACGAAATGCCAAATAGTAGTAGGGTTTATTATGATCATGTGATTTACAGAATAGTATAGTTTCAATTGGTTGAAAGTGATATCACGTGTTTCTCTTCCTATTTTGTCGAGTTGGTTGAAGAGAAGAGATTCAATCAGTATAAGCTACTAGTTCAGAGTACGAATAGCTATTACCGAATATGGTGCTTACTTCTCGAGTTGCATATATGCCTAATCAAACTATAAACTATCAGACAAAGAAACAGCACTTGAACCCCCAGCTTTTCACATCCAAGTCTTTAGCCCTCAATATATACGTTCAAGTTCCCTCAAATATGAAACCCCCATCAGCTCATGGAATATATTGATTCGTAGGCGGCTTATACTGTGGCCTAGACTGACGGGTTCCAAAGATCGCAGAAGGAACAATAATAACAACCATAAGAACAACAGCCCCAAGAGCCGAACCAAATATAATCCACTCACGTCGACGAGGCCTATGACGCCTAACCGTCCCTATCACAGACTGTGACTCCGGATCTTGTTTCCCGTCTGCTGCAGACTGTCGCCCACTTTCATCTCCCTGGCCTCTGTCTGCGGCTCCAACTGCGGCCTCGACCTGCTTGTCTGTGTGTTTGTCGTCGACGTATTGATTGAGTTCCAGGTTGTAGTCCCGGTCGCTGAACTCTAGCGTGCAGTCCCGATCATTGACTTGCAAGGTGCAGTTCTCGTTCATGCTGTGTTCGATGGTTGGTCGGGGTGGGTATGGCACTGCGACTTCTTTGTCTGTGTCGGGATATGGGGGGCTTGGAGCATTTTGCCGGAGCGGGTTGTGTGTTTCGAGTGACGGTTTTTCCATTTCGAGTATTTTCTTTGGCTATACTTCTTCTGACCTGGTAGGAGATCAGCAAATGATGAATTCTGGAAAGTACAGTTGGGGATATCGGGGTATTACATACTTCACACAAGAAGGTTGCGGTGTAGTAAAGATGGGTATCGAATTCTGGACAACAGAATTAAGCACTCTATATTATTTGGCCGGATCACAGGTCTCGCTGGGCATGGAATATTGTAGAAGAGAATTCGAGACTTTGATTATATCCCAAGACTATAAGCCAGATGAATAAATGGCCCCTTGGGCAGGTCGGCTTGGCTTGTAACAGCATTCGCTTAGATCATATGCTAGCGAGCCCAACTATTGATAACTTTGCATTGAATTTTATTGTCCCTTGATTGTAATTTCTGTGTGCAGGCTGCACTAGTCTGTTACGCCGAGCTGCAGCTGATATATCAGATCTGGTCAACCGCCCCAGGAAATGAGCGTTGGGAGTCTGCACGGAATTTTGGACATTTTCCAGAAGTATTTGGTCATTGGTGACTCAATAAAACCTCAATCGGAAGTCTGATTGCCAGAAGCAAGTTTTATTTTGGTTGAGGATGCTATGGATTCTCAAATATATAGTTCTTCAATTTCCTACTAGCATTGTTGACATAACTACCAAACCACCCAGAAACTACTTAGTATCAATAGCGATGCAATAAAGGCAGTTATTATTTGCGGTGAGCCCTCTATTTGATCGACATTGCAGGAGATGGCGTTGGTAAGGCTGTTGACATCGGTATGATTTGAAATCTGATCGCCAGGCAGCACAATCGGCAAAATGCCTAGTTCTGAACGTGGATCATATTGACTGGCGGGGCCTCCAATCGTAACATATTGTCCAGCAGTTGATGATTGATCTTCAGATCTATATAAAGGCCCGGGATAAAAATGTGGCGACGTCCCTCCCGCAGCATGACTCGATATCTGCCTTTACCGGAACCCAATAAACCAAAGAAGAAGTGCGAATAAAGAGGTATCAAAATCTTTTATACAGAGGCTATGTCACATGCGCGAGTGCAAACGGAGACGAAAATGCCATAATCAACAGGAAGAAGACAGAACTCCTGGTAAGAAAAACAAGTAAAGAACATAGTCAACAGCAACGGAGTCAGCCTCGAAGACAAGAGGATGATGCATCGAGAACGCCGATCAAAGCCCAGAAGAGAACATCTCCCAAACAGATATCAGAGATCAATCACCCCCGGCCGAGGATTCCGAAATAGAACCCCCACAAAGGAGAGCACTCCCCACATCTAATCCCTCGACTCAACCTCCGCTTCCTGCTTAGCGAGCTTATCATTCTGCTTCTTGGCAAGACTGAGCTGGGAAATCGCCCGCTCCAAAACGTCAACACCGTCCTTCCGGAACTGCGTAACCTTCTTCACGTTCAACCTTGTGAGAGCGTGCACAAGATCCCGGCCCTGCTCGCGCTCGCGAGCCACAGTGCGCGCCGTCATGGCGAAGCGCATGTCCTTCGGCCCATCGACCAGCTCGAGGATAGCGGTGGGAGCCTTGACCTGGGGCTTAGGCTCTCGGACGGCGTTTTTAGTACCCTTCTTGGGGGAGAAATACTCGTTCTTTTCGCGAGGTTCTATGCGTAGCACTCGTGTGTATCCACCTGGACGGTCTGCGTAGCGCTCGCGGAGGGGACCGAAGAGTTTGGGGAGCATTTCATGTGGTGTCTAGGGAATGTTAGTGTTGTCATTGGGTTGCGGGTTCTTTTTTTTTCCTCCAAAGGATGATGGATCGGTAATTGCAGCAATTCATCACAAATTCAGTAAATCCATGAATTCTCGTGACCAGAATGATTCCTTTCCGTATTGAAATCGGGGTGGGCTTGTTCTCTGGGAATTCAACATACGTAGAAAATCTCCAATGCACGTCGCCGACTCGCTTCGGTGTTCTTCTTGCCCAGGGTAATCAACTTCTCGGCCAGGCGCTGGGCCTCTTTGGCCTTGGGCCATGTCGTGGTGATTGATTCATGCTCGAAGAGGGAGGTCACCAGGTTTCGGAGCAGGGCCTGTCGATGCGCGGAGTCGCGGCTCAAGTGGCGGTATCTGCTTCCACCGCCGGCCATGATGAGGGCTATTAGGCGAAAGTAAACGAGGCAGATAGAGAGAGAGCGGGTTATTGAAAGTAGAGTGGGAATCACGAGGTCAATGGCTCACTAATTACAGGTGAAGGAGAGCCCTGGAGGATGTTCGGCCCAGAAGAATTGTCTCGGCCAATCGGAGCGCTTCCACCATCTGTCCGACTTCAGTTTTCCGCGCTCACTCTGTCTGGTCGACGACATTCAGCTTTTCGAATACATTTCACCTAAACCTATTGATTGCCGAGGACAGCATAGGCTATAATCAAGAAATACTTGTACCATTTGTCGCATTTTCAAACCACTCCCACGAACAAATAGACAATCCGGCGACTCCAAGCACCACAACAAATATGGGCTTCTTCACTGGATTTGTACGATTTACCCTCGAATATATACCAGAAAGCAGGACTAACTACAATTCACACTCGAATAGCTCGGTGGCTTTGCCTTTACCTCATCCGTTCTCTGCATTACCATCCAAGTACACCGCTCAACACGCATATCACAACGGAATGCCATCCACGCGCAAGTCGAGCAAATAGACTGGTTGAACTCCTCTGCTGGTGCCTATGACAGGCGCTTCCTACCAGAAGACGTGCCAAGGTGGCGGCGTGAAGAATTGGAAGCGCAGAGACAAGCGGAGCCGACTATGAAGGAGATATTTAAGCATAGATGGAATAAAGAAGTGGAGGCCTTGACAAGGAAGGCCTATGAGACAAGATGGGAGGATGTGAGACATGCTGCCGCGGAAAGCTGGAAGGCTGCTGCACGAGTGGTGAAAAGAGAATGAAGGATCATTTCTGAAAACTATAGCAAAGGCTTGGCTCGAAGGAATCCTTAGATGTATTATCATGTCCGCTTGTTTTGGGTTTATTTTTGAGCACCGGAGTTTGGATACCCTTGATTTAGTTATGTTATAATTTACATGCATTAGTATTATTATTTCCCCGAGGGATATTGTGAATGCGTCCAGCGCATCCTCGTATAGGATAGAGATATCAATGCGGTCCGGCAAGACTCGGTGATAGCCCGGATCAACCCTGGGACATGTACACTCGCCACTGAAGAATAAAAAAATGCAGCAAATGCAGCGAGGGCGGGACTGCAGCTGAATCGACTGGAAGACTCAGAAGTTCAGCTTGTATTAGTTGATGACGGTGCAGTTGTCGTGACACTATCTGAGTCGCTCCAGATATCCTTGCTTTCCCGCTCGACGGTGCGCATGGCCTGAGATACCTCCTCCAGTTTAGCAACGACATCCAAAACGCCCTGGTTGACCCGGTCAAAGTACCGGTCATTGGCCTCGCGGCGCTTTCGCGCAAGACGGATGTCTTTCTCGGTCTCGTCATCCAACGTACGGTACGATACCGAACCTTGACCTGCGCTAGCTTCTGTCGCTGATTCATCTTCAATACCTCGCCGCGCCAAGCTAGCTTTTCCACTGGCTTCTTCGGCACCGCTGTGGCCGGGATCCACAACTTCATCGTCTGCTTCACTACGTGCCCAGGCTTGGGCGAGCTTCAACTGTTTCATGCGTAAATCTTCCAATGCTTCAGAGTGCTTTGCGCCGAAGACATTCTCGCTCGTCACAGCGCTAAGTTCCACTTCTGACAAAGCGTTCTGCATCTCCTGCCAGATGGCATCGGATCCGTCGACATCATGTTTGGAGGCGCGGCGTGATACAAAGGGTGATAACAAGCTCGACTTCTCAGTATTTGCGCTCTCGGCTAGCCGAGATGACCGATTCCGTTTCAGGGGTGGGGGTTGGCCAGAGGCAGTTGCTAACGGTGAGGTTGCAGGTGGGACGGGTAAGGAGATATTAGAGGTATTGTGTGATGGTGGGCCCTGGAAAAGGGCTGGAGGAGGCAGACGTTGAGGGTTTGGATTCGTGGGTTTTCTTGACAAATCCATCTTCAACAAATGTTAGAGAGAACAACAAACATTCGGCATCCGAATGAGGTTGATGATGCAGCTGATAAGGTTATCGTTATCGGCGTGATGACATAATCAGAGGTGGGGGCTACGACTGTCTCGTGACTCGCTTAGGGCTAAGCGCACAAAGTCACCTGAGGTGCATCCAAAGCGTGTGGTAAGGGAAATCCGGAACTCTTCGACTTTTCGACAATCGACCCTCAGCCCCTTTGGCCGACAACACCCCTCCCAGTCGGTACGTATTCGATATCCTGCTATTTCCCCTACGTTGTTCGTGGTTTTCGGAAATCTTTTATTCGTGGCACTGCGAGATCCTTCGTCAACGATCGCACAAAAACTCGGCCTTCTCCAAACATCGAACACCGACCGAAAATATCCACAACCAGCAAAACAACCGTTACACTCGACACGAGGCTAACATTTTTTTCCTTGCTCAGTTGACCGTCGAACACATACTCCGCCAACATGGGTAAAGGACAACCCCGTGGTTTGAACGCCGCCCGCAAGCTCCAGGCGCACCGCAAGGATCAGCGCTGGGCTGATGACCACTTCAAGAAGCGTCTTCTCGGAACCGCCTACAAGTCCTCCCCCTTCGGTGGTGCTTCCCACGCCAAGGGTATCGTTCTCGAGAAGGTCGGTGTTGAGGCCAAGCAGCCCAACTCCGCTATTCGCAAGTGTGTCAAGGTTCAGCTCATTAAGAACGGCAAGAAGGTCGCTGCTTTCGGTGGGTTATCCTCTTCCTTACTGCTATTGTTGGGGCCTACACGAGTTGGAATTACGACAAGATGGAACCACCAACACAACCACCACAAACAGATGCTAACTGGCATGTTCTTACAGTCCCCAATGACGGTTGCTTGAACTTCATCGATGAGAACGACGAGGTTCTGCTCGCCGGTTTCGGTCGCAAGGGTAAGGCCAAGGGTGATATTCCCGGTGTCCGTTTCAAGGTCGTCAAGGTCTCCGGTGTCGGTCTCGCCGCTCTGTGGAAGGAGAAGAAGGAGAAGCCCCGCTCTTAAACAACTCGACGCGTTCTGTTCGAAATCAAAAATGCAGCGACCGGGAGCCTTGGAGTGTGGGAACGGTGCCGGACGGAAAGCCCGCCTCATCAGCGCCTTGATTTCATGAGATATTTTCTTTTTGGGGAGTCCCCCGGCGGGCTTGCGTCCGGAATGTGGTGGATCCGCTTATTTGCGAATTAAACACGATTGATACAACCTCCAAAAAGATTATGGCGCCATGACTTTCTATCACTTTCCCGGGTTTCTGACCTTCCTGTATACTGTTACTTGGTTCCTTGATCCTTGCTAGAGTTGTCTGGTGGAGACGCAAAGTAAAGCGTAGGGTATGGTGTTGATGTGAACACAGCATTCATGAGTGATGGTCTAAATCTTCAATACATTTGATCTGTACCAACATGTATCTATCCCATGCTCTAGGCCTTCAAGCCCATTTACCCGTTGCCGAACGTCATCCACCCGTGAACGTGTGGAGTTGTTCAGTGATGGCAATGGCCCTAGTAGTTATATATGTGTGTACCGTCTTAGTGTAGCTGCTCGTGGATATATATCTAACCTACGTGTAGTGTGGCCACTAGGATTCCCTCGGTATTAATCTCGAATAAACTACAACGTTAGCCCCGTTCCTACATGAGTCAGGTTATATCGACAAAGATGCACATGAAGGTCTACGATCCCTTTAGTCTTCCGGGAATCAAGGATTGGAAAGCTTGAAGGACCGAGAGAAAGGTGCAAAAGGAAAGGTATGTAAAAGAATCGGATTGATTGCCACTTGTATGCTTGCAGGTCGGCTTTATATGTGAATATATATCAATGTTACCCTCATGGTTCGTATGGTCTCTACATCTAGTCCAATCATAGATTAAGATACTCTACACTCCTACCAGTATTCGATCGGATCTATATACTAGGCAAAGCTCAATCACATAACGAGATAAGCGAGAGTCCAACATAGCGGCTACTCATAAACATTCGAAATCATAAAACTTAGTTCCTTTTATTCATTACTCCTGCGTATCGATCGTCAAAGTAAACCCTCGGGTATCGTTCGGGCAAATGTCCCTCAAAAGATCTTTTATTGATTTTCACGACCTGTGACACAACTGCCTAAACCAACTACAGCTTAGAAGCTGATATCTTCTTTGCGGTAGTGGTCTGAGACAATGCGGTACAGGTATGATGGAGCATGGCCGCCGCTGGGGTAGGAAAACAAGGTTAGCTTTATGGAATGAGATAAGCGTGTGGGATGGGTGCTTGAAACTTACAGGTTAGTAATGTAAAGATCGACGAGCTCTGCGGGAACGTAGTCATAGATGGGGTTTTGGACATCGATTAGGTCGACGAGATCACCTTCCTCGTATGGGAGGACCTTGCTCGGGTCACCGTATTCAATGAGTGAGTCGAAGTCGAATGGGTAGACTGGGCTGAGCTTGTAAACACCGCTCACGACCACGACGGGGGTCTGGTGAACCTTGGCGGCACGCGCGATGACACGGGTGCCAGCCGCGGCGACAAGGCCGCCGTTGGCGAGGACGGAGTGTGTTCCGAGAATGACCTTGTTGACTCGTGACATGAGAGCGAAGACGGCAGAGTCTGGGATGAGGATGACGGTGATGCCGTGCTCGATCAGTGGCTTCTGGAAAGCCTCCAAGCCGATGTTGTCATCGTCAGTGACAGCGCTACCGCTGACAGTGGCGTGTGTGTCCTCATGGTTATTCGGATACGACTCGGCATGGATGACGGTAAACTTGCGCTTCGCGGCGGCCTTAAGCAGGAATTTTTGGACAGTGGTCGAGGATGTGTGGGTGAGGATGATTTCGTTAGAGTGAATGTGGTCCAGTGCATAAGCGGCGATCTGATCGTCGACCTGGCCGAGCTCATCAATGATCTCGCCAATACCCTCCAGCACCTCAGCTCGTACGTCTTTGCTTGGACCGTGGCCAGGGAGGCGTCCGTTTGGAGAGGAGGATCCCGGGGTGCTGGGAAGTGAGTGCTCGGGTTCGGGATGGGACAGAAGGCTGAACATAGAGGTCAGAGGGGGGCGAGAGGATCTTTCATCGGACCGGAAGGAGGGCGAGTCGCGATCCAAAGGCAATGATGGATCTATGAATCTATGAGTCACTGCGTTGATATTTGGACCAAAACTTGGGACCCACCGTCATAAGCCCGGGGTGTTTGGGGCTGACTCTCTGAGCCAATATCGCTAAGGGCGAACTCAGCGTCGCGATCGTCTTCCGCTTCGTCGCGAATAAGACCTAGGACCCGGCGCACGATATTGCCCACAACCATCTCGCGCGGTTGCGCAGCCATTAGTCGCCTACCCACACTCTGCACCCGCTCAATAAGCTTTGCTGAATCTGTTGTGCGGCATGCAGAGATAACGCTTCGTAGCAAATAGGCGGTTGCTGTAGCACATGATCGCGAATGGCGGATTTGACGTCGCTTGAGCAATCTGATTGAAATATACTATGTTAGCGAGTTTGATCGTCGGTAAGAGTAGCCGTCATGACAAGGAGTCTGGAAATACGTACGAAATCAGAGTCTCAATAGAGGTATCAATCGGGTTTGTCTTGAGGCACTTGAGGAATGACCCCAGGCCCGGCGTCAGGGCCAACGAGGAAGACGGCATGAGGAAGTGGGATGTTGGGAGGAAATCTACGCGGTGTCAGCGGGGGTTCGGCGACAGGAGTATGCAGTGTCGGGTAATAGACATACCAAGTTTCAGATCCAGATCACACCGAGTATGTAAATAGAACGATGAGCAAGAGATTCTCAGATTCTCACACGAAGAGCCAGAGAGTGGGAGAGACAAAGAATGATTTTCTGCCGTTCGATCTTGTCCGCTTCCCCACACTCATTGATCCTCGCTCTATTGTCTCGGCTTCGGCTTTCTTATTGGTGTTTTGCCAGTTTTTGGATTTCAATTATTTCATTTCTGTTTTTGGATTGCTTTTTGTCGGCTTTGAAACTCGTGGTATAAAATCAGATTGGAGTTGCGGAAGTACTTCCGAGGCACGGGTGACTTGGCGCATTGAGGTTAGAACAAGCTTACACCTCCTTGAGATCCCCCTCTTTCCTTCAGACTGCCATCACATCCCTACACACTCATCTCATGGACCGCTTTAAGTGGCTTTGATGAGTAACTCACGATCCGTTTGCCAATAGATCGCTGCGCCCCTGTCTCCCGTGACGCCTTGAGGAAGATGAACTCACTGAATATCCTGTCCTCGCGAGTCATTGGCCAATCTTCCAGCTCTTCACGCCACAGATCGCAGTCCCAAAGTGATAGCAAACGTGCATCTCCACCGTCAGACCTCTCGAAAGTCCGGTCTTATAGCGAAGATAATTTTCGGTCCCTTGACCCCACTGAAAAGAGCTACAACGATAGACCGCTCGTGGACGAAGATGGAGAGGAGGATGGTACATATGACTCGGACGAGAAGACCCCGTTACTGCATGAACCCCACAAGAATGGCACGCTCACTGCTCGAAGTACTTGGCGACTGATTTCCCAACGGTTTTTCGATGCGATCACGGAAACGATCAAGTTCATTTTGTCTACGTTTGCTGCACCCGGTGTGTATTTGGCTCAATACTTTCAGACCGACGATGGCCACTACTCGCTTCTTGCACCTGTCCGGAAATTGCGACGCTCCCCATCCGACCAAGCCATCCGGTCGGCTAAAGGGGCCATCCGGGTAGAAGGTCGGCGTCGTAGTGGCTCCACCCGGAAGCTCCGACCTCAAGGCTCTCACGAATCCATTGTGTCAACAACGTCAGAGTCCGACACAGATCGACGGTATACTAAAAATCTTTCAAGTGGGAGGAACCGACCTACCAAGACAAAAGGCCGCGATGCAGATTCAATCCCAGAAGGGGCGGAGCATGAGCACACTCCCCGTCGGTCTATACGAATCAAGCTCCATAATGAAGAATCTCTCAAGCGGCAGAGACAACGAAGATCCCAGAGTGCAGACCTAGGACATCCAATGCCCGAGGGTGTCTCTCGTGTCCAAGGGGCTGTCCACCTGGACAGCTTAAAGTCCCCAACCTCTCCCAACATCCACCGCATAACAAAGTACCCACACTCTCCAACTCCACCGCGCCCACTCCTCCCGTCACGAGTACCTTCATATACTGCAGCTCCCCGCAATGCCAGACCTCCGCAGAAGACCTTGGTGCTTGATCTCGATGAGACCCTGATCCACTCGCTTGCCAAGGGTGGCCGGATGTCCAGTGGTCACATGGTCGAGGTTAAACTCTCGATACCCACGACTGCTTCATTGTCCCCGGGCGGACCGCAAACGACACTGGGCCCTCAGCATCCCATTCTGTACTACGTTCATAAACGACCACACTGCGATGAGTTCCTCCGCAAGGTCAGCAAGTGGTATAAGCTCGTCATCTTCACAGCCAGTGTTCAAGAGTATGCCGACCCTGTCATCGACTGGCTCGAGCAGGAACGAAAGTATTTTCAAGGCCGCTTATACCGACAGCATTGCACATTTCGTAACGGGGCATACATCAAGGACCTGAGTTCTGTGGAACCGGATCTAAGCAAGGTGATGATTTTGGACAATAGCCCGATGAGTTATATTTTCCACGAAGGTAATTTAGGTTTATCTATTTGGGTGCGCTTAGACTAATAATCATCGCTAGATAATGCGATTCCGATTGAAGGCTGGATCAACGACCCTACGGACAACGGTCTGCTCCACTTGATTCCCATGCTTGAAGCTCTACAATATGTGACGGATATCCGGGCTTTGTTGGCACTTCGCCGCGGTGAAATCGAGTCATGATCGTTATCCACATTTGTGTCCATGAATGTGCGCATCTAGGTGTATAAGGGGGGGTTTTTTTTTTCTAGAAGCGATATGCAACCTTTAAACCTGAAAACAGAAAAAAAAAAGATATCACGGAGCAATGGAGGGAATTGGAGACCGACCGACATGATCATGCAAGCGCAGTTATTCATAATGGCATCCGGCGTCTTGTTTGACTAGGAATGGAAATCCGTACATATGACCATGAACTCTCCTATGAATCTAACACAACACATAAGAGGATGATGTCCTAAAATCCCACGGAAACCGCCATAACCTTACCCCCTCTGGTACTCGTGTCATCAACAGGAAGCTTCGTCCCCCCTCCAGTAGTGATATAAAGAACATTACGATATCTCTGTGTCCGCCCAAAAGCCGCCGATGTAGCAGTCATCAAGTCCATTGAGCCCTTCAAACCCGCGATCAACTCATGATATCTATTAGGAAAGGCCCTAATAACCACATCATCAACAAGACCCGCCAAATACCCAACCCCATGCAGGCCAATAGCGAAGTCATCAGCAAGTATATCATGGCTGATAACCTCGTAAGGCCCCAAAGCACGACCGGTATGTGTATCAATTTGAACACGACAGAAAATATGCTTCGGGCTGTTGCTGTAGTACATATAATCGTTTACTATCTTCAACCCGTTAACCTCAAGCAACAAACCCATGTCATGATTTGCGGCCATTGTTTCGTGTTGGTGGATCACTCCGTACGTGCCGGTGCGGATATCCAGACGCCATATAAGGCCGAGTTGGGAGTCGGTTATGGCGACTGCTTTTCCTTCGTTTAGAGCAGCTATGCCATTCAAATAGTCAGCGGGGAGTTTTGCGATGAGAATTGGCTCGGCGCATTTCTGTGGTGTTTGAGATCGACCGTCCAGACTGAGTTGGATGCAATGACTGCATAGATATCTGGTGAGAGCTCCGTGATACCATCTGCGTCTTCGGCGCCGTCAAAATGGTGGACCAAATTGGCTGAGCTGGGGCCTGATGGAATTGAAGGGTCAATTTCCCAGAGTTCTGCTGTGCTCAGTACTGCGACTAGGAGGTTGCCGTCGGGTCGGACTGCGATATTCTCGACCCAGGTCCCGTTAGGGGATCTGTGGATTTCGCGGAGATTGGGAGAGTGGGCGAGGCATAGAGTGTAGATGAAGGTAAGCAGTAATAATATGGAACCTAAAAGATTAGCCATATGTGGAAGGTGTGACACAAGGATCTCAAATAACCAAGTATATGGGAATCATTGCCATATATAGGAAGTGCCAGTTTCCCATTTCGTAACTCGAATTAGGTAGGTTTCCCGGAAACCGTGGCCATGTATGTAGTTAACTAGTTACAAAGTGGTGCTTGGTAATATGCTCTTGGCTGCATTGGGCTCAGATGGTCATACAGCACGATTGGTAATATGCTCTTGGCTAAATTGCTGACAGCAGGGCGCGGAGTTTACCACCGGCACTCCACTGGCACTCCACTGCAGCCTGAATCAGAATAGTAAGTCTAGGTATCGAGTAGTCCTAGGCCTAGATATAAGCGTCGATATCTGACATGCAAAGAAACAGCACGTCGCAGAAGGGGTCGTTGGGTGCCAAGTTAAAGTCCCAGCGCGGCAGGCTGGGGCTTTTGCTGAGACTTCTGCCTTGACAAGACCTTTTCCTTCTCTCTCTTGGTCTCCTTTGATGGAGTAAAAAAATATAGATGTAAGAACCCAAAGGGAAAAACGAACCGTCTATCACTGTCTGACTGTATTCGGATTTTAGTTTGTTAATTTATGCTTTTTCCGGGTGCCTACCGAGTGGGTCACAACTCACAAATATAATTGGTGGGCCAGCCTGAGCTGCCAATAGCCAAAAGTTAAAAAGTCAAGTCGGGACCCAGTCAAAGTCATGACGTACAATAAGCAGCCTACATGATGCTCGAACCTAATAGTACATAGATACTGAGCACACCTCTAGAGTCAGGCTTCTTGGCGCCTAAGGCTGCAGTCTTGGGGGTTTGAAAATTGCAGATGGAAGAGCCGTGGACGAATAATATCTATATCTCAATCTCTCGTCATTCTAGGCGCGAATGACAATTACAACAGGTGATCAGCAAAGGATTTGTCTGTAGTGCGTTTTTGGTAACTAAGCCATGCACCACGCAGAATTTCAACTCTCCTCTCCTGCTGTGACTTAAGCGACCCCGTTTCTGTAAGGTTACATCTTACTATGCACAAATCCCTATGGTGCATCTCGTTTGTACCTTGGGTACTGCTGGAAAATTGTGCTAAATTTGATAACACGAGTTAAGAGACGAAAAGCCTTCTCCATTTTCTTCAGTTGACATAACGACAATGTCAATTCGCAGGCTGTCCGCGTACCAACGTCATGCCAGAGACCAAAAATTGTTGCGATTGAATGAGAATGGCACGTTTCAAATATCAGTTTTTAGTGACTTGCATTTCGCTGAAGGTATGCTGACAGACTCTTACCGTTGACTTGAGATAGTAACTATGTAAAGATGATATAGCGGACAACAAGACCGCAGGGGTCATGAAATCCGTTCTTTCTTCGGAGAAAGTGCAACTCGTGGTACTCAATGGAGATTTAATCTCTGGTGAGGCCACCCAAAAGTCTAACTCGAGTCTTTACGTTGATCGGGTTGTTGCACCTCTACTCGACCGTGGTATACCATGGGCATCCACCTATGGGAATCATGACAGCGAGGTGAATCTTGATCCAGAAGAGATCTTTCGTCAAGAGACAAAATATCAAAACAGCCTAACCGAGAGAAGGGTTCTGGACCCCGCTGCCGGCATCACGAATTATTACCTGCCAATATTTCCACATGAGGCTTCGAATGACACTATCCCAGTATTTATCTTGTGGTTTTTTGACAGCCAAGGTGGTCATTATGCATTGACAGAGGATGGGGATGGCGAATCAACCACGAGACAGAATTGGGTAGATGATACAGTAAGTATCACCAGGGCTCTCACATGTTCCCATGCTTGATCCAAAAAGTCGAATGCTTGGTCAATGGACTTGGTGTCGAGCTTTCACATACTGACTTGTTGCAGGTCATTCAATGGTTTATAAAAGCCAATGCAAACCTAACGTCCACCTACGGGCGAACAATCCCATCTCTAGCCTTCGTCCATATTCCAGTTCATGCAATGCGCGCCTTCCAAAAATCCGGCGTCAGCCCGGTCAGGGAACCAGGAATCAACGGAGAAAGAGTCCAGCAACAAGGCTACGATGCCGAGTCCGGCTACCATTCTCAAGACTTCCCATTTATAAGTGCTCTGTTAAACACCACGGGGTTAGCAGCAACTTTCAGTGGACATGACCACGATAATGACTGGTAAGAACCATACTGTGCTATACATTCTCTTCTCAGGTTGAAGTCAAAACGCAAAAACGCCTCATTTGACTAATAATAATCCTTTTCATAGGTGCTTCAAGTGGGATACTAAGCTAAATGGCCTCAATGTGACGGGAAATGGCATGAACATGTGCTACGGCCGGCATACGGGATATGGAGGGTATGGCGACTGGGCGCGTGGCGGAAGGCAGGTTTTGTTGGATAAGCGATCGCTTGGGGATGATATACAGACTTGGATTCGGATGGAAGATGGGTCAATTTCAGGCGATGTTCATCTCAATGCGACGTATGGCCAAGATCAATATGGGCTGGTGCAGAGGAGTTTCAGCGGGCAAAATGGTGGTCTTTCTCCACACTTAAATGTTCTCTATTTGTGGATTTGTATTTACTGGGCTTATATGCAGTTGAACTGATGGTCAATGGTTCGGAGGACTCTATAAATCTGTTGAGTTGGGGGACTGGTCATGGTTGGCTCTTAGGGGATATGCGAGCGTGTACAATTTGTTGGAGCGACACAGTTCACCTTGCCCTGAGGACTAGCAAGGCCTGAAAACATCAGCTGGGAGTATAATGGAGAAAAAAGAAGATTGTAGCAAAGCTGTGAAATCTAGAGGCAGCTATTGACGTCGGGATCGAATGCTTATTTATCATTGGGTGTTTTGTGCTGTACGAAGTACATATGTATCGGATAATGCCTGATACTCTCGAGACCTTTCCTTTGCGTTTTAGTGCTCACCCCTTGCCGCTTTTTGGTCACTGAGTAAAACTGAGCACGTCCCTGAGTATCCTGACCGACTTGATCACAGGCCATTACGTAATCAACTGATCTGCTCACTGAGCATCACCTGATCATCCCGTGAATACACGGCGACCTTCGTGCTCCTCCGTACTGTTTTTGGTTGGAGAGCTGAGTAAGTGTCCTTTGAAGTATTTGGCGCATATTTTGTTGAAGTCATCCAGAAGACATTTTACTACTGGCTCACAATCTGCAGAATTGGTTCTATTTTTCTGTGGACGTCTCTACCGCTACTGTATAATGAAATAACTATTTGGCTGGTTCAATGCCTTGGTGACATTGTAGCTTCCTAAAAAAAGTATCTCTTTTCTGAATTGACTCACTCGTCTCCACCATCAGCCCCCATTGCCGCCAACATCTCTTCCGGGCCCGCAGCTAAGAACATATGATGGGTCATCCAGTGACCTTTCTGAATTGTTGCCACCGCGCGCGGCCGCATCGCCTCCTCGTATGCTAATGTTGCCGACTCCAGGTTATCGATGCCATGAGAAATGATGTGCCTCGCCAGATCGACGCTATCATGCATAGCATTGTTGACTCCATCTCCAGTTGGGACTCTATAGACAAAGAACAAAAGTCAGAGGTAAACTCTTTCCCGTGGCGATCCAAGAAGAAAAAGGCACAGTTTAGTATGCACTTACGTCAAATGTACAGCATCACCAACAAGTGTTACTCCCGAAACATGATTCCAGGACGGGATTGCATCCTCGGCCATGGTGTATAATGGCCATGAGCGAAACTTGCCATCGCATGACCGCACGAAGTCTGTCAGGTCATAATCCCAGCCTGCGAAATATTCTTGCAGCACGGTATTCCATAGGGCCGATGCACTCGCGAGGATGGAACCTTCAGGTATACTTTTCTCAGAAAGCCTTAGACCCACAGAAACGTGGTACGACCCATCACCGAGGTAATATAGGAATATTTGCCGCTCTTTGCCAAAGGCCAGATAATTTCCCTTCCCTGCCTTTGAGGCAGCCAACGGGTAGATTGGGTTGTCGGGCTTGATATAAGAAGAAAAGAAATGGATACCAGAATACTGCGGCTCGGAGGGCATAACCTATGACAATGGTATTATCAGCCAGGAATCCGACACCTCCACTGAAGCCATATCGAAATTGGAGACTTTACTCACTGTCGCTCGAATCTTAGACCAGGCGCCATCTGCGCCAACCACCAGACGAAAACCAGATCTAGATGGCTGGTTCTCGAAATGAGTCGTGACAGATCCATTGTCAACTCTCTCAATGCGTTGTACCTTGTGATCCCAAAGAATCCTAGACGCCGGAACTGAGCTTAGAAGTAGGTCTCGCAGATCCTTTCGATCGATCTCTGGCTCTTCTGTGTCTCCCTCGCGGGAATGAGAAACATGGACCTTCCCTTGAGAATCGACTATAGTGAGTGGAACACCAAAGCGCGCAAGGGATTGAAATCTTGGAAATAAGCCGGCTTCGAGGAGAGCGGCCTGGCCAGTGGTAGGGTGAAGATCGAGGGTACCACCGCTCTGATGTTCATTCGCCCACGTGGCAGAGACATCTCGTTCAAAGACAACATACGGTATTTCAGCGACCTCCAAGAGCCGTGCGAGAGTAAGACCTGCCGGGCCAGCGCCGACGATGGCGATGGGTGACTGTGACTGCGTCATGTTATGAGTGAGACTCGAAAACAAAGAACGAAAGTTTCGATGAAGATGCAGACGAGAGGATGAGAGATGACATACTTATAGATTTATTCTACGTCAGTTAAATGCCGGAACTTGTGATGTCGGATGTTAGAACACTTCGGAAGTTACTGTAAGGTGTTGCGTTTCGGAGTTTAAGTCCACGGCTCGGAGGTTACGGACCCACTCTAAATTCACTTTACTTATTCGCGAACTTCCGTAACCTCCGACTTTCCTAACGCCCGGGATTATTTACCTTCAGTTACGTCCGACATCAAAATGGCTACAAGCCAGGGCGATGAGGATACTGCCCTCTCCAAATATGCTTGCGACTCATGCAGATCAAGCAAGGTAAGCTCCGCGTTTTCACTTACTTCCGCGATCGAGAGATGGAAACAAACTAAACTACCTCCGCAGATTACTTGCTCCCGTGAACGGAATAGTTGCGAACGCTGCACGAAGAGAGGAATTCCTTGTATCTACTCGCGTGTAGGCATCATTCGTCGTGCTAGAAAACGCAAGCACGAGACACAGCAGGCTAGCGGTGCAATCGCAACTCCTCGGCCCGCGCCTGGGTCTGATGATGGCTCGGCTTCCAAGATCCTGCGAAGCGACGGTCGCCCACAGTCATATCTTGCCTCTGATATTGAATTGACCGAAGAAAGCTTAGGCGGTTCTAAAAGCCCGGGTCAGCGAGGTCCATTCAACGCGCTGCTGATGCTGAACGAAGCCAGTACAGCCACGACTGTTAACAACGAGCCAACTGTGCTGGACAGTGCGAGGTCTGGAAAGACAACACGACTTTCATTCAAGAAGCACTCTATAGAATGGTCGAAAAGTATGGAGTTCACGAAAACCGTCCACTGCGCATATGGTTCCAGCTGCTAATGATGCCATTGGTTTTTGAGAACGCCTTGCGAGATAAAGAACCTTTGCTTAGTCCGGCACCTCCTGAAGTGGTACGCTCTCTGAAAGCGTCTCGCCCAGATGAGATTCAAGAAAAAGCCTGGTTAGTGATGTACTACTGCATTATATTGAGAGTCACCGACGCTGTACATCTCAAAAGCCAGCTGCGACAAGAGCTCTGGGCCTCACTCGGAAATATTAGCGTCCTGATGAAACCGAGCGACGCGAACATCCAGGCTATTCTCATGGTTATTGGTCTCGTACCGGACTTGATAGACCCCTCATTATGCTGGATGCTCTCTACAAGCGCCTGCAGGATGTTACAAGCCCTGGGTGTTACCCACAGAAGGATCGACGCTCAGAATCGGGAACAACGGCGGCTGAGATTCTGGCAGCTTAATCTCGTTGACAAGGCGCTTGCTGTCATATTCGGTCGATCTCCAATTTTCCCTCAGAGGATGGGCATTGAGGTTGGTCTTCCGACATTGGAGCAGATCCGACCATCTACGCAGCACCGGACGTCAGATGGCAGTAAAGGGTATTTTGCATCGCACCTCATGTATCAGAAATTTCTGCTCTCAAAGGTTATGGCAGATATCTGGCAGTGCCTCTACGGTGAAATAGAGAGCCAAGATCTCGAAATAGAGTCGGTCATTGCTAACCTCGAATCTTGGTATGAACAGGCACACAAGGTATGTCTCAATCCTGCAGGGTTTGCCTTCAAATGCAGTTAATGACACTTTAACCCGTTGCAGACTCTTGAAGCTACTGCGATATCTGAAAAGCCATTTTGCAATGCACAAAATGCCAAGTCGATAGACATCGGTCTTCGCAGCCAGGATTTCCATTACTTTTATCTGAAGATCCTTCTGTTTCGAAAATCCCCACCCCGGCGCTCCCAGTGCATCACTAGCTCTAAGGAATTGCTCAACCTGCTTCTACATCTATCCCCAGAATCAGACGAGCCATATCACCCTTTTCTCTGGCAATTTCTATACTCTCCATTCACTGCATTTTTGTTGTTATTTCGTGACATTTTACTCAACCCCGGCCGTGAACCTAAGGACAATCAAGAAGCTCTGGCTGCTATGGAGAATCTTCCGGAGTTCCTGGAAAAGATGGCCTCGCGGAATCCCCTTGCCACAAGGCTGAGGGAAGTTTCAAGAGTGCTCATTGGCCATGCGGAGTCTGCGTTGACTCCAAGTGGACAATCTCGAGCTGGATCAGATGGTCTAGTGGCAGAATCGACTTTCACATCGAGTGAGACAGCAAGTTCGTTCGACATGGATCTATTGTGCAACCAAACCACAGATGCGGCAAGAAATCCTTTCTGTGACTTAAAAACAGATGATATATTCGAATCACTCACTCAAGATTTTGAGGGAAATGGACTATTTGACTGGATGACTTGGCTGGGTGAGACGTGATGATATCATGCGGATACAATGAAGGCCGGAAGACCCGGCAAAGATGCGCTTTCGCAAAGATAGCTCTATGCAGAATCACGGCCCTGGTTTTCTTTCGTGGACGCTACCAGGTCGACGGCGCTAAAATTGAGAGTTCAGGCCTACGGGAAAGTGGTCATCGAACCGGCTGTCAACTTAAGCCATACACCGGCAGCTACCAAAAACAGACTCGTTCCGCAAAGGTCATATAACACCCACTTAGAGTAAATATGACCCATGAGAAAGATTGGGTGCGCTGGACCCTATGAGAGCAACAGAAAGGCAGGACAGCAGCGAGCGTGGATTGAGCTAGACTGCCAGGGGCAACGACCCCGCCTTCAGACCCCCCTGCCTAGAACATTCTGTACAGGTTTATAGTATTTAACAGACGCCTTGAACCTAATACATCACAAGACACAATACTGCCAAGAAGCGACCGTTTCAGCGTAACCAAATACGGATTAGCGTATACTCGGGTACGGGCCGAGAAACAAAGTCAGTATGTCTAAGGGGTAATCTGTTTTCGAAATCGACTGTACATTGCAGAGAGGATCGACTGTAGCCTATCCGGGTATCAGGCTTTTGATCGACTGGACTTGTATAAGACTGTATATTTGGTCGATTGTAAACCAGATTGCGAGCGGCACTAATCGAACGAAAATGACGGGACGGGCCGAGACATGAACCCCTGAACCGCCCGACCGCGACGTTCTACTAGACCGCCTAATAATTATGCCCAGGAGTAAAAACTCGACATTGAACAAAGTAACGCGCGTTCTTAGCTGAAGAAGAAGACCTAGGGCAAGTGGGTAGCCTAACATGAAGCGGTAGCCTCGGAATCATTAACAGAGAGCGAGGACCCGAACGTGTTAGAGCTGTTAAAGGAACTTGTCAAACTTAGGAAGGAGATTAGATAGCGAGATGAATCATATAAGGAAGAGCTTTGAAAGGTCAAAGAAGAGTTTGCCGCCCTTAAAGAACAGTTTAATACTGCCCTTATAGAAGTTTGACACAAGCTATAGACCCTAGCAGATAGACCCGCGATCCCGTAACCCTACCTCGAGCTATATTCTTAGAATAACCACGATAAGATCCTATATATGTGTAAAGGTATACGTTATGCAGGTGTAAGGCCTGTCAACCGGGTAAGATACAAAGGGCTTTGTGGAGGGAACATAATGTATTGATGATGTGCCAAGACTAATTCTTGCCAGTCTCGGGGTCCCCTGGGGGTCCCAAACTATAAGGAAATCTATCTGCCTATGTTCATGTGACGAACCTCCTTTCCTTAGAGAAGAATCGGAGGTAAAATGTTCTTGTAATCGGTATATTCTGACCTTCTACTGATGGTATAGATTTTAAAATTGGATTATTGAATTAGAAAAGTCACAATTTCCGGAATGTTTTTATTGTTTAGGGCCCATTGGGCCCCCACTAGCCTACCTCAATTCAGGAAATATATGTGCCACAATGAAGAAATTGAGCCATTGAATTTAAAATTGCGGAATTCATACCTGTAAGGATAAAGCTCATCATACTGGTTGCATTGATGTAGCAAGCAGGCTGGTTAGTTGACAATTTAAAGACAGCATATTATCCACGAGCTTATACTACATCGTGCTTTTGATATTCTACCTGACTTGTCTGTACCACATATTTGTTTGTGGCTCTCATTAGAATATATAGCGCGTGGATGAGCATAGCATGCATGTTCATTTTCCAGACTATGAGCGAGAGCAATTCCATGTGAGGGCAGTAGCAATGCTATCAACGAACTAACTATCACAGTATAAACGACCCGGTGGGGGCTAATCCCTTCTGGGTATAGTCTGCAGTAAGCTGAGTGCATCAGTGTTACTCACTGATTGGACACTGGGCATCACTGAGTAATCCGGGAGCATCCAATGAGCACTCACTGAGCACTTACTGAGCAACAGTCATTCTACACGTGACTGAACTAAGCATGATCACTGATCTGAGTCCGTACTGACATCTACTCAGTGAGCCTGAGTCTGAGCACCCTCATAAAAGCGGCGGCAGATCAAATAGGAAAGCCCCACACGCCAGGGAAAATCCGGTACATATAGTTACAATATGTATGTACCTGTGCCTTGGCTGTTGAGAGCGAACCATATAGATGTTACTTAGAAAGGGGTGTTGTCTCAGTCATAGGTTTCAGTCGCATAGCTCAAAGACTACGCCGGAGACAATAATAGTGATTCGGTAGTTACTTTTCACAAACATTAACTCTAGCCTATATAAATCTGTAAGTTGTGGTCGCTTATTTCCGTTTGCCTCGGTTTTGCGGGGGAGTTTACGATGACTCGCATGTCAAGATCCTTGATTCCTTGGCGAGTCTCAAAAGACAGGTGGGTTACGCAGAAAACAGTCTATGTAGATGACCAAACCCATGTGAAACCCCTGGTTTTTTCGAAACACAGCCCATTCGATCGTCAAAAGAAGAAAACTGGCTCTCCCGCCTCTGACGTCAGAGACCCCTGGGCGGCCCCACTCTTTCTGCCCCGGGTCCACGGTTGTGAATTACCAAACGTCCGAAAACGGAAACATTCTAGGGCGTGAAGAGATCGCAATCAAATGAGGTTGAAGAACAATATCTCAGGCTAAGATATCAATCACCTACCTTAGTAGCTAGGGACTCTCATACATAAGCTGGCGTGAAACATATCTTGTAATATGTGCGTAAATCATTGAATCTGAAAGCCAAGAAGCCTAGGTTCCTTGGTTGGATCCGTCGAATAGCTTGTCTTGCCCTCTTTACACGCGTTGTATGGCTTGGCATATGCATGGTGACCGAGAAAGTGGGGAATTAAATAAGCCCTAGCCCATCCGAAAACAAAGACCCTATATTATTCGACATCATCTGTCGCTGATCTGTTGCTGATCTGTCGCTTTCACTCACTTTATCCCGTAATAATATGATAAATTGACCTGCTAATGCTTATCCTACCCAGCCATGAACTGCTTAGTTGACTGCACGCATACAAACGACATCGGGCTATACTCGGCTCAGCCAGTGGCGAACGATATGATAGATCTGCTAGTTGATCGTCGGTGAGGTCTTTGCGAAACCAACCAGCAAAATCTTGCTACCCCACAGAAAAGTGGATAAGGCCCTGAATCCTATTTTTAACATGGAACTTTTAGGCTGGGGGTCTTCTGCTCATACATCAATTATTGCGCCGCATCCCCAACCCCCAACCTCCTTTGACAAGCAAGGTCTCGCCCCATTTTTACTTCGAATCGCGAGCACTTCTCATTTTAGATTGATACCATCTATGATTGATCTAGGCCGAAATGCACTTGTCCGGAACATGGTCTATCCTTAACGGTCTCATCACAACACTCCTCTTTTCAACGTTAACGCCTGCGATCGAATTAGACATCAGCAATAAACGTACGTCACGGATAGTCGAAGCTATTTTCCGATAAAAGTTGTTATGGGACTGACTCCGCAATCATTGGACAGAATCAATCAAAGATGCCGCAAGTACGAGTGCTTACTCCATGTTGGGATGGTATGCCGGCAACGAAACTGGACAAATTCCTGGCTCTTTCCCCGAAAAATGGTGGGAAGGGTCTGCTCTTTTTCTTGCGTTGCTTCAATACTGGCACTTCACCGGTGACACGACCTATAACTCTTTGACGAGCCAAGGACTGGAGTGGCAATCGGGTGATAAGGGTGACTATATGCCCAGCAACTATAGTAGCTACCTGGTGAGCACCATACATCAATTTCGAATTCTCGCGACGAATAACCAGTTCTCTGACTATTCTCGAATCCCTAGGGAAATGACGACCAAATGTTCTGGGGTCTCGCAGCTATGATGGCCGCCGAGCTGAAATTCCCTGATGTCCCGGGCCAATTCTCGTGGCTTTCGCTCGCACAAGGTGTATTTAATACCCAAACCGCTCGATGGGATACAACAACATGTGGTGGTGGCCTGCGTTGGCAGATATTCCCGTACCAGGACGGATATACCATGAAGAACTCCGTATCAAACGGCGGTCTGTTCCAGCTTGCTGCGCGCCTCGCCCGTTACACCAATCAAGCCAAATACTCAAAATGGGCCGAGAAGATCTGGGACTGGTCTACTTCCTCACCGCTAGTGAACAACAAGACCTGGAATGTTGCCGACTCCACGCAAATGGCAAATGACTGCGCCGATGTTGGTAACTACCAGTGGAGCTACAACTACGGTACATACCTGATGGGCGCTGCCTACATGTATAACTATGTGAGTGGAACCTCGATACTCGCTATTTACCCATTACATGCGCCCAAATCTTCTATTTGCAGACATTAACATTCCACCTGTACAGACAAATGGAGATGAAAAGTGGAAGACCCCAGTAGACGGCCTCCTCGGCAAAACCCTAAAAACCTTCTTCCCGACCGGCGACATCTTCGAAGACACAACCTGTGAACCCACCAAGAAGTGCAATTTCAACGAGATCCTCTTCAAGGGCCTCACCTCATCATGGCTTGCATTCACCGCACTCCTAGTCCCCGATACTGCAGCGCAGATCAAACCCAAACTCGCGAGTTCCGCACAAGCTGCCGCGAAGTCCTGCACGGGAAACAACAACAACACGTGCGGCATCACTTGGTATCAAAACAAGTGGGACGGGACAACTGGAATGGAGCAAGAGATCAGCGCAACGAATGTCTTTCTTGCAAACATGATTAACTTTGACACCGGCACGTTTGGGCCCGTCACTTCCAAGACTGGCGGAAACAGCAGCAGTGACCCTAATGCGGGTGAAGGGAAAGGAGGAGGGGATGACGTTAAGGAGAAGCCTACTACGAGTGGGGATAAGGCCGGTGCCAGTATTCTGACCTTGATCTTTGTCTTTACTTGGGCTGGAGGCATGGTTTGGATGATGCTGGGTGCTTAATTTGGCGGTATATTTATTTAATTGGCATTTTTTCTTAGAGGACTCGGAGTTCTGAAGGGGACTTGATAATGTTTGTACATACCATCTCGAAATCTTTTACTCACCTAAAGCAAAATAGGATACCCACGGGTGGATAGCGTTTGGAAACGGAGGAATGAACTTGAAGACCTAGAGTATGGAATAGATGTTTATACTATAATACCCAGACATAGAGAACTACACAACATCACAGGAAGCCGAATTATGTAGACAGATAGATCGTAGATTTACCTAGATCACATCAAGTCCATGAATGGCTCACGCCAACACCATATCTCTTCTTTCTCTAGCTAGCTCAATTCATGGTTTCCTTTCCCTTGTGCTTCTGATACATACCCATCCCCGGAAGCTCCCATCGCCCCGAAAGACAAACTTTGGTCTCTGATGAGCGACGCCATATCACTATATCGATCTCCCCAACACCCCTCTATTACGGCACCACCAGCAAGACCATCAACTGAAGGGTATTGCTGAGATGCAAAGAGAGCATCTACTCGTTCTTCGTACTCATTGTTCTCCGCCACGGATCTAAATGGCCCAGGGGACTTATAGGGCCAGTAGCCGGTCATTATCGTGTAAAAGACCGACCCGAGACTGAATATGTCAACAGCCTCTGTTGACACCCATGGTTTGGATGGATTGAAAAATCCCGGGTCGGGGAGATGCCCACCATCTATATCACCACCATTTGTCGATCCTCCAAAGTCACATAGTAGGAGATTGAGCTTACTCTTGGAATCAGAGTGTAATAGAAAATTGTCCGGTCGTAAATCGGAATGAATGACTCCCTTCTGGTGGATATAGTATACGGCTTCTGCTGCTTGACAACACCACTTCAAACGAAGACTTAGATCAATATCGTCATTATGCTGGTCAATGTAATCTTGTAGGTTACCATCGCTAGCTTCGTCAAAGAGTAATCCACGCGGTTCCTCGGAGGTACCGATATAGCTGCAATAAAAATGATATTAATATGTACTCCGTACATTAGATCGCGTCGTATTCGGCTGACATACCGTACTATGCTAGGGTGTGTCCCTAAGATATCGAAAAGTCGCTCTTCGACCTCGAAACTGTGTTTGATATCCTTGACAAAGGAGGTAGCGTCTGCCGTATCGGAATGCCACCATGAATATCTAGGGCATTTGACAATGACCCCCGGTTTTAGTCTTACGATCAATGAAGTCGAACCTTGGGTCAAGGCTTTACCGACAGAAGGTTCATAGATGACCGGATTGCCTATTCGACCTGGCAAAATAGCTTGATTTTCTTCACTTTCTCCCAAGGCCTGGTTTTTGGCGACAGTTGGAGAATCATTTTCGGATATAGGGCGTCCAGAAAAGAACTCGTCAACCTTACCTGCCAATCCCCAGCTGATTTTGTACCCATTTGCGCCGGCACCGTAGCAAGATATCAGGGGAAGAGGGTTCCCTGGTTTCAAGACAAAATGAAGTCCACCATGTCTCATAGGGCGCCGAGCAACGTAGACTTGTCTCACATCAAACCCATTGGTCGCAGCCAGTCCATCTGCCTGCTCGTCAACCATCTCGGGGCATAGAATTCTCACCCTTTTAAGAATGACTTCAGTCGAAGCATCGTCGATATCCTCAGACCTAACAAGTGTTAGCGTCACTCCAACCTCGGGAATAATTCAAAACATACCAGTTATTAGGCTCTTTCGTGCCACCGATAACAGTCCCACCACCCAGAGGCCGGGGTATGATAACCGTAGAGGAACCATCACTCCAATGATGACTGATAGTTCTGTCACAGTGATTCGAGACGATGATGAACTGACCCCGCGAGGGGAAAGAGTCAGGATCATTAAACCCCCTCCCACTTGCATCAACAACAGCCGAAACGTGATCAATCTCATCCTGGGATGTATTCTCCCGATATACAGACACAACCTGTTCTAGGTCCGTCAAATTTGCGCGAATAAAGCGAGTCCCTTGCGCCTCTGCGCGTGTCTGTAACCACTTCAAATAAACCGGCGAGTTCAGGACCCAACTGCGGTATGAAACACCTAGCTGGATAGATGGATATTGAGGGGGGTATTGGGTAGGGTCGAGAATCTGGAAGTCCGGCCATGTAGTGTAGCCATTTTCTTCTGCCAGGAACGAGGTCGCGTCGGCTGTATCGAAATATTCGACTGCGGGAATAAAATCCACCCCCGCTTCCGGGTGATGTTTCGCGATCTTCTCGAATTCTTGGTAGGTTTGTCGCATCCAGGCCTGTTCTCTTCGTTCCTCTTCTGTTTTTGCGGGGGTGGGGCGGAAGTGTGCCCCTGCCCATGGGGAGGCGTAGTCAATGCCAACGTCACCGGGTAACTCTCTCGCGATGACGGTGATTTTCAAGTATTGGGATAGTTTGACTGCGATGCTGAGACCGATAACACCGGCTCTGTTGAATTGCAGTTAGTAGGCAGAAAAAGGAAAGTAGACTTGGCTCTCACCCGACGATGATAACATGGCCTTGACTCATGTTGATTGTTCTTTGTCTTTACGGTAGTCCAAGGTCTAATGATTGTTTTATGAATGAATCTATGCAATTGTCCAGGTTCAAATGTTGCGAAATGAGTCATCTAAATTCTTCAGGGCCGACACGGCCGCGGGGGCAAGTCACACCGAACAGTCATATTGCGGAATTTGTGGCTGTCGAGGGGCAATCGAATCAAACCAGAATGGCCATAAACCACCTAGACATTGTTGTATAAAAGATTTTGTTGTGGACTATTTTATGGTAACTTCGGCTCAGCAGCTGTGTGACATAGTTTAAAAAGCACACATAGTAGATATGAGGGAAAAATGTATAATGATCTCCTCAAAGATACATCGCCATTGCAATAAATTCAATTTGTGACTTCCACGCGTTAAGCGCGACGCGAAAGCGGTGTGGATTTGAATGGATTCGCCATCGAAGCCCCAAATTCACCCCCGCATCGCAGCTCCCACGTCTAGATATGGTCGCAATTACACAGACAGACAGCCAGCCCGACGCTGTAGACGAGGAGGCGAATTATGTAAACGAGACTACAGCTCTCCTAGGGACCAGCAAGACCAAGTATGCTGACGCGCGCACGTCAGACACACTGGACAGTTCGCCAGGGCCAGATAGCGACAGTGACGACGAGGAAAAGCCCTTGCCCAAGTTGCAGATTCTGCTACTCTGCTATGCGCGCGTAGTCGAGCCCCTGGCCTTCTTCTCCATCTTCCCCTATGTCAGCCAAATGGTACAGGACAACGGGGGCGTGGCAGACACGGACGTCGGCTTCTACAGCGGACTCATCGAGTCAATGTTCTCCCTAACGCAGGCTATTGTCATGATATTCTGGGGCCGAGCAGCCGACCACCTCGGACGCAAGCCCGTACTGGTATCCTCCTTGTTCGGCGTGACCGTGGCTACAGGCCTTTTTGGTCTAGCAAAGACCATACCGCAGATGATCATGTTTAGATGTCTTGCTGGAGTTTTTGCTGGGACCATCGTCACCATCCGCACAATGGTGGCCGAGCACAGCACGCCCAGTACGCAGGCCCGGGCGTTCAGCTGGTTCGCCTTCAGTGGGAACTTGGGCATCTTCCTGGGGCCTTTATTGGGCGGTGCACTTGCTGACCCAGTACGACAGTACCCTGGAGTTTTCGGAAATATCGGCTTCTTCGAAAAATATCCCTACGTGCTTTCGAGCTTCGTGGTGGCGTTGATCGGGGCCACCGCTGCTGTGTCTAGCGCCTGCTTTGTTGAAGAGACGTTGAAGAAGGAGCCGGTTGTCGTGGACCGCGATGGCGGGGAGGCGACATCCGATGCGCTGACCGAGAGCGGTGACCTATCGACATTGCAGCTTCTCAAATCCCCAGGGGTGGGTATGGTCCTATACACGTACGGCCATATCATGGTCCTCGCCTTCGCTTACACGGCCATCATTCCTGTCTTTTGGTTCACCCCCGTAAACCTCGGAGGGTACGACTTTACCCCTCTGCAAATTTCATTGATGATGGGTCTAAACGGCGCCTCACAGGCTGCATGGCTCCTCCTGGTGTTCCCTCCATTGCAAAGGAAGATAGGGTCGAACGGAGTGATACGTCTCTGCGCTTTGGCTTATCCGCTATTCTTCCTACTCTGCCCTCTTGGCAACGTACTTTTGCGGGTGGACACAGATGGATCCGTTAAAGCCTTTTGGATTCTCTTGCCGCTCGGGCTGGCGATTGGATGCGGAGTCAGCATGAGCTTCACGGCGATCCAGCTCGTTCTGAACGACGTCTCACCCTCGCCGAGGGTATTAGGCACGCTGAACGCACTGGCCCTGACTGGTTCCAGTGCGCTGAGGGCCTTCTGTCCTGCCCTCTTTACCAGCCTCTTCGCTCTGGGGGCGAGAACACAGCTAGCTGGAGGCCATGCGATCTGGATACTCCTGCTCATGCTTGCTTCAGGGTTATCTGTCACAGCAAAATATCTACCAGAGCCCCGGGCCACGGGCAAGCACCGGAACAGCCAGGCAAGGTGAGGATGGTTCGATTAGCTGAATTCACAGCACGATCAAGACTTCCCAGCGCGCACCTTTGGAGGAAAGCCGCTTTTTCGCATAGGATCTAAAATTTGCAATTGTCTCCAAAATTTGTCATGCTCGATGATGCCTGTTTATACAGAGAAAATTCATATGTACGCATTATTTCTTTTACCGATTCGTACCCCGTACATACAACACATTAGAGTATATCCTTTTAAAAAGTTAAATTTCGACAAAAGGATTATTTATGAAAGATCCAAAGGAACATCAGTGTGTTATCTAACGTCTTTTAACTATATCATCTAGACCTAAGTCAACCGGATGCAGCTCACCACTACCAGATGGTGGTGTTTCGTCTCAGCTTGAATATAATCGCGAGCACCACTTTTATTACGCTTGGACCTCGGTACTACAGTCTCTATTAAACTTTTGGAACTTCCTAATCATGGTCTGATCTAGAAGGGTTTCAATGTCACTATTCGATGCTTGCCCTCGATAATGAATTGGGAAAGGGACATCTCATTCTATCGGTCAAGAACCCATCAAATTATTCATCCATATGTTATATGTCTTCTGTTCCGCAAATCCTTTTATGTTGTTTGTTAGCTGTTGTGCCATGTCTCGGAAATCTCAATGGTTTTCTTGGCATCGAGGACCTTGAGAGGGTAGGGCTGGGCAGGGCTTGGCGGGCTTGGCAGTCACTCGCATAAAGGTTTACTGAGCGATATATTCTCCATCCAATCGCTTTTTTTAATTCCCCAATTCCGTCAAAATGCTGCGTGAAGCATTTTTTATATTCATATGCGTGGCATGGGCGGGATTTGCTATTCATCTCTCGCCGTGGTTGAAGGTTAGATCAATATCCTGGATCTATACTACTGAGGACTAACGTCGTGTAGGGCATCTCCCACGGAGTTGAAGCTTACAATGCTACTGCATTTAATTACCCAGTGCCATTGTCTACACATGATGAAGAGCACACGCGTCTACTGCAGAATCTTCAGCGATCTAGTGGGAAATGGGACTCTACCCACCCTCGACATCGGTTGTTAACTGCCCTACATGGATATACCCGCTACAAAGACAAAAACCTGGCGGAGGTGACTCGATGGAGGAATCTTTACAAAAATGTCCCAAAGCAGCAGAGAATAGTACGATATTTCTTTCCTTTCCTCTTGTTTTTTTCTTTGCGGGTGTTAAGTGGGTTTGGCTAACTGGCCTAGTTGCTCGAATCAACCATCCACTACACGCGTAAACTCAACACAATGGAACATCTTCTTGAGACAAACAACGAACTCGCCAGATCTATTGTTGACCACGGCCTTTGGTTCTACAATATCAGTCAATCCGAGCTGGACGAATTCGTCGAAGAAAGCGAGAGTCAGCAGCGGTCCGCTGATAAGACTAGCGTCTCCCAGGGAATGAAGCATTTTGTGCGTGACTGGGCAGATGAGGGCCAAGAAGAACGTCAACAATCCTTTGGGTGTATCTTGAAATCGCTCGCCCAGACACCACGGGCGAACGAAAGACCCTTGCGAGTGCTGTTGCCTGGGGCGGGATTGGGAAGACTGGCGCATGAGGTTGACAATCTTGGAGGTGAGTACATAATTTTCTATCTGGGGAAGTCTCATTGGCTGATTGGAGATTAGGCTTTGAGGTCACCATGAATGAATGGTCAACATACATGAATCTGGCATACCGTTATGTGTCCAGTCGCTCAGCCCCTAACAGTGAATCATTCCACCCATATATCGACTGGTGGTCTCATCACACGACGACCGATGATCTCCAGCGCTCCGTTACATTTCCAAACCAAGTTATTCGCCCATCATCTGTCTTGCTCATAGAGGGAGATTTCACTACGGTATTCGAAGAACACACAGGCCAATACGACATAATCGTGACCTTGTTTTTTATTGATACCGCACGGAACCTAGTATCTTACCTTGAGACCATCCACAGACTTCTTCGTCCTGGTGGCCGTTGGGTGAACCTAGGTCCTTTACTGTATGGTACCGCTCCATTTGTACAGTTATCACTAGACGAGATTGTGGCCGTGAGTGAGGGCGTGGGATTCGAGTTTCAGGAAACAGATCCCACAATTGGAAATACCACGTTGCCTGACTTGCGAGTGCGAGGCTTGGAGGTGGCATATGGTCGAAATGAGCGCGGGTTGAATAAAAATGCATATCAGGCGCAGTATTGGGAGGCTGTTAAGCTCTAGGATAGGAATGAAACCCATTTCATATTTGCTGCGTTCTATTACACTCTACAACATAGCAAAGTAGCTGTTTAATACCAGAATATCATCTGAATTCAACCTGGTTGGTTCAAAAACGGGAGGCATCATACGGGATAGGGCCAGTTACCAACCCCCTGTGTTGACACACAATATCTCGTGAGTTATCCACCTAATTTAACCGATGAATGAATTCGTTTGCCATATCCAATATAGTGATGCCCCTTTTGCCTCAGCCCACATTGACTAGCTAGCACAGACAGCATCTCGGTTACAAGGTTTCCGGTGATGCCGGGACCATAGCTCAGCAATATCGACCGATAGTAAAGGATTGTCACGTTAAGCGAATGGAGTATTCTGGACTCTAAATTTACACTAAAAACATGGTATTTTTCCTCGGACAATAAAAGCATCAACACTTGGCAAGCTGGGATCGGCAGGGACTGTATGCTCTGACCTTCCAAGACGGCCAATGATACACCCAAGAAAAGCAAAGCGCTCATTAATAAAGCATTACTACCCACATGCACCACCATCCACTGGAAGGCCAATTATATGTTCAATACCATGAGACATCCCCTCCGCTGCCAAGGCTATTTGAGAACCTTTGGGGCACCAAGACTTCCACTTGTCTTGGCCTCGCAAAATACTGCTCTCTCGGCGGAATGGCAGGTATAAAGGGTGCAGACCCTGTGCAGCGGATCTCTGAATTCGCAACCTTCGCCATCGTCATTACATTGTGTACAGCCCTCAAATCACCTCGCCACAATGAGATTCTCTATCTTTTTCATTGCGATGTTGACTTCGGTCACATCCGCGGCCTCTACTCAGGACCCCGGTCCATCTCCTACTGCCTCAATTGGCTGTGAGCCTCACGGAGACCACTGGTTTGTTCTACCCCATCGTATGATGTCTATTACTTGAGGGCACTTATTAACACTCTTCTATATAGGCACTGTGATGGCCCTGCCTCAACAGCCGTCTCCTCGGCCATCTCCTCGGTTACATCAACGGCAAGCGAGGTCGAAGCGAGCACTACTTCTGCGGAAGCTTCTCCGGCAAGCCCCAGTCCTACCGAGTCTATTGGTTGCGAGCCGCATGGCGACCACTGGCACTGTGATGGACCGGCCGAGACGTCTAGCACCTCCGCTAGCACCTCTACGGGTACTTCCACCAGTGAGTCGGCTAGTGCTTCCGACAGTACTTCCGACAGTGCTTCCGCGAGTGCCTCCGCGAGTGCCTCCGCGAGTGCTTCTGCCAGCGCTGGAAATGAGGACAGCGGTACTGGAGCAATTGGAGTGCAAATTTCCCTGCTTGTTGGATTGTCGCTTGTTGCTGCTGGTCTGAATGTTTGAGTTTCGATAACTGTCTGTGACTGTCTGTGTGTGTGTGTGTGCGAGTTTGTTGCTATTGTCAAGGCGACCCTCTCAAAGTACAGTGATTTTGGAATCAATGCATTACCTATGTAACCCTCGAATGTTAAAAGGATTTATATAAGCCGCGTATCCCTAGTTAACTAGTTAGTTAGTCATAGTCAACTAGCGAACTACCTAGCTAAGGCCCTTTTCATGGCAAAATCTGCGGTGATTGGCAGTTGGAGGTCTATAGGGCGGGAGATGTCGAAATTCTTAGTTTGTCGCCAGATGAGATTTTTGTTAGAAGCTAGGTTCTACATTACTAGATAAAAAAATAATGTAGCGCGAAACGAACAGTAGCTCAAGGACAAGAAGGGGAAAATGGGCGAAATGTTAGACGGTATGGAACCTAGTAGTACATCACCCTACACTAACAGCATATCAACCATCAGGATTGACATATTTTCGAGTGAATATTGGTTCAGTACATTAGTTCATTGTTGTGATCAAGGTGTCAGGCTTTTCTAATGCTTTTTTTTTTTGCAACAAATGATGCTACGACCTCCCCTATAACCTACGCTTATTCGATACTAGTAGACCATATATTGTAAACTAGACGATACACGACCAATCAAAAATACGAGTGAAGCGGGTCGCAACTGATGACAGCCACAGCTATCAAAGGAGTTGCTACGGGTAGCAATGTGAATTGAGAGAAAGACAAGTGAAAGACTTCGATGGAGGAATTTCTTTTTTTTTTGCTACGTAGAATATTGAATACAGAACGAGTGTGGGAAGATCCAGGATGAGTAAAGTAAGTATGTATAGCCAGTTCGAGGGTGATGTAAACAAGACGGAAAAGGAAAGGTACAGCTGGATTCCCGGAGAAGGAGAACGATGAAAAGAACAGTCGGAAAAGAATAAATGGACTTAACCTCCCTAAGGTTCCAGCCCTAGATCCTATCCTAATCCAGTGACCCAGAAAATCAGAAATTGAAAGTTGGTTTGGTTGGCTTGTAAAAAAAAAACGAGAGCTTCGTGAGTAGTGGGTTACATTTAACAAAGAACAAGACCAATAATCCAGAACAGGAGAGGGAATAAATCCTGCATTGTACGCTGCAAGAGGGGAAGAGGGAGAGAGATCCAGGTACAGTAAGAGGCAGAGTAGAGGTAACAGCAATAGACTCTCTATTCCTGTCCAAAGCCAAGCGTTTCCTCCACCGCAATAGACATTTTGTGCTCGAGAGCATCGTGCGTCTTGTAAGGAGGGAGATCAAGACGGTTGAAGCTGTGTTGAAATAAGGTTAGCTATGATAGACCAGATATAAAAAAGCAGGATCGGATACATACCAAGTATGCGACTTGGGCAGCGCAGCGGGATCGCCAGACTTCTCGATGGTAAACCGTCTGGGACCATCGGATCCCTGCAGATCCTTAAATCCGTTGACAGGAATACGCGAGGTACCAGTAGTGAACTGGAGAAGACGCGACTTCTGCTCGGCATCCCAGGTGCGGACAATCTTCCAGAAATTCTGGATGACCTCGTCCTGCTCTTGGTAGCCGCGGTAATCGGTGTGCTTCTTCCAGTCTTCGACGTCGATGTCGGCGATACCACCGATGAGCAACTCGAGTTCGCGCTCGTCGAAGACGTTGACGAGATCGGGTGGGATGAGCTCGTTGAAGCCGGACATAAAGGCGTCGAACTGCTCCTCGACTCGCTTCATGATCTTCCATTCCGTAACCAACCTACGACATGATTAGCGGGGTTTCATCATGATAAAGGCTGAGATTTGTTCCACTCACTCAATGTACTGTGGCTTGTTCTCGTTGGTGACGGGAATATCCCGGCCACCGGGTATCAAATCAATGGTGCGACGCTCGCCAAACTTCTCATCGTCAACCGAAAATGTGAGTTCCACAATTCCGTCAATGTCATTATCCCTGTCATGGTGTTAATATTGCTCAAAATAGAATCACGTATCAAACTCACAGTGTCCATGCCAAATTCCGGTGCAGATCCTCATCCACACCTTCCATATCTTGAAGACTGACTTTCTTGCGCAACATCATCTTGTAGAAAGCTCCAATAAAGAAGGAATCCAGGAAACGACGGTGGAAGATAGCCAGACCAACCACTCGGCCGATGAACTTGAAATAATTGAGATGCTCGGGGTTCACGCCCGAGTGGGGATTAATCTGCAAGGTATAATTATCGTGGGCAGAGTACTCGAAGAGACAATAGAAAGGATTGAACATTTCATGAGAGAGGAGGAAGAAGAATTCACTGTGAGAGTTAGCATTTTGACTGATACTGGAGAAAAGAAGAACGGAACATACCGCGAAAGACCACCGTAGTCGAGACCATCTTCGCCATCGAACTTGATCATTAGGCGCTTCTTAAGATCGGATGCGCTCTGGCGCATAATTTCGGCATATGAATCCTCGAAGATGTTATTACGACGGACTTTAACGTGGCACTGTCCGGACATAATGCGCAATGCGGGTTGGGACCGGAAGTAGATCAGCTTGCGCCGGAAGTCACGCTTGTACTGGGGCACACCCTGATCCAAAGAGGAGGGGAGTCGCGGATCATCCCATGTAGTTGTCTTGGTGTTGTGGTCGACGAAATATACGCGAGCAGTGTTGGTAAGACGCATCTCCCAGCCGCTGGGAAGAGGACCCAATTGGGATACGGGTTGCTGTTGAATGGTGGTGTTGTTCGCGCCACCTGTGGTCTGTCCCTGGCCGTACATGCGGATGTACTGCTGCCGACGAGGATCGACCCATGTTGTCGTGCGCGTGTTGTGGTCCACGAAGTAGGGCCGTCCCTCGGGCGTCACTCGTCGTTCCCAGCCTGGCGGAAGCTCCCCTGTGCCTGCAGTGGTGGCTCCCGTCGCCATCATGGAGATCGCAGCAGCGTTAGACCCGGCGGGGGCTCCAGTTGCCAGAGAGGTTCCTGCGTTAGGCCCGGGTGGTGGTGTAGGTGCCTGCTGGGCATCAGGCAGGTTGGGTGAATTGGCGCCGGTCCGATCTTCTGGAAGCATTCGGCTCTGGTGGGCCCGACGTTCGAGCTGCATGTTTGCTTCGCGCTGAGAACGCTGGGTATGCTCGTTATAGTTGGCCGATGGTCGTGACCAGGTCGTGGTGCGCGTATTATGGTCCACATAATATGTCCGTCCCAAATTGTCTTCGCGCCGTTCGTATCCGGCGGGGAGTCGACCCTGGCTGTCCTCAAAGGAGCTGAGATTGGCGCGAGATGGGGCGCCAGGTCCAGGGGGATTGGTTGGGGCGCCATTCGACGGGGGAGGAGCGCCGGCTGGAGGACCGGTGGTCGGAGTGCGCTGGGGCAATGATGAACTTGAAGCTGCGGCAGGGGTCGTATCGGTATTGTTGGGGCCAGCCTGTGATTGAGCTGTTGGTGCTGCAACCTGGGGCACAAGGCCGCTGGAAGTCGATGATTGAGCCTGTTGACGCTGAAGTCCATTCTGGTTCGGATGCGGGGCGGTGAGGTTTGACGATAGATTGATGATCAATTTTCCGTGAACCACGAGGTTGTCGTTCGATTTTTTCAGATCCCTAGTAAGCATTTCTGTGGGGGGCACATGGCCGTCAGGTCAGCCCACGTTTCTC